CTTTCGCTAATCCGAAGTTCGTTTTAGCGTGTTCTTGTTTACTTCCTTGTTCGAAGTTCGATTCAAGGATTAGCCATGGTCGATGATGTTGAGTCTTCCGTGAGTACAAGTACGACCACCGCTCCAATGGTTTCCAACGCTGGAGCTGCGACGCCGTACACTCTGTATGGCTCGGACAATCCTGGTGCCCTAATAACGTCGGTGATGTTAAACGGTGACAACTACAATGAGTGGGCAAGCGAGATGACTAATGCCCTTCGTGCAAAACAGAAGTTGGGTTTCGTCGAGGGCACCATACCAAAGCCATTAGAAAGCGATCCAAAACTTGAGCTGTGGTTGTCGGTTAACTCGATGATTGTTGGTTGGATCCGCACTTCCATTGAGCCGCGGGTCCGATCTACGGTGACGTTCATCACAGATTCACACAATTTGTGGGAGAATCTTCTTAAACGTTTCTCTGTGGGAAACAAGGTGCGCGTGCATCACTTGAAGGAGAAGTTAGCTGTTTGTCGACAAAACGATGACGACGTCATCGAGTATTACGGACGGTTGTCCAAAATTTGGGAAGAGCTTGACATGTACAAACCTCTTCCTGCGTGCCCATGTAGTGCTGCTGCTGAGTATGAAAAGGAGCGTGAAGAAGAGAAGATGCATCAGTTTGTAATAGGGTTAGATGAGGCTCGTTTTGGTGGTATGTGTCAGGCCATCATCTCCTCCGATGCATCCACAGATCTTGGTGAAATCTATGCCAAGGTAGTTCGGGAAGAGCAAAGACTGAATTCCGCGAAAGAACGCGAGTCTCAGCAAAACGCGGTGGGTTTTGTGGCAAAAAAGGACTCGTCTTCTGATACGTCTGGAGGTGGTTCACAACATGAACGTGGTACTCAATGCTCTCATTGTGGTCGCAGTGGCCATGTCAAAGCAAACTGCTGGCAGCTAGTCGTCTTTCCTTCTTGGTGGGAAGATCGTGCGCAGAACAGAGCCGCAAACAAAGGTGGTCGCGGAGGTGGACGAGGTCGCGGTGCAGGACGAGGTGGGAATGGCGGTGTGCACGCAAGCAACGCTCATGCTACCACATCCAATTCGTCCTCGTTCCCAGAGTTTTCCGAAGAGCAATGGAAAGCACTTTCTCAGCTGATTTCGGAGAAAACTAAATCTTCCAACGATCGTCTCTCTGGTAAGCGTGGTGCAGGTGATCTCATACTAGATACGGGAGCATCTCACCACATGACAGAAAATTTGTCTTTTCTTGAGAACACGTCTCGTATCTCACCATGTGCTGTTGGTTTTGCTGATGGAAATCGCACATTTGCAACTCATATGGGCGTATTTCCATTAACAAGCCATATTGTGTTGGACAATGTTTTATTTGTGCCAAATCTTAATTGCTCGTTGATATCTGTTTCAAAGCTGCTAAAACAGATCAATTGTTTTGCTCTTCTCACCGATACGTTGTGTGTTTTACAGGATCGTTTCACGAGGACCCTGATTGGAGCAGGTGAAGAGAGGGATGGGGTTTACTATTTTAAAGATGTCATGGCTGCAAGGGTTCATCGAGTCACCAGTCCGGTTGTTAGCTTGGCTGATCAGAATCGTTGGCACCAGAGGCTCGGGCATCCGTCGTTTTCTGCTTTAGCGTCATTACCTATGTTTTCGTTGAATAAATCTGCTGCCCCTAGTCCTTGTGACACATGTTTTCGGGCAAAGCAGACTAGAGAAGTTTTTGTTGCAAGTTCAAATAAATCAAATGAATGTTTTCAGTTAATTCATTGTGATGTTTGGGGTCCTTACCGAACCAGATCCTCCAGTGGAGCAGTTTATTTTTTAACTATTGTTGACGATTTTTCAAGAGCAGTTTGGACTTATTTGCTTTTTGAAAAGACAGAAGTGCGTATGGTGCTTCAGAACTTTTGTGCGATGTCAGAAAGGCAATTTCATAAAACGGTGAAGGTAGTTCATAGTGACAATGGCACAGAGTTTATGTGTCTATCTCGGTTCTTTCGTGAACAAGGAATTCTTCATCAAACCTCGTGCATTGCCACGCCTCAACAGAATGGAAGAGTTGAACGCAAACATCGACACATTCTTAACGTATCTCGCGCGTTACTTTTCCAAGGTAGCTTACCGATCAAGTTTTGGGGAGAAGCTGTCATGACTGCAACTCATCTCATTAATCGAACCCCAACAGACATTCTTAAGGGCAAACACCTTATGAGATTTTATACGGACAAACACCATCGTATGACAATCTCCGTGTATTTGGAAGTCTGTGTTACACACACTTACGGTCAAGGGATAAAGACAAGTTTGGCTCCCGCAGTCGTCGTTGCGTTTTTGTTGGGTATCCTTTTGGACAAAAGGGATGGAAAGTGTATGATTTAGACAAGAAGGAGTTCATCATCTCTCGCGATGTTGTGTTCTATGAAGATGAATTTCCTTTTCGTCTTTGCCTCCCGTCTCACCCGTAGTCGCACCTCAGCATCTCTCGTCTTCGTCGTTTTGTGATGACGATTGGGCAATTCCATCGCCTCCGGTTTCCGAAGTCAGGGGGAGTTCTGAGTCAGCTGCTGTGGAGGAAGCTTCGAATTCACCAACACCAGATTCCGCTGCCCCTCTTTCCTCTACTGCACCTGACTCACTGCCTGTTCCGACGGAATCTCTAGTTGAGACTCCATCTCCCAATACTGAAGATATACCCCCTGTTGCAACAGAGTCCCCTGTTTTGGAGCCGTCCCAAACTTCATCAGGACAAGTTGACCATGATTCAGTTACAGAGGTTGAAGTATTAGGTCGTGGACATCGAGAGCGCATTCCTTCTACGCGTCTCAAAGGCTTTGTTATGTATAATGCCGCCGCCCTAAACCCCCATCTCTCCTCACTCTGCTCCACTCCGGCGTCTTCAGAAACTTTCCAAGGTAAGACACCGTATCCCTTGGATGCTTATGTCTCTGATCTCTTGTTCTCACCATCGCACCAAGCATTCTTGGCAGCAGTGACTGCAGGTGTTGAGCCCAAGAGCTATACGGAAGCAGTAAAGGATGAGGTTTGGCATGCTCCTATGCAAGACGAGGTCGTTGCTCTCGAAGATAATCACACATGGGATGTTGAATCACTTCCGCCTGGAAAGATTGCTATTCCCTGCAAGTGGGTCTATAAGATTAAATATAACGCCAATGGAACTATCGAACGTCATAAGGCTCGGTTGGTAGTTATGGGAAATATTCAGGTGGAAGGGGAAGATTTCGACGAAACTTTTGCTCCAGTCGTTAAAATGGAGACCGTGCGTAGTCTTTTAGGTGTTGTTTCCGCAAAGAATTGGGAAGTGCATCAGATGGATGTCCATAATGCTTTCCTTCATGGTGACCTCAAAGAAGAAGTTTACATGAAGTTCCCTCCGGGTTTTACGCACTCTGATCCTACTAAGGTTCTGCGTCTTCGGAAATCCCTTTATGGACTTCGTCAAGCACCACGTTGCTGGTTCGCCAAACTGTCTACTGCGCTGTTAAAGTTCGGTTTCAAGCAATCTTATTCCGATTACTCATTATTCATATTTGAGAAGGGCGGGACAGAAATTCGAGTTTTGATTTATGTGGACGATCTGGTTATTGCAAGCAATAACATGGAGAGATTAACAAAGTTTAAGGCATATTTGGGCGAATGTTTCCACATGAAAGATCTGGGTAAGCTCAAATATTTCCTCGGTATTGAAGTAGCACGTTCTGACGAAGGTATTTTCCTCTCTCAAAGGAAATATATCCTTGATATTTTCGCTGACACAGGTCTCCTTGGCGCAAAGCCGGCATTGACACCGATTGAGCAAAACCACAAACTTGCGTCGGATACAAGTCATCTCCTCTCGGATCCTCTTTGTTATCGACGCCTAGTTGGTCGTCTTGTCTATCTTTCTGTTACAAGACCAGATTTGTGTTATGCTGTTCACTTGTTGTCACAGTTTATGCAAGAGCCCCGTCAGTCTCATTGGACAGCTGCACTGTGTTGTAAGATATTTAAAGGGCTGCCCCGGACAAGGTATTCTCTTGAAATCCGATAGCAATCTTCAGTTGTCTGTCTATTGTGATGCCGATTGGCAATCCTGTCCCTTGACGCGACGTTCCCTTAGTGCATATGTGGTTCTACTTGGTGGTTGTCCGATTTCTTGGAAAACAAAGAAACAAAGTACTGTCTCACATTCTACAGCTGAAGCTGAGTACCGGGCCATGGCGTTTGCTACAAAGGAGATTCAGTGGATTGTTCAGTTGATGGGTGATCTTGGCAATCCGGTTACACAGCCTGTTCCGTTCTATTGCGATAGTGAGGCAGCAATGCACATTGCCGCCAATCCAGTTTTTCATGAGCGCACTAAACACATTGAACGTGATTGTCACTGTGTTCGTGATGCGGTTACTGAAGGCGTTATTACTACGGTTCATGTTCGTTCCAAAGATCAGATTGCTGATGTTCTTACCAAGGCTTTAGGACGTCCTCAGTTTAAAGTTCTAATGTCCAAGTTGGGTGTTTCGAATCTCCACACTCCAACTTGAGGAGGAGTATTAGGGAATTGGGCTCGGTAATATTGGGCTTCAAGTATGTCGGTGTATATAGCTTAGCCGTCAAGATATTCTAGGGTTTATATTGTGTATATATATATGCCTTGTACGAGATCATTATGAATACAACACAATATTCTACAATCTTATTTCCCTTACAGTTGCAAACAAGTATTTTTCGATCGGTGTATGAACGGAAAAGTGTACTGATTTTGATTTTGATGAAATTGTACAAATTTTTTTAGCACTTCGTTCAAAGCTCCTGTCCTATCATTCACCGTAAAGCATTGGCAATGAATGAATCACATAAATAAAAATTAGGGTCACGAAGCTGATCACATTATGTTATAACTAATACTTCCCTTCGTTTAATCGGATCGATTCATCTCAAGTTTTTATGATACTTTCTTGTTGATAACTTTGATACTAGCACTAGCGAATTACACAAGAAACAACCAATAAAATCTAGCCGATTTCATAAAAGGATTGAGACAAAATGTTTGAATAGACCAAGTAAATTCAAAAGATTGAACACATGGATTGGGGAAGACGCTGTTTTTGATAATTTTGCACACAAGGATAAACTTCAGATGATCAATCGAACAACATCATCATCCTCACCATCCACTTAGACCATTTTTTTATCATAAATTTTTAAAAAAGCTTGAGAACGACAATGGAGAACCCCAGATACATACTTTAGTATTAGAATGGGGCAAAGATTTTTCAGCAAACCAGAAGAAAGATTCCAGAAGCTACTAGAAGCAAGTGCCTTCTGGAGGTTGAACAAGCTTACGGTTATGCGACGCAGCCATTTCCTTCTTCAGCTGTGTCAGTATATCCTCCATTGTGTACTCCCTTTGCCAGTTCGCAAGAAGCCCGAATTTCTTAGGTTCCACCTATATTCATACATGTACATGCAGAAGTAAGTAACATAAGATTTAAAGGAACAAGTCAGAGAAACGGCATGATCTTGATTTTTATGCGTACCACTCCCGTTTCATGGTTGACACAAGTCATATTGACACGTGAATGGAACCGGACAGTTGGTGGTTTCTCCGGGTAGTCTTTGTCACAGAAGAGCTTCAACTGATAGATTCTACCTTCATGAACAGTCTGCGCATGATTAATATCTGTTAGTACAGGCAAAAGAAACAATGACCTACATTCTATAAAAGCTCAAGAGATTGAATATCGATAAGACTGACGCCTAGAACACAATGTGGGTTTTGATTCTCTGTATTCCACCTATGGCGGAAGGGAAAAATCTTCACTAGTTATGATGATGCTAAGAACATTAAATCAATGCTTTTTTAATACAATCACACACATAATGAATTTTCATATATGTAGACGAAGTGGAATTGTAGCAGATAAAGAAAAAGATATAACTACGTTGTGAGGACCGATGATAGTGCCAGTCCAAGAGCGCATGTAGATGTCATCTCCATCGTCCATTCCATAGCTCACGGTTCCATCTCCGATACCTTTCTCCCCACGTTCAAGCTCCTCCAGCAACCGGAAATTCCTCGGTACTATATCATAATAACAAAGCATAAGAATCAATTCATATCACTGAAAATCAGTAGTGTGAAAACAAGAAAAACGCCAATCAACTTTCCCCTGTTAAGGTTCTGCAGAAGTGAATTAATCAGCAAAACTGCATAAACAAGAATCTATCAAAATAAAGCAGTGAACACAAAACATCAGATTAATCATTATCCACAAACTTTAACAAAGTTCAAGAAGAAGAACAATGAGCTCAATAGACAGCAAGATGAAGACTTTTTATGTTCTGAGGTTCTGGAAGCAATCGAGCACAAAACCATAACACTAAACACAATCAGAGATTATGGAATTCGTCAGCAAATCAAGAATTGGGACATCAGCAAACCAAAAAAAATAAACCTCATCTCAAGAATTGGGACATCAGCAAATCATTCTCAGCGATTTTTTTTAGAAATTATTGAAGAATAAGTTCAGATCAATCTACATACGAACATACATGATGAGTTTTAGAAAGACAAAAGAAAGCAATAAATAATATACAGAACCGAACAAATTACCGAGCAAGGAACAAGAACAGAGAACTAATAGATCGGTGAAAGCTATGAAAACATCTCGACACCCATCGATCAAATGAATAATCCAATACGAGTCCCAAAAACCCTAGAAAACGATAAATCAAAACGAATAAAACCCAAAACGGATTCCAAAACCCTAGAAAAGAAACAAACGAGAAGAGAAACGAAATAATCGAAATTCTTTACCGACAACACTCGATCCTCCAGAGCCAAGAGTCATATTAGATCAAGTTGTGGATTCGATCCGATTAAATTCTGAGATCTGATCGTGCAGAGAGAGAGAGAGAGGAGATGAGCTAAGGGAAAAATCGAGAGAGAATCTTGGTGAAAAGACAGAAAGCTAAATGTGAGGGGCAAATTAGGTACTTTTTGGTGGAGACGGAGAAGAGTTAGAATTTTCTACTGTACTACCCAGAGATTTATTTTCTATCATATAATTCCATAAATTACAATAATTACATAAGCACCCCTTAGATTTTCGAATCTTCTTTTGACTCATATCTTCCTTTTTCACTTTACTACTTGAGATATGAACCCATCAAACGCGGTCAATTTCTTTAGGTTTAGTGGGCTAGAATTTATGGACTTTTTAAAATGGTTTTTTAGAAAGATATTATATGTATGATGATTATATTGGTCAAGATTCCACTTCTACCAACAATTTTAGCTACTTACATTTTTTTGTTCTTTGCCGAAAACAAAAAAAAAAAAAATTTTGTTGTGGTTAATTGTAGATACAAACAACATTTTAACATGAAACGGAACCTATCGTTTGCGTCTAACATTTAGGTTTGCGTTGCGTTTATACTTGGTAAAAAAAAGTGTGAAACTTTATTTTGGTTCTCATACGAAGCTAAATGCAAACGCAAAGTTTGTATTTGAAAGAATGAATCCAGGACTAACTCAGTTTAAACCGTAATTAATTAGCTATAGAATCATTTTTAGTTTTATGCATTGTTATTATTCAATCTATTCACTAGCACAAATTATTAAAAAAAATGTTAATTATCGGTGAATTTCAGTTAAAGGGAAGTACATTCATTTATAACCTTAGTTACTAGAAACCAGACTAAATGACGATGAAACCTAAGCAATACCATTATTCGCATACTACCACATTTGTTTTTTTATACTTTTATTGGAGCCGTGTCGATTGTTTGTTTGCCTTAAGTGTTTTTAAATGATTCTTTCGTTTGCATTTGGCCATTGTGTTAATCTTTACCAAAGAATATATAACACAAACGAATCCGATATAAACGCAGTTATGCAAACGCGAATAATCAGCGTTTGAAACAAACGAGCCCTTTCCGTCAAAATCAGTCTGCCACTTTCATGTAGTTTGCTCTTGAAATATTAAAACATGAAAATGGACAGGACGGCTTCAAACAGAAATGATCTGCTGTCAATTTTCCATTTTATTTTAATAAAAGAAAAGGTTAATACTTAAATTGATTTATAAATAGGACTTTACAATACAGAAAAATTCACCACGCAGAGAGAAATTCCCCAATACTAAACAAAGTCCAAATGAAAATCATAAAAGCCTTAGAACAAATTATCTAAAACTTGATCACATCATAGCATTTACACTTAAGGCAACGTTGCCTGTCTTGCCTGACCAAAAAATACATTTTACATCTTCGACATCCCACCGCCACAAGCGCCGGCGATTCCTCAACCCACGACGACGCAACCTCCTCCTTCGTTTCCTCCATCGTCGACAAGCACGAGTTGATCGTTGATGACGTGTCGCTCGATGACGACGATCCTCCTCTAAACCTCCGATTAGCAACCACCGGCTCTGTCGTCCTCGCCGGTGGCTCGACTCTGAGTCTTTTACCGTTCTTGTTTCTCATCTTCGAAACTTCGGACTTGTCGAGAGAGTTTCTGTACATCTATAAAGCTTTTTCTTTTTAGGTGAGGGGTTTGATGGTAGTGATGACTTCTTAAAACAATGTATGTGTGGTATATATAGGGAAGAAGAGGAGCTAATTATGATGACCAATTAATATTTGTTGAATAAAGTAATTATGTTGTGGAGAGAGAAGAAAATGTTGTCGATTTAGTAATTAGTTTATTAATTGGAAGTGGGAAAATGGTTAAAGTACAGTAGAGACAAATATATGAAACAAAAGGCAATTCAGCACACAATGGACAATGCATTAGTGCATTTAAATCAGCGCAGCAAACCATTAATTGCTAAAATGTAGAGGGGAAGAGTGCAATGTTACATTTTTTTTAAAAAATAATGGTTTTGATTGGTAAACAAATAAATGTCGTTTTAAGAATTACTCTAAATTTTTATTTCACAAATTGTGTTTTGTATATTGAAAGCAGATTTTTAATGAAGTTCAAGATTTATCCATTTACAATAGTTTGATAAGTAGATAAATAAAATTTAATATCATTTTAATAAATGGTAAAAATAGAAAATTTTATCATTTTTCTAATATGCGTGAAAAATCATAAACAACAGTTCTAATTTAAAAAAAAATAGTTAAAAAAACTTTTTTAAAAAATAATGTGAATAAAGCTGTTTATATTTTAGAAATGGTTTTTAGTAGGTATGATTCTTTCGAAAAAACGGTTAAATGATAGTTGTTATTAGTGACAAAAAATTTGAATAGTTAACAAAAAAACAATGGGTCACATTTATCAATAATAAATGTTTTAAAAAAGTTATATAAAAAGAATTATTTTAAAATTTAAAAAGTTATAATATTAGTAATACATTTATTTATGAAACGTTTCCTTTAGACGACGGTTTCGAATGACAGCTATAAATGTGTGTTTGATTGATAATCATATAACCGTTTCGAAAATAACAATTAAACTCAATTACTTTCAATTACTTTCAAATTACTTTATGTATAATTATAATAAATTAATTTGTGTTTTTAAACATAATAATCTATGACAATTTAGAAAACGAAAGAGAATGATATATGTAACCAGTTATGGTAGATTGATTAGATATTCAAAGATGTAAAACATTAAGACTACTCATTAAGCTTTTCGGGAAATTTCCAAACGAACAATTTCAACAAAATCTTTCAATTTCTTAAGTCAAAACACTTAATATATAATAATAAATTTCTTTAATTTAAATAAAATTATCTATATATTTATTATTATTCAAATATTTTGACGATTCTTTATCACTTCTCAATTAATATATAAGATATATATTCAATTATCTCAATTATAGAATGAAAAACTGTTCATTGCAATTCTTTATCTTAGAACAAAATCAAATTATCTAATGAAAATGTAATTATCTTACATGAATATTCTAAAATAAAATGAAGGACGAAAAACTAAAAAAAAAAAATAAACAAATTAACAAGTGATTTGTTTGATTTAAGAATAATGCTTCGAACAATTTTTGGGTTCATCTTTAGGGGTGAATTCATTCACTCATCTCCTCTCATTTTAACCAATAAAATCTGCTATCTAATAAAATCAATTAAGGTAATTTACTAAAATAGCATATTTTAAATATTTTTTTAATGAAAAAACTAAACCCTAATTTAGATATAGTGAACTCAAGTATAATATTAAATTTTATATAGAATTATTAATAATAAAAATATCGTCAGCTACCTTTGTGGATCTTATGGCGACTTTGGAAAAGCAGAAATACTCTTCTCTTTCAAAAAAAACATCTACCCTGGGGAAGAAATTTGGAATACGCAAGGAAGGATGCAATGGAATGGATGAATACAGAAGACTATGTAAACCTTCATGCTGGTGTAAACAACACCGGTTCTTGTTCAAAGTTTAACCACACGTTGTGGCAAGTCCCTCAAAAAGACTGGATCAAATGCAACTATGATGGTTCTTTTCTTAATACAAGCACTGCAGCAAAGTCTGGATGGATCATTCGTGATGACAAAGGAATGTATATGGGTGCAGCTCAAATAAGAGGTCGAATCGTCTTAAGTGCGTTAGAAGCAGAACTTCAATCTCTTATTACGGCTATGCAAGGCTGTTGGAGTAGAGGCTTACGAAGGGTTGAATTCGAAGAGGATAACAAAACAGTTTTTGAACTACTTAGTGGATTGCAACAGAACTTTCATCTATATAATTGGATCAGGGAGGCACGATGGTGGAAATCACGATTTGATGACGTCAAGTTCAATTGGGTGCCGCGAAGATTCGACAAACCAGCTGATATTTTGGCAAAACATCCTTTTACTCCACTACAGAATTATGTGTTCTATTTCTATGTTCCACATATTATTACAAATGAATTACATTCGGACTTTGTACCTATCCTTCATTAATAAAAGTTTTTAGGCGAAAAAAAAAAATATATTTTTACATAATTATTTGTTTTATTTTCAGAATTTAAATAAAAAAACTAAACCCTAAATTGGAAATAATGAACCCAAACATAATATTAAATTTTATTTGGATTTATTTTTAATAAATATATATATATATATATATATATATTTTTACATAATTATTTATTTTATTTTTGGAATTTTAAATCCTCATCCCTAAATTCTAATCTTTAAATCTTAAATTCTAATCTTTATACTCTAAATCATAATCTATAAACCTTAAAAAAATAAAATAAAAATTAAACCCTAAATTCTAATCTTTATATACATTTTTAATTTATTTATATATTTTTTAATAAAATATTTGATTAAGTATTTAATTTTTTGATATTATTTTGTATTTTTATTCAAAAATAATATTATATGGCATATTCTCATTGGCTAAAATGAGAGGGGGTGAATGTATAAATTCACCCCTATAAATGTGTGTTTGATTGATAATCAGATAATCGTTTCGAAAATAACAATTAAACTTAATTACTTTCAATTACTTTCAAATTACTTTCTATTGTACTATAATAAATTAGTGTTTTTAAACATAATAATCTATGACAATTTATAAAAATGAAAAAGAATGATATATGTAACTAGTTATGGTAGATTAATTAGATATTCAAATATGTAAAACATTAAAAGACTACTCATTAAACTTTTCTGGAAATTTTCAAATGAACAATTTCAACGAAATCTTTTAATTTTTTAAGTCAAAACACTTAAAATTTATTATATTTAGTAATAAATCCCTTTAATTTTAAAAAAATTATCTACATATTTTTTGTTATTCAAATATTTTGACGATTCTTTATCACTTCTCAATTAATATATAAGAGATTATATACAATTATCTCAATTATAGAATGAAAAACTGTTCATTGCAATTCTTTATCTTAGAACAAAATCAAACTATCTAATGAAAATGTAATTATCATACATGAATTTTCTAAAATAAAACTAAGGACAAATTTTTTTTTTAAAAAAAACAAACAAATTAATACAAGTGATTTGTTTGGTTTAACAATAATGCTTCATAAGTAACTAGTTAATTTAAATAGAAGACCTCAAGGAGAAAAACAGGATACTGTACTTAGGATCCGTGTATTAAATGCTTGATAATTAAGAAGACAATCAAATTATTAAAATGATTTATAGACTGAACATTTTAATGGCAATTATGGCACATGGCTTGATTTATAAGCTCAAAATGGGATGATTTGTAAAAGAGTCCTACTTATATCTATTTTTGAATTTGCTTCACAATAATTTTTCTTTAAATATAAAAAACTGAAAGTATAACTAGATAAAAATGTCAAATACTACCATTGACCTCCATAGTCCATAAAATCTAATACCTCAGCATCAGTTATTTCCCATGTGAAGCTATTTAATGAAAATTAATGGTAGCTTTTAAACGATACTACAAGTTTTATTGTTATCTTAATCCCATATTTCCATTCTTTACGAATCTGAAGAGTGAAGGGCTTTCTTTCTTTAGTATGTTTCAAGTCATTCATTAGATCTTTATTGATCAAATTAACTATTAATGAAGTTATTAAGAAGATTGAGTTTGAATCAACGAGTGAACTTAAGCTACGCTTGAGTATAAAATAATAAAGCTGTACGTAATGTTGTATACTTGCAATGTAACTTATTAAAAACACATGAACCTCATATTGTTGTATTGAAGTATCGTCTTTAATCTCCTATCTGGTTGTAGAAAGTAAAGACAAATGGTTTATGGCATTCAAAATCAAAATACAAAGCATTTCTTCCAAATTTTGTTCATTAAAATTTAAAAGACTGGTCGGTCGTAGTCAGAACCGTTTCTATATGAATGAACTTAAATCAATCATGTGAAGGTTGAAATGAAAACTACATTTGTTTATTCAGAGAAGTTTCGAAGTGTTATACGTTTTTCCTTGCATTAATAACGAATAAAACCTCAAACCCTATATGCAGTGTTGCTTTCATTGACTCTGCAAGAGGATCGATGTCTATAGTTGTCTTGTTCTGGTTTAGGGATTCCTTGTACCACTGTCCAAACGCTCCTTTTGGACTTTTTATTCCTCTATTTACGGAAGTTTTAATAAATACATACCGCATTATCCGTTTTCAATTAAAGCCATCGCTTGTCCTAGATCATCTCTTCTTCGTCAACTTGATCCTTGATTCCATTCATTCAATAATTTGTTTTAGACTTTTCAAAATATAATGCTTCTCTTTTGTTGCTATGACATCTACATTAACAAATGGATATGTAACGTCAACTATAATAAATCACAAGATAGCTTTTATCTGTTGAATTAAATGATAACAGCAATACTAACAATTTGCACCTTGCCTAGTTGGGTTGGACTTTGGAGGTGTTCCAGATGACTTACGCCATAAACTTGGGGTTTTATGTTTTGATAAAAATTATACTAAATTTGGGTATTTGAATGTTTTAGTTTATTTTCCGGGTCAATATTTGATAGATGTGTATGTGGGTTCATCAATTAACATGAACTTATTATGTCATGAAAAACACAATATTGTGAGAATATATATAATTTGGAATTGAAGAGAAGGTTTATAGTTTGATTTTATAAGTTATGATCTCGACTACTTTTAAAAGTATGTCCATTGATAAATTCTCACCATTTTACTTGATAATTTTAAGTGCTAACTACCAATCAAATGTAGACTGAGGATACTAGTTATACGTATCTTCAAGACTGGCAACATCTGACAGTTTGGCCGAGTGGTCTAAGGCGCCAGATTTAGGCTCTGGTCCGAAAGGGCGTGGGTTCAAATCCCACAGCTGTCAATACTTTTTCGTTTTTTCTTCTTTAGCACAAATTAATTGGAATTGTGTGACCAGCTCGCCGGAGAATCATCGCAGGAAGTGTGTTCGATGGCGAGAACTTTGACGAATCGATTGGAATCTCGTTTTTTGATTCGTTTCCTTGAATATCCGACTCTGTTAGCCTCCTGCTTCACGAGTTCAAGATCCCTTCAAACCCTAGCCTACGAAGAAGTCCGATCTTCCGGAGATCGGAAGAATGAATCTACAGCTATCATTCTTCATGGCCTCCTCGGCTCCGGCCGCAACTGGCGATCGTTTTCTCGCTCCCTCGCGTCGTCTCTCTCCGTCTCCTCTCCCTCTGGTTTGCCTCTCTTTATATCTGATCGGTATCTCCAGATTTCCTTTGATTTTATCGATTCTTTTGTTGTTTCGTTAATACTAGATTGGAAGATGATACTGGTTGATCTGAGGAACCACGGGAGATCTACGGAGGTGGAAGGGATTAACCCGCCTCATGATCTTGTGAATTCCGCCAAGGATTTAGCTGATTTGGTCAAGGCAAGTGGCTGGAATTGGCCTGACGTGGTCATTGGTCACTCACTGGGAGGCAAAGTAGCCTTGCAGTTCATGGAGAGTTGTGCTCGTGGTGATTATGGTGAATCCGCTTCTCCTCCTAAACAGGTACTAGACGCCCATTTCTCTGTTAATAATTGGGAATTGGAAGAAACTGACTTTGATCTGCTTGATACTGGATTTTTCGTTTTATGCTAGTCATTCAAAAGGATCACGTCTGATAGCAACTTTGGTCTGTTCATTATTTGCTTGTCAATTCTAATGATCTAAGCAAGTTTAGTGAGCTCATTGTGTGTTGTAAGATGCCCGTTTTGTGCCTTTCTTTGAGAATGATGAAGCAAAGCCGGTTTGGTGTCTCTCTCTCTTTGATGCAGAACAGCTATGGGTACTAGACTCTGTCCCTGGGGAAGTCAAGGCAGAAAAAAGTGATGGCGAAGTAGAGAAAGTTCTGCAGACGTTGCAGAGTTTACCTTCACCAATACCTTCCCGCAAGTAAAGTCTCCTTCTTTCCGTGTTTCATGGTTGTTGGTTCACGACTAGTTGTTTCATTTACGGTCAAGTTATGATGCTAACTTTTGATTTGAAATCTCTGGTGAACGTTAGTAAATGTGGTGTATAACATCTCTCTGATTTAGTTGTTGTGTGTGGAAGGGCTTTTTTGTTTTGTTTTTTGCATGTATCAGTAAAGTAAACACGCATATGCATATAGATTAGTGGCAATAAAGAGTATGCTTATATGATTGCTTCTAGTTGATTGTGTTTCACATCAGTGAGGTTCCTTTCCGCTGCGGGGTATATAAATTCAAGCTCGTGCTACTCAAACATTGTTTTCTGATTCTAGGTGGCTCGTGGATCATATGGTCGAGCTTGGGTTTTCAAGATCGTTATCTGAGTGGATTGGCAGCAATCTCAAGAGATCTGGTGACTCAGAGACTTGGGCCTTTAACCTTGACGGAGCTGTCCAAATGTTCAAGTCTTACAGGTTTATTGTCTCTCATAAGAACCAATGATTACAAATTTACAATGATATAATGACCTCCTCAAGAGTTTACTTTCATTCATATGACTTGACTTCTCACTTACCAGAGAGACTTCGTACTGGTCGTTGCTAGAGAATCCGCCAAAAGAGACGGAGATTTCTTTCGTGATCGCAGAAAAGAGTGACCGATGGGACCACGATACGACCACACGGCTTGAAATAATTTCTAACCGAAGACGGAATGTCTCAGAAGGGAAGGTTGCAACTCATCTTCTCTGTAACTCTGGCCACTGGGTCCACACAGACAATCCAAAGGGACTCCTAGAGATTTTGAGCCCAAACTTCTTGTCCTCCACACACAAATAGACGGTGCGATACGAGAACTGCATCAGTGTTTCGTCTGAGCATCTCCAATATATCATTCCATTTATGAAGATGGAATTTTCTTCAATGTATTTCTTCATTTCTTACTCTAAAAAGAATATTTTAAGTATATTTTTAACTTTATTATTACTTCCTGATAATACATTTTATCTATAAATTTACAAATTGACCCATTAACTTATTAGTCATTGTTGTATTAAATTTATGCATTTTAAAATTTACTATCAGTTTATGTTATTAAATCATTTAAGTAACCATTAGGATTAGCCTGAAAAGGTTTCGAATTCTTTAACTTTGCTCCAACATAAATATTGACGTCATTCTTTATAGAACTATCATTTACCTTTTTTTTTGTTTTAATAAATATATGGTAAACTTTAAAACAAATAAATGGAATGTATAGTTTAAATTATATGCATTATGTTTGATATATTTTTCTTTGTCAAATTGTTTTGTACAAATATAGTACATTTAGAAATTTAATATATGGATAACTAGATAAGTATAGTAAATTTAAAACTGAATTTGTTTATCTCAAATCATTAAGTGTTGAAAAACTATTTTATAAATAAAAAAAATTATCCCATTTTTTTTATTTTAAATGGCATTCCTCCATTTTGGAGTTGAAAATAAAGTAGGATTGAATAAAATTTTTTCCAAAATAGAGAAAATAGAGTAGGATTGGAAATGCTTGAAATAGCAAATTCAATCGCAACCAATAACTTAAAATAGCATTTTGTTTCTCGTGTTAATGTTCGTTTTTCGTTTGCTTTTGCATTTCCTTTAACAATGTACAAACGTGTAAAAGTATTTAATAATGTTCTGCCAAAATTAAATTAAACTTGTTACTGTTTCTATTAGCTTCAAGCACAAGATTTAACTGATATCTTAAAAAACGTTGGGGACCCCAAACCCATATGGCTTTCATAAATTCACTCGATCACTTGTTAGTCTTGGATGGATTCCAGGTGAGTGAGACAGGGATGAGCTCTGCCATAATTAGGGGAAGCAATGCTACAACATCAGATGAGATAAAATGCTCAAAAACTGTTTTAAAAAAAATACTCAAAACCTCTTTTTTAGAATCGGACGCTTAGGCAAAAAACCTAGATCCAAATATCTGAACTGGAACCAAATTAAAATAGAGATATCGAATCCGAACTGAAATCTAGAAAAATATTCGATAGATTTTAAACTTTTATATTTAAAGAACCAGAACAGAACAGAACCGAACCGAACCAAAACCCGATCAGATACTCGAATTATCCAAAATATAATTATATACCTTTAAATATTAGTTATTTTTTTATATTTATGATATTTTGTGTACCAGATATATATTTTTTAATTTTTTAGGATTTTTAAATATATTTTTGGGTTTTGAGGTATTATGGCTTTAAGGCTGGACAAAAAACCTAGATTCGAGTATCTGAAACTAGAACCGAATCAAAATAGAGATACGGAACCCGAACCAAAATCTATAAAAATATTTAATGGGTTCTAATCCTCTTTATCCAGATATTCCAAATCAATTGGTTCCAAACCGAAATCGACCCGAATACCTGAATGCCGCAGACCTAGGGAAAACGATCGGCATAATTAACGTAATGGGCCTTAATATTTGGGGCCGGAAGATATTTGGGTTTTAACCTAACGGAAATTCAGACTATTAAAGCCAATTCTCTGGTTCGTCATCTCTCTCGCTCGCTAAAGGCGGAACAGAAAGAAACCCTAGTTTCCTTTGTCCGTTCGAAACCATGGTAAGCTCTGTCTGAAGCTTGTTATTTTATTTTCTTGGATTTCTTGATTATAAAAACTTTATAGTCTCCCGTTCGTTAGCTAGATTAGAGAATACAGTTTCAGTTTCGTAATCTTAGTTTTAGTATAACTTAGAGGGGTAGTACATGGATACATCTGGAAATCCGATTGAGTGGTAGTGTGAAATGAAAAATGTTTTTCTGAAGCAATCCTTTTTTTCGGATTTCGATCTGAGATCACATGAAGTTTCGGAAGATTGGGTTTTTAAATCAGCATTAAATTATCAATTTTGACTAGTGTTTTTAAGATACTGCATAACTCGTAATTCAAGTTGTTTTGGTGAAAAATGTAGTCGAGGAGAAAGACCAGAGAGCCAAAGGAAGAGAATGTGACGCTTGGACCTGCTGTTCGTGAAGGAGAGAATGTCTTTGGTGTTGTCCACATCTTTGCTTCATTCAACGACACATTCATTGTGAGTCACCTTCTTCTGTCGTTTTTTTTTAAATTTTCGACCAGTGAAATTTCCATTTACATTGCTGAAATTTTGTGTATCTGCATTTTCAGCACGTTACTGATTTGTCTGGACGTGAAACACTTGTTCGCATCACTGGTAAGTATCTATCGCGCGACTCTTAATCCATTGGTAAATTTACCTATCTATACATAGAATCGGTTGTTTCTGATAATATTGGTCCTTGTATACTTTAGTGAGTGTGAGATAAATTGTATTTAGTCTCTCACTTTTGAGAACTTTGATGAATTCCTTGATATCTTCTATAAACATTTTCTTTAATTAACTACGTATATTGCCGGTAAATAGATGTTCCCAGTCTCTGTTCTTTTGAGGCAGTAGTGTATAACATTAAGTGCTTCTCGTCTGCAATGGGTGTCTTTAGTTGATGTTTCTAAACAATGAAGAATCCTTTTATTATACTTTTAAAGGAAATTGCATTTGTTCTTGAATACATTATACATCTGCTTGGCTTCTAAATTGGCTGATTTGGATTTGAAATCCCTATAGGTGGTATGAAAGTGAAAGCCGACAGAGATGAATCCTCACCTTATGCTGCTATGCTTGCTGCACAAGATGTTGCTCAGCGATGCAAGGTAAGAGCCAATAATATTCACTAACAAAGCTGGACGATTTTGTTTGCTTTTTCTTTTGTTTTTTGCAAATGTGATCAGTTTGTGCAATTACAGGAACTGGGAATCACAGCCATGCATGTGAAGCTCCGTGCTACTGGTGGTAACAAGACCAAGACCCCTGGTCCTGGTGCACAGTCTGCCCTTAGAGCCCTTGCCCGCTCTGGCATGAAAATTGGTCGCATTGGTATAAGCAAATCTTCATATATAAATGGTCTTTTTTCTATGGCGTCTTTGAATGAACAGATCTCTCACTTTGTTTTTGGTTTTTTTAACTTAGAGGATGTGACTCCAATCCCAACCGACAGTACCCGCAGAAAGGGTGGAAGAAGAGGAAGGAGGCTTTGAGTTTTTTGGTCTCGCTCTATGGGCTCATCTTTCTTTCTCTGTTTCTTTTTGTCTTTTTTGTTAGATTGAAAAGAGTTTTGGATTACTATGCGTTGTTGTAGTGTCAACTCTAAAAATATTTTTCTTCCTGCTATATAAGACATTCAAAATTTGGTTTGTCATTTTTCTCATCAAAATCGTCTTGGTAGAAAGAAACAAATCTTCCATCTATAATAAGGGTCTTGGAATAAACAAGTCTCTAACATTGTTCTCGTTTTGTTTGCCTCGTAATAATCTTCTTGGATTTTAGATGTTCTATGTGCAAAGTTTTGTGATACCATATCGTGGATTTTGGATTCTCGTCCCCTATAAGTAATTTGTATATATTGCTTCTTTTAGAGTATGCATACTAAAACAACAATCAAGTATCAATCCCCATATGCGACACTAGTAGTGTGGGGTGTGTATCCTCGATCCCAATTCCGCCGTACGGAGATATGGCAGATTCTTTCTACTCTAATTTGAATGAAAATTCAAGTCTTATTCACCCTCTAATTCCATTCACAAGAAGCTGATAATACATAAGATTATTTCTCTTGAATCATGTGGCGACTTAAGTTTAAACATTAAAGGAACACATTTCTCACTAAGTCTAGTCACTCCATGCCATGAGAATCATTCACTGATCATGATCCGATATAACCGCAAAGTTTGGTTAACGAATAGTTTTTTTTTTCTTCTCTTTTTTCATTAGTTTTCGCTAAGCAATATTTCGTCCTTTTCTATCAAGGGATTTGAAAAATGGGACTCAGCTTTGTTACAGGCCTTTTTACCACAGAAAGGGCCCAGCCCAATTTAACTTCAAAACCCTAATCCTGGCGTCGAGGTATAAAATCCGCCTCCTTCTTCTCTAGTGTTACGGGATAGAAGACGAACTAAAAAAGATGCAGATCTTCGTGAAAACCCTAACCGGCAAGACCATCACCCTCGAGGTCGAGTCCTCAGATACCATCGACAATGTCAAGGCCAAGATCCAAGACAAAGAAGGTAACCATCCTACTCAATCTACATGCTTCCCTTCTAATGACTTGTTTTTCTTAAAAAAGATTTTGTGAGATCAAATCTCTTATATGTCACTTTTTTTTTTCATTTAGGAATCCCTCCGGACCAGCAGCGATTGATCTTCGCCGGAAAACAGCTCGAAGATGGCCGTACTTTGGCTGACTACAACATCCAGAAAGGTTCAGATTCGTCAAATGTTTGTGTCGTCTATTTCAATTTAGAATAGATCAATTCTTATCAATTGTTATCTTATGTGATCAGAATCCACGCTTCATCTTGTGTTGAGGCTCAGAGGAGGTATCATTGAGCCTTCTTTGATGGCGTTGGCTCGTAAGTACAACCAAGACAAGATGATTTGCCGCAAGTAAGCTTCAATTCTTCTCATTTCCACTAATTTTTTCTTGATTATTGTTTCCATTTTGTCTCGGTTCCTGATTAGTTCAAAGCACGAATTGTTTCGTTGAATTTAGTATATCTTGTGATAGAATTAAGCGTTTTTGTGGGAATTAACTTAGCTTCTCAAGCCATTTACAATGCATGCGAGGTTATAAATGTTCCCAATATCATCGTTCCATTCTCTAAACTTTGTCAGCTGGTCAAATTTCTCATCTTTCCAGATGATTTTCTTGAATGGTACATTTATTAAATGATATAGGTAGATAAATGTTCATTTTGTCTTTACACTAGCTTGTGACTCCTGATAGCTTTTGCAATTTCTTGTGTGTTTAGCTTTAGATATTTAGTTCAAGCCCATTTTTTGATATAGTCGTGTTAGTTGTTATGTCGTCTGATTTTGATGTCCTAATGTTATACAAAAATTTTAGTTTATAGATTATCCTAATGTAGTTCCACATTTGTGATTAGGTGTTACGCTCGTCTTCACCCAAGGGCCGTGAACTGCAGGAAGAAGAAATGTGGCCATAGCAACCAGGTTCGTTTCTGTTTTGCTTCTCTTGTGGTCTGTTCAATTTACCTATTCAAACTATATTTCTGAATAACATTTTCTTATGTCATCTTTCTTGCAGTTGAGGCCTAAGAAGAAGATCAAGTAGACTCATTTCAACAATCTGATCTTGCTTGCCTCTTTTCTTTTTTTGTCTTCCCCCTTGATAAAACTGTTCTGATTCAGTGGACTTTATGTTAAAAGATTATATCAGTAAAAGGATTTGGTTTTCTATTCATGCTGAATCAGTTTTGGATTTCTTTATTCCGATATGCATAAAAGCTTGTTCCGATATACTTATTCATCCTAGACGTTAGCGTAACCACGACGGCAAACGAAATATTAAATTGACGAATTTTTAAATTGAATGAGTGAAAATGGTTCTTGTACGTTGGTTCTTCTTTACTGTGAAATTAATGGTTGAGGCTTTATATGAAGAACAAATCATTCTGTTATTTACAATTAGTGAACTTTTACTATTAATGCAATATTATAGTTTAGAAACATGAAATGGCTTGAGATTTGAGAAGCTATTGAAGTTGGAAACACAGAGTCAAAACTTTTGGGATACATGAAACCGGTCGACTCTTATGTTGCTTCTTGATGTTGCTTCACTGCTATTTCATTATTTACTCTGTATACGTTTTTTAAAAAGTATTATGATTTAATTGTAATTCTAGTCCATCTAAGCAAATGGACTATGTACAAACTGAGTCAATAGAAAAGAAACACAATAAGAAGTTTATTTTCTGTTGTATCACAGACTCTCTCTTCTCTCTCTCTCTCTTAAAAAAAATAAATGAAATTTCTTAAGAAAAAAGTAAAAAAGAGTGATCATTTAGCTCCTTGGTTCATCTTCAAAGGCTTCTGCATGTTCCATGCATTGAGGCTCTCTACGGTCACAGGCTGTGACCCATTGTTGAAGACAAACAAATGAGCTTTATCTCCTACTGCCTTTGTCGGATACACTCGAGATGTTATCACTGTCTTTCCTTTTGCACCAAAGCTCTCCACGACGGAGTGATCAATCTGCATTTATTATAATTAGTGCCAAATCCTATTTGTTATTTCATCTTATATACAAAAATGTTCAGAAACAGAATGAATTCAATTTGTGACGTACCAAACTTCTTAGAGAGATCTTTCCGTCGGCTAGATCGACATCAACAAAACCAGCAAATGAAGGTTTGTACATCTTCTCCTTGGCGTCAGATCCGGTGTCTGTTTTGAGAGTTGAACTGTTGAAACATATAAAGATAAATGTTAGACACATCAACAACAAGATGGTTTTTATAGCGTAAAAACGACTTTTTGTGTTTATATATTATGATAGTTTAGTCGTCATTTTTAGATTTGAAAAACGTAAACAAACTATTGTAGTGTACATGTAGTTTCAAGATGGAAATGCCGTAAATATCAACTTTGATAATGATTAATTTTTTTCTTGAACCAAAAGCATATACTATAATTAGTGGGTTTAGGGAAACATACGGCTTGGCGTCGGAGCACATGAGGACCTTAGGCTTGTTGGTTGTGGCATCTTTGAAGACTCTGAAGAAGACAGGAGTGTATTCTTCTAGGTCAGATGTAGCCAGGGTGATCAAACCAAAAGGTCCAACGCCTCCTGTCACATTTGAACCCTTCAAATTACACAAATCTAGTGGTTTTGTTGCAAAGCTCGGGTCGAAATTTTCGGCCTTCTCTAGACTTCCAACGTTAAATGTCACATCAACATCCACCTATATTTACGTTCAGATTTTCAATCTCAAGCATTAAAGTATTAAACCCTAACATCTTGATAACTTTATATATTATGAAACCACAATAAATATTAATTACCTGAGCTGGGGTAATTCCTTGGACCTCAAAGCGTTGGCCCTTCTCCATTTTCTGGTTGTTCATTTGTACATTCTTTCCTCTTAATGACTCAATCTCTTCAATAGGCCAAAACACGAGTTGCTTACCGCTAGAGTCAAGCAAGACTGTTCTTGGGATAAGCTGAATTCCGGCCCAACCCTTTGAAGTATCATCTTCAACGGTGTCGGATTCGTTGGCCCAACCCCAAAGAATTCTTCTGTTCTTCATGTCATCAAAGAACGTCTTTGACGCATAGAAGTTACCATAGTCGAATCTCAAACCATCCCAACCATCAGGAGTGTTACCGTCTGGTCTGTAACGATCCTTCTTGGTATCATACTTTCCAAGAGTGTAGTACTCGTACCGGGTCAAGTCCAAGCTAACCTTCAGCACATGCTTGGTGTTTGGACCCTCGTAACTGAAGTCCAAACCGGTTTTCTTGTCGGTGGACACAGGGAAAAAATCAGGACATTCCCACATACCGGTTTTTTTTCTCGAGTGGATGGGACGCTTGGTTTTGACCCATTTCTTGAAGTCACGACTTTTGTACATATAAGCAATTCCTCTATGCTTTCTCTTTGAGCCCACAAGCATTCTCCAATATCCATCTTTTTTGTTAAACCAAGCTGTGGTCGGGTCACGGAAAGCAGAACCATTCTCGCCATGATTGGGTCTTACGATTGGATTATCGTCTGGTTTGATCCACTTCTTGAGGTATGGGTCAGAAAGGTCTTGTGGAATGGCATAGTTTTGGATCTGAGTCTGGTTCTCGGTGATACCAGTGTAGAGGATTACCGGTCCTTTTCCTGGTACATGTGTAGCTGAACCAGACCATGTACCGTTGATATCGAACCATTTAGAGGGGTAAATAGCCGGTTCAAGTGCTTCCCAATTGATCAAATCCTTAGAAACCGAATGTGCCCACACAATGTTACCCCAAACCGCACCTTTGGGATTGTATTGGTAGAAGAGATGGTAGACTCCCTTGTAGATCATTGGGCCTGTTTCATTTATTAATACATTATACATTAACTAAATCATATCCTGATCTTTTTGATTAACTTCTTAAAAAAAAAAAAAACTTGTGATGGTCTTACCATTTGGATCTGTTGGAGTCGAGAATGGCACGAGGAAGATTGATTGCAAACCATCAAACCAAAGGAAGTATTGGTTAGAACAATATATTTTGGTTGATATATAGGTTCATAAAACTCTTAATCAACAATAAAAAAGAAGCACTTTCTTATGTTTTCGCCGTGAAAATAATGTTACGACCAAATAAATGTATGAACTTTGAATAAGATGTCAAACTGTACCGTTGATCCAGTGGCGTGGAGGTTGAAAGTGAAAGGCGGTTCTGTGAAGAGGACTAACTATTTCCAACGATGTCGATTTAGATTGCAATTTCCTATAAACTTTGTGAAATGCATCGACGCCATTTATATTATTATTGCTTATATTGATTAATACAAACAATACTAACACAGAAACAATCTTTGAAGCACTCATTGGTGCAAGAAAAATCTATGACCACAACAAATTTTTTTGTTTGTTTTTGGTGTGTGTTTTTAACACCTCTACAAAGAGAGAGAACTCTGTGATGAAGATAAATAGTTTTTGATGCAATGTTTATATATAAGAAAAAGGGGGAAAATAGATTAGTTTAAAATTAATCTGGATCCGGAAAATAGTCTTAATCTCATGCTAAAATTAGAAGTATAATTTGGCTTTGCAATTTTACCTTTTGTGGTCTTTTTATCCATTTTAACAACCTTTTCTAACCCAAGTTAAAAGTCAAATGTTGAGGTCAATAGTTTTGATTTTTTTCAGTAGGTTTGTCAAAACTATAATGGCGTGGTGAAAGGAAAAATAAAGGATAAAGATAAAATAAAAACTAGTATGCGAAGAAACAGAGTAGATTAACTAATTGGAGCGAGACCTTTCGATGGCATGGCGTCAAGATTCAACTAAAGTTGTTACAAGAAGGAACAAGTTGAAGTTACCAATAGTCTCCACATGAACAAGAACCTTCCTTGAAGCAATGGAACCGGTTTGCATCTCTTACTACAACCTCTCTCCTTGTAACCAGTGATGCAAACTTGAAAAAACCATGGCAGTCACCACAAACCCTGAGATTCTTTGTGATTCTTAAGAGACTACCCTCTGGTGTCGCAATCAAACCAAACGCTAGCGCCAGCTTTTCGCTATGTAAAGATAACATCCCGACTTTAACCTCTTCATCGACATCGTGCAACACAAAATTAGTATCCGGGACATAGCCCGCCTTCTCAAGCTTCTCAGTCAAAACCCTGAGAGCGTCATAAATCTCCTTAGACTTAGGATGAGTCCTGTCCCCAACCTTAAACCTATGCGTTTTGTTATTAGCTTCGATCCATGTATAACCAGGGACTTTCTTTAATCCCCTTTGGTTCATCAAGTTCCTAATTTTAGCAACCTCCTTCCATTTACCGTCGTTTGCATAAATATTAGAGAGTAAAATGTAGTGACCTGGGTTCTGTGGCTGTAGTTCAAGCAAGGAGATAGCCACTTTCTCTGCCATTTCTACATTCTTATGAATCCTGCAGGCACCGAGAAAAGAACCCCATAAAGTTTCATCTTTTTCAATCGACATGGTTTCAATCATCTCTCTAGCCTCATCGAGTCTACCAGCTCGACCCAAGAGATCAATCATACAAGTATAGTGTTTCACGTTTGGCCTTGTGCCGTACTTTGGCATCAGATCAAAGATCTCGAGGCCCTCTTCGACGAATCCTGCGTGGCTGCAAGCATTAAGCAGAGAAACGAAAGTGATTTCATTGGGAGATAACCTTCTCTCTAGCATCGCATGAAACAACTCAAGAGCCTGTGTTGCTTTCCCGTGATACCCGTACGCAGCAATCATCGCGCTCCACGAAATAACGTTTCTTTCCTTCATCGAATCAAACATTTCTCTCGCAGCATCAACGTTTCCACACTTTGCATGCATATCAATCAGAGCTGTTCCCAGAATCACACCAACAGGAAAATTCATCAAGCGGATATAATCATGAAGTATCACCGCCTTGTGCAAAGATCCAAGCTTAGCACAGGCGTTAACAATGGTAACAATGGCTGCTCTATCAGGAACAATTCCTTCATTCCTCATCCGTTCGAACAAGACCCACGATTCATCAAGCCTTCCTGAATCCGCACACGCACCAATCATCACCGTCCAAGTAACAAGGTCTCTCTTAGGCATTTCATCGAACAGTTTACATGCATCATCGATCATACCACATTTCGCGTACATACCCACAAGCGCTGCACAAACATAACAGTCCAAATCCATACCAGACTTCAACGCTACTTCATGAATCAATCTACCTACGACAACATCTTTCTTATCTCTGCTAGCCCTAATCACTATCGGCAACGTGTAATTATCAAGATTCAGACTTAAACGAACAATCTGTCTAAAGACTCGCAAACAGTTGAAGAAATCGCCAGTTTTCGCAAACCCACCAACCATCACGCTCCAAGACACAGAATCCTTGACGCTCACTTCTTCGAACAATGCCTCTGCATCAGCTATCGCTCTGAATTGCGCGTATATGTAAATCAGCTTGTTTGCTACGGGAAGCTCCTGTAAAAAGCCGTTGACGATCACTTGGGCATGGATTTTTCCAACATCAACGACGCTTTTGCAGCTAAGAATCGCGGATATGTAATCCCCAGTGTCTCGGGAGGATTCGGGTAAGCTCCGGGAATCAGTGAGAGAAACAGAGGAAGATTGTTCGTGGGAATCATCGGAAACTGCATAAGCGGCTGAACAATTGGAAAATCGCACCTTGTTAATGGTGGCGTTGCTCGAGAACAGAAGAAATCTACCTCTGAGATTCCTCAACATGATCAAACATTTGTATTTAGGACTTAGGACAGATCAAACATTTGTATTTTGTGTTACGCAAATTCCGAAAAATCGAGCCAAAACAAGACCGAAATGTAAAATTTCGAAATTGCAAAATCAATTATAATTTTGAAATACTAAACCGGTAAATCAATAAACCGGGGAATCGAGAAAAAGGTACGTCACTGTATCTTTCTTCCCCATATTAGCCAACAACCTGACAATATGACCAATAGAAAATCAAAAACAAAATCTTAGATTCTCTCTAGCTATTTCTTCTTTCTCTTCTACAATGAGTGAGCAGAATCCGAATCGGGTACTCGAATCCGAGACCCGACCCGTTGGAGGCACCGAATACAGCTGGTGCAGAGCAATCACCGGCGGCACAGGCATCGCCGTCATAGCTCTCTTACTCTCCCGAACCCCAAAACTCGAAAATCTCCAAAACACCCTCGACAAACTCCAGATTTACCATCCTATCCTCCGCTCAAACATCCGTTTCGACGCATCCTCAAACTCCTTCTCCTTCGTAACCTCCGCCGATTCACGCGTCGAAATCCAGCCCTTCGATTCCGCATCCACGGCTCAGATCATCAGAGACAGCGACGATCCATGCGCCGAACCGCACAGGATCATCCTAGAACACGAGCTGAACAAGAACACGTGGATCGATCCACACCGTTGGACCAACGGCGAGGCCGGCGTGTTTTTCGTCAGCATTTACGATGTGAGAGACGGCGAGGAGAGGATACTGACGTTTCGGCTGAACACTGGGGCGTGCGATCGGACTTCGGCGGTTACGCTTCTGAGGGAGTTTATGAGAGAGACGGCGACGGCGGCGGCGGGAGACGGATGCGGTGGCGGTGGAAACGGTCCCGTGGCGGAGACGGCGGGGTTAGGGAAGGCGATAGAGGAGATGGTTCCGAGTGGGAAAGGGAATAAACCGTTCTGGGCGCGTGGAATCGACGTGCTGGGTTACTCGCTGAACGCATTTCGGTTCTCGAATTTGAGTTTCGTGGACGCAGAGGATTCGAATCGGAGGTCGCAAGTGGTGAGGATGAAACTGGAAAGAGATGAGACTCTCAAACTTGTGGCTGTGAGTGTCTCTCTCTCTCTCTACATTCGTCTTTAATTATTGGCTGCGTATTTGCTTACTATTATTATTGCGTATTGTTTAAGAGTATATTGATATTTTTGATTCCAGTAATATATCTACCTGCAGTATATAGTGTACTTTAACGCTTTATTTATGTAAAATGTTTAAAGGATTTTGATTTTTATTTGTATAACCATTTTCCGAGAGAAAACAAAAATGTCAGACTCATTTTATATGAGTTTTGGCTATTAGCTGATATGATAAGTTGATAACCAAATGTTGGTTTGAATAATTAGATATGAATATTATTAGTCTCGCCATGCCTTGCGAGTTATAGAGATGCTCAAAATGACACACTCTAAAACAGAAAACACATGAGAGTTTTTTTTTTCTTTTTTTATGGGAAAATATAGTTCTTTTAGTAGTATACATCTCAAGATTTTCCCATTCATTATATATGTTCACGTTCGTTTCCATTCAAAAAGATATCTATGGGAAATAAAGAAAACATGAATTGCATGCCATCATGACAGGCATTTATAAATGCAAATAGTTAATGTTCGAGATACGCTTACATTTGATTTGTAAAACAAAAAGAACAAGAAGAAGGTCTTTGGTTTGTGCTGAGAATTTGGAACATTCAAACCATTGCAGGGATGCAAGGCAAGAGGGATAAAGCTATGGGCAGCTATAGCCGCGTCGGGGCTGATCTCTGCGTACTCTTCGAAGAAGCTACCGCAAAACCAAGGAGAAAAATACGCCGTGGTTACTCTTTCTGACTGTCGTTCCATTCTCGAACCTCCTCTTACTCCTAATGACTTTGGTAATCCCTCATTTTTGAAATTACAATACACCAATTCATATTAATATATGTGTTTTTAGATCTTCTCAACAATCTTTCCATGAGGCAACATATATATATATATATACGTTTGGAGATTGTTTGTTATCTTTGTGTTATAATTGCATGACATAATAGACGTTTTTGATAATGTTTTTTTTGTTTTGTGTTTATTTCAGGTTTCTACCACTCAGGGATCCTTCACACACACGACATAACCGGAGAGGAAAAGCTTTGGGACTTGGCCAAGAGATGCTACGACTCTTTCACATCCGCAAAGAACTCAAACAAGCAGTTCACAGACATGTCGGATCTCAATTTCTTGATGTGCAAGGCTATAGAGAACCCTAACCTCACGCCTTCCTCGTCTCTAAGAACCGCTTTCATCTCCATATTTGAAGATCCCGTGACAGACGAATATACAGAACCTGCATTGGTTTCTGTCGCTGTTCGAGATTACATCGGATGCGCATCGATTCATGGCGTTGGACCATCCGTTGCGGTTTTCGATTCGCTTAGGGACGGTAAATTGGACTGTGCGTTTGTGTATCCTTCGCCGTTGCATTCGAGAGAGCAAATGGATGGGTTGATTCAACATATGAAAGCTATTCTTTTGCAAGGATCAGCTTCTTCCTTTTGATTTGTTTGTGTTTTGACAAAAATCCAAACTCTCTCTTGCGTCCAGAGGCATAGATAAATATTTTATGAAGAAAAATAAATCTACCTCGTATGTTGCAACACACATATGCGTACGTTTACCATTACTATAATGAGTGCGGAAAACCCGAACCGAAAAACCAAAATATATCCTTGAATAAACCGGATGGTTTTCGGTTGAAGAAACTCTAGTAAACTACATTTGCGGTGGATAACTAACAAATCGTTCACCTCAATCGATTTTCTATATCCAGAGAGTGTAATTTCAAGTTAATGAATTTTCAGATGTTAAAATTAGATTATTTTTTTTTTGTGTTTTAATCATGGGAAATGTGGAATGAACGAATATGGCGGATTCTTGTTTAAGAAGAGCGCTAAAATAAAGGCTAATCTAATGGCTGAAAGATACATAGCAACACAACAAACTCCAAACTATTTTTAGAGCACAAGAGTTTAATTTGCCACAAAAATCCGAAATTTAATTACTTGCCTCGTTTGCTAGCTATTGTCATTTTGTTTTTGTGTTCAAAGCATTCTTTTCAGAAAAAACAAATCAAACGTAAAAAAGGTTTTAACTGTGAAAATGGCAACGGATGGGACGGATACAACAGCTTTTCCAGAAGGCGACGCAGAAGCTGAATTAAATCCTAGCCAAAACACGAGTTTCGAAGTAGATCCTGTTTCTTCCGAGATCGCTTCTGATAAGGTATTATACTTTTATAGGTTTTTAAAAAAATCAAAGTTTTAAACACATACCGTAAAAAAGATCCTTATTGGTATAGTTATTGGAGGAGTTGATTTTGCATGCGTTTGAATGGTTAGAACTTTATAAGCTCTGTATGTGAATTTGTATTTATATTATCTTATGTTTTTGGGGTTTAAAATTTGGAAAGGTACAACAAAACTTGGAAAGGAAGGAAGCCGCAAAGGCAAGGAGAGACGCCGCACAAACGCTGAAAAAGACGATCATAATATCAGCGGTGATCGTGGCCGTAGCCGGAGCCGCCTTCGCTATCACCAAAAAATTGAAAGAGAAATGATTTTTATACACAAGTTGATTCTCAATTTTCCTCTTTAATTATGTAACATTTATTTTTTCAACAATATAAGAAAAAAAAAACTCTATATAATTCTATATTTATCTCCTTATTTATTACTGTGATATGTAATTTTCGAATTTAATAATGCAATCGAATATTAATGATCTACCTTCTTTGAAACGATTACAAAACTATGTTTTGGGTATTGCGTTTAATGAATGTTAATAAAGTTGATAATATTTTTTTTTAAAAAAAAAATTGAAACTAGTATGATTCAAAAATTAGAATTCATGAAATCATGATTTAATCATCTTTAAAATGTGTTCAAAACCTATACCAACATAATATTTTTTTTGTTAGTTTTGTTTTGTGAATTGTGAAACGCAACTATCCAAGGAAAATTTGTGAAGCCCAATGGGTATATAAGACAGATATGAGGCCCAAATTGATTGTTGAAGGTCCCATTAAAACCCTCACTTTTTTGGCGCCATCTGAAGCTTTTTAACTCCCGCCCAAATTTCTCTCCATTACTTTCTCAAAGCCAAATAAGCTCAGAGGTCAAAAGACCAAATCATTAGCAACTTTCGACGAGCGATTCATCTTCTCAAATCAGGTAAATTTTCTCAAACAATTGTATTTCTCTATTGCCGAATATGAGTAGACTTCTTTTTCCTTGGATTGAATTTAATCGGAGATTCTCAAATCAATTTTCCCACTTTTTTTTTTTCTCACCTCCGCGATAAAATTGTGATTACCAGTTTATTTGTTCGTCTTCCGATTTCATCCTCTGATGTTGAATACGAAAACTAATCAGTGATTGATTGTTTTTTTTTTTTTTGATTTTTTAAATTTCATTCAGTATCCAAATTTCAATCTCTAACTCAAATCTTTTGAAGTAGATTCATCAAATGGATACTTCAAGTCCATCAGCTTTTGTGAACGGAGCTCTCTTGAGGCGATACATTGGCCAGAAAGTCAGAACCGTGGTTCAAGTGATCGGTTCCGACATGGGATCTGTCGTCGGAAAATCTACTGATGATCTTCAGATCTTTGTTAAGGGATCGCCTCCTGCTTCTACTACTACTTACCTCGAGGTCATTGGAATTGCAGAGAGTGAAAACTCCATTCGAGCTGAGACTTGGACCAATTTTGGGATCAGCTTTGGTAATGCACTGATTTCTTTCACTCTTCTTTTTTTTTTGAGTTATAAAGCTTGCTGAAATGTTTCAATGCAATCAATGAAACTCGAACATTTATCTCTTGGATTGTTCAATGAATAAGATTATCTCTGAAGATGTATCGTGTTCCATTTTTATGTCTTGAGATTTGCTTCTTATTTTGTTTTTGTTTTGTAGATGCACTCAACTACAACGAGCTGTGTAAGCTAGCAAATGGGGAATTCAAGCATTTGTTCATCTAAGGATGATGATCATTTGAAGCGATTTCTATTATAAACTTTTTTGTAGATTCTTATGATATGCTTTATGTATCTGATCTCTCAACTTTCTGCTAAAAATATCTGATACTTGCCTATTTTAAGAACCTAACTAAGCTTCAGTTTGCTGTTTTATTATAATATAAAATTCCGATGAAATTTTTTCTCCATTGTCATACTTCAATCGGGTTGAATAAGCTGGAACGTACCTGGCACAACCAGTACCAAGATACTCGGCACGTTTAATTCAAGCGAAATCATCGAGGTGACTATGGTAGAACTTATTCGCAAACTTGGTATCAAAGTCTTCAAGAACAACAGCTGAAGTCTGAGGGTTGCAACAATGAAATATCATGTTATACCTTTTTCACTCTAGGCCATATTATTCAGAACCACATAACATTAAGCAATAAGTATACTTTTCCTGTCATATTCAACGACTTTTGTAACAAAGTTATAATGAGATGAAATCACCAATGCTCACATATCAACTGAGAGTGAAGTATATTTGAAGAGTTACTATCTCTTTCAAATTGTCTTTCCATACATCTACCTTTTTCATGAATGCCATCCATCCATGGAGGTATTCCAGGGTTTGTAATATCAGCTGAAAGAATCTTGATGTTCTTTGATGCAAGTGAATCCTGAGCTATCTTTAAAGCATCTAGTGTCATGTTTGTAATCGAAGAAACCTAAAGCTGAACACCAAAATTGGAGATTAAGTCGCCTAGGGCAGATTCATATGATCTAATGAATTAAGTAAGAGTTTTAGATTATAAGGAATTTATCACCCTAGTTTATGAGTAAACAAGTTATTATAAATTGAAACGAAAAGATTGTTAAAAAAAAAAAAAAATTCTGTTCAGAAATTGGTCTCACAATCAATCTCTTATAATTGTTATCACTATTAACAACATTATGAAACAACGTACTTGTAAGAAGTTTATCAAAAGCATTAGATTTCAATATTATTTCAACGTTGTTCTTGCAGTATTACTACTATTATTGATCTGTTTTCAGTTGCTATCGAATCCTCCTCGCGCTATCAAGCCTATGCCTCTTGGCCTCTCCATCGAGCACAACCTTCATGTGAACACTACCTACACCATCCTACGTTTCTACCACTTTTATTTATTTGTCTTGATGCACATAAGACTTGAGTCCATCTAAGGTCGAGATATAGGTACCTGAAACAAAACAATACCAAAAGATTTATCAAATTATCATTGTCCGTAAATTAGAGTCAAGAGAGAATGAACCACACTTTTTCTCATCTTTGGGAAAATAGCCTTAGCATTTTCCACATCTGATCTTCACTATTTCAGAATTCATAGCAAGAACAAGTCTGTCTTGCTTAACTCTTCCCCCAATATAACATGAGGTGAGCATCAAGATCCTACCATCAAATCACAATCCTCATGTTCACAATTCTCAAATTCGTAAATGGCCAACCTTTGAAATTTAAATAGGCTAAAAAAGAATAGATTGGGTTTCTGCACATATTTTGAACATGACATTTTAATCCAATATTCACATCTTTCTTAAACCATCTAAACCAATAAATCTATTGAAAATGAGTCCAAGTATGTGCTTAATCAATGTGTTCATCACCGGCTCTGGCTACAATGCAAATTTAATCATAGATGAAAAGATATTGACTGCTGTTGATCTCAACGCAGACTAATGACTCCTATTATTGCCTCTAGATCAAGTTTCGAGTAAGGTCTTGAAAATAAAACGAGAACCTGAAACTTCTGAAAAGAAATATTTATGAGTCATTCAAACAAGACAAGAATGCATAATTTTGTACGTACACTCTTAAGGAATAAGTCCTTGTTCATGAATGTTTGTTGTCAGGCTTTTAGCTGATATGAGGTATGAGGAAAGTCTGCAGGTCTGGCTCAGCACGAGAGATTAGTTTTTAAGTTGCTAAAGTTTACTATTTTGATGTCATTTTCTTTTAAAACAAAACTGTTCGCATCTTTGTTGTAGAAAACGTTATTTTTTTTTTGTTTGAATAAATTTAACATTCATTCAAAAAAAAAATGTTTGTTGTCTCATCAGGAGGTATTTGTATGGAAAAGATACATTTGGGAAAGAAAAGAAGAAAAAGAAGTGGCTTCATACATTATAAAGGGAAACTTTCTCCACAATACCCATTGAATCCAAAGAGCTCAACAAGTTGGAAGAGAGATGTAAGATACTCAAGGAGTTGGATGGTCTAATTAATGCTTCAGATTCATCATGCCACCTTGTGTTTGAATCCAAGTTGATCTTATATGTGGTTAAACCCCTTTTTTGTCACATAGGCTTAATTACCATGCATGTTTTTTTTATTGCTTTAGTAGGGATTTGTACAGGTTTTGGATTCTGAGTATGCATCATACATGGTGCTCCGATTTTTAGGTTTTGTGGTTTTAATATGGAGAGTTTTAAAACACGATTCAGAGTATAATTAAGCGAGCCAGAGTATCGGAATCTTGATTAAGAATCAAATATCAATGCCAAACCAATCCACGAGTTTCTCAAAAGACAATACTAAACCAACTCAATTGAATATCTGAAACAGAATTTTCATTACTCCATCTGTTTCAAATGTGTCATACTACAATTTTTCGCACATATTAAGAAAAACCATTATATATAAAGAGAGTCATCTCTCTTAATCTAGAATGTCCACATCAGCCAAAAACAAAAACAAAAACAAAAACATCCCCATAAAAAAAAACATTTCAGTCCTGCTTTAAGATTTTTGTAATGAAGGATTTGGCAACCAAAATCCCGATGTAAGCCAGCGTTGTGACTGTAATACCTGCGACAAGGACTGCATTGTCGTATACTGAGTGCTGGACCGTGTACACATGCACCCTTATAGTGTTCCAATTGCTCTCCGTCCAGACCGGATCAACCATCCCCATAGAATCCGATGTGTTCTGAGGCAGAATCGTCCAAGCTCCATCGTCATACTTCAATCGGGTTGAATATGCTGGAACATACCTGCCACAACCAGGAAAACAAATTTGTTAGAACCCTGAAAGGATCTCCCAAATTAGTAGCAAGATACTCGACACGTTTTATTAGAGTTTACCTGGTTGTGGAAACAACGCATGTTCCCTCCTTGTTGCTCTCTGCTTTGATGCACACTTCGTCGCTTTTGCTACAGGCTCCTTTTGAACAAACTGAGGCTGTGTTTCTCTTTTGGACAGATGTTTTATCAGCCAGCAAGTTCCAGAGGAATCTGGAAACATCACTGACGTAACCAAGGTAAGGTTTGGATGAAGGTTCTCCGAGGATGACGCCAGCATAGTTGCCTGGGCAAGTGTTTGTTGGTGAAATATAATCTTTCACCAAGTTGCATGATAAGCCCGGTTCACAAGATAAAAGACAGGCTAGAAGCTCTTCAACGAAAGAAGCATTGACATGGATAGATCCCAGAGCTGAGTTGCTTGTATCTTTGCTGTCATTTGCAAGGATGTACAGCGTACGGGCAACAACAGAAGCAGCAGCTACTACGGATGAGGAGTTGATATTTGCTGCAAATACAAATACCAGAAAGGAATCAAAAAGTGTAAAATGGGTTTTGGAGCGAAGAGAAGATAAAGATAGGATGTGACTCTTCTTACACAAATCATCGAGGTGGCTATGGTAGAACTTATTCACAAACTTGGCATCAAAGTCTTCAAGAACAACAGCTGAAGTCTGAGGGTTCTGCAACAATGAAATATCATGTTATACCTGTCATATTCATGACTTTTGCAACGAATTTTAATGAGATGAAAGCATCCATGCTCATATATCAACTGGACGTGAAGTATATTTAAAGAGTTACTCCTCTTTTAAACTACGAATAAAAACTTGAATTGTCCTTCCATATATATTACCTTTTTCATGAATGCCATCAAGGATGATGGAGGTATTCCCGGATTTGTAGTATCAGCTGAAAGAATCTTAATGTTCTTTGATGCAAGTGAATCCTGAGCTATCTTTAAAGCATCCAGTGTCATGTTTGTAATAGAAGAAACCTAAAGCAGAACACCAAAAATGTAGATTAAGTGGCCTACGGCAGATTTACATGATCTAATGAACTACGTAAGAGTTTCAGTGTATCAGGAATTTCTCACCCTAGTTTTATGAGCAAAGAAGGTATTCATCCCTCCACTCAAACCTTTTCCAACGGATCCTATTTCAAGCACCTGTTAGATAATAGAAGACAGCAATTTGAATCCAGATCTTTAGATTTAGAGAATTTTGAAGCCTCAATATCACAGAGAACACTAATTCTGCAATAAATATGCTTTCTGTTTAAACCCAAAAAAAAAAATTGCTTTCTGTACTATGAGGGAACAAATACGTTGCCCCAGCGATAAAACATGCAACTTTTTCCACAAAGCATATCGTGCATAAGACTAGCTGTCTCTACCAACTTTGTCGATACTCGGATCAAAACAACACATGTTACCGTTTCAATGGGAGTATCGCTAAGGCCTGCAACAGCCTCTGAATGCAGATCAAGTTCGTGTATGAACCTCCTGCTGCCAAGGTAACCCCACGTCTCTCCGGTCAGAACCAAAAATATAAGCTGCATTCATTTAGGATACACACGTAAAGCTATAAGAGCCAAAACTCAGCAAAATACAAGATACACTGGTATAAAACTTGCAAAAAACAAACGCATGAAATATAACAAAATCACATGGTACACTAATGCGTTCTAGAAACTCAATATATTTGGAAATTATGTTAATTCATTGGCACCTGCTTTTTGAGATTACTAAAACCATCAACTCGAGAAAGAGCATCAACTGCTCCCAGAAGAGCTACCATTCCCTGAAAGTTAAAGAATCAATAAGCATTGAATCAGAAAAGAAGAGTAAATAAACATATTCTAGGTTAACCCGAAAGCAGTAAATAGCAAAATCTCACAGATATCGGTGAATCTGCACCAAAGCTCTTGTCACGGAAAAATGATGCAGAATCCATGGACGCCACAGTTAGCACTACTGGCTTGCGATTGTTGGAAGACGAAACATTGATTGGTGGAAGTGAGGACCAAACACTGTCCAAAACAAATATATTAGAAAACCAAACGTATTCTTTGAAAACGTATCATATGTTTTGAATTCAGACAGTACTTAAGAGCATTTAAACCTCCTATAATGTTACCTATATCCGCCCAATGGGAGGCAAGTTCCTTCCTGCAAACAAGCCTCCGAATTGTGTGTACCAGCTTTGGTAGTCTAATCCATAGAATAACGGGGTCAAAATATCAGTCACAGTGAAGATTCATAAAGATGTTTAACATTTCAGTGAGCTGGATTGCTAAAGCCACATACCTCCATAACCATATTGAATTCAGCAACGTTACTGGTATAAGTTTTATGCTTCATCTCTTTCTTGGAAAGGATCTGCACAAATATATTAGCGTGCAAGTAAGTCAAAAACCTTATAAAGTAAATCTATCCACATAACTTGACAGCCACACACATTTGGATTGCTACCACCAACACAACAAAATCAAAAAATCTAGCTTCTTGACAGAATCTCATCTATAATAACAACATATTATCTACTGGCGTAGTTGTCCAGCCGTATAAACACCTTACTTTAGCCTTTCCAACAATATCTAAAACTACAGCTACTCAAAGTTCATAAATTAGACACTACCGAAAGACAAATGGAAAGGCAGTGGTTCATCCCAATTGCAGGCTCAGGAAATCAACAAATTCGCACTTCAAAAGCTCTAAACTCACCTTCACCCAGATGAACAAGACAAACATTCACGGACCAAATTTATAATGCGGTAATCAATGTTTAGCAAAATTTCTGCAAGCTAATAAAGTCCAAAATGAGAGTAATCATTTCACATGACACTGCGAGGCAGGTCTCACGCAACGTTTTTCCATTAAGGAATACTGCTGAGTGACCAATAGCCATAACTCTAAGGCTTTAGTTATTTTCCTCATGTTTCTAAGATGTCAACACGAAATAGAAACATTTATAATTTCCAAAAGAATGCAAGTTTGAAGGATTACCTGCTGCACAGCTAATATGCCACTTTCTGACAATAAGTACACAGGAAAATTATAAGCTTTCCACATAATGCTTGATGCCTGCAATGTATCATTTTTTATTATCATCAACGGCTAGATACCCATCGCCGGCAGCTACTAAAAACAATTGAAATCACTTTCTTCTCCATGGGAAAAGGATAAAAGGCCCTATCAATTTATTAAGGTAGATAATATGCGACTCTATTATGAACTTCTTTAAGTGATAATCTGAGCACATACAAGCATTCCGTTTTTAAAATATATACCAAAAATAAACTACAAGATAAGGATAAACGGTGTGTGAGCATGAGGTTAATTATTTCCAGAAACAAAAAGCATAAAACTCGGAAATGCTTAACAACAGATTTGGTGAAAACTTATTGAGATAATTTCAAGCCCGCATACATGTATCACAAGAAGAAGTAACTTCAAAGATTCAGACAGAGTTTATGGTACCATACAGCTGGATTCCATTTGTACTCAACGTTTTCGTATGGTGAAAACTGCGCTTGAGGAAACATTTTATCTGGAGAAAGACCTACAAGAAAGAATAAAGAAATAAACATGGATAAGGAAACAGCCATTCAAGTTGGCAGAATCATAAAATATGCAGATTGACAGAGTACCTTTGAACTTTTGTTGAAAGCTAGATCCTGATTCAACTAGAACGCCACCAATTTGGCTAGCAAAACTCAAATCATTTGACACCCTGAAAACAACACGAATAAGAGTGATCATGAGTTATTTCTATTTTGACAGAGTGTGTAAGCAATGTAAGAAATCTAATGAATAAAGCTAGAAGTCAGCCAGAAAGCAGGATTCTAATGTAATTTGCTTAAGGTATATCCATTTATAGATTGTAGAATGAAAAGGAAGCATAAAACTGCAACGAATAACAGGATTCAAGTGAATACTTAATGCAAGTGACTACGTTTATGGAAGCTTTGTGAAAACGAACTTCTCAACCTTATCTATACGTTACTGACATATTGTAAAGATGTAACTGACTTTCAAAAAAGGCTGAATTGGCGCATACCACTAGATACACACTGTTTGATGTTAAGTAAAGCACTAGTCCATAAACTTAGAGTCTTATTCTAAAATAGAACAGATTGCATACAACTTTTGCAAAAGAGACAAAGGAACTTGCCTGCTAAAGAAACCTTCCATTTCATCAGCTGTCACCAAAATAGTGTGAGGCTGAACCAAATCTTTAACGTCCTTTAGTTTTATGATTGGAGCCACCACCTTGTTCAATCCAGGGTCTGAGTATTTATAAGCATAAACATTAGGGCAGGCAACAAATAACAATCAGTTAGGGAAGGCACAACAATGTAAGCTTACTTGCACATCCAATCTCCCCAGAAAGATTGAGAAGCCGTACACAAGGATACCCATCAACAGCAACATACATTAGCTTCTGAAGGTCGGGGACAGATTCAATAGATGTTATCTCATCTACACAAAAACAGGAACAGATAATAGAAATCTTAACATGGTTGAGTCAAACAGTGAGTGATCAGATAGAAAAGAAGACGATAATAGTGCAAAAGAGACTTCAATGAATCGAATTACAATCCAAGGAGAATAGTGGAGATAATTCCGAGATGAACTACAAGTAATTTGTTCAATCAAAATCAACAAAAGATGAGAGACAATCGACGAGAATCACCAATCTTAAAACAGACGATAACACATTTCAACGGGAAGGAAAAAGAAAAACACAAAGTCACTGCGAGAGAGATAGGGAGAGGAAGGATTGAAACAAGATGAAGTGTAAAAGCAATAGCAACAAGACGAGGAAGTCCCATTGCCATGGCTACCGTCAGAATTGCAATCAGCAGAAGCTACCTGGAAATCATCGCTGCGGATACAACCAGAAATGTGACCAAATTCATAAAGATGATGAAACGTTACAAGCCCAGGATCGGAAGAAGCATTTGGTAGAGAAAGAGTACCTGGGAAACAAAAAGGGGAAAGGTGGAAGAGAGAAGAGAGAGCTCCGATCGCCGGAGATAAGAAACCTAGTTCGGAATTACGCGGGGGGAGTTTCGGAGTCAAGACTGAGATTTTTCTTGTCGATTCATGACTCTTTTTTTCCACTATATCATTCGACTTCTAAAAACTCCTTAAGAAGTAGAGAAAATGATTTATTCCCAAATATTGTGAGGATATAAGTACATTATATTGAACAATTAAGTGGATTTGCCCCATAAATGATTTTTTTTTAATAAAAATATTTCAGTTTCATAAAATTAATCCATCCAGTTTCTTACACAGTTTTTTAAAAAAAATGTTATATGATAATAAAAATTAATAATTATAAAAAAATTTGGGTCTCAGTATTATTTATTTAAAATATTTATTTGAAATAAGTGTTGATTTGTATGAAAAAACAAAAAAATCTTGCATTAATTTTGGTTAGTATATATTAAATATCTAAATTATGATTCAAAATTGATAAATTATAATATGATAAAAATATAACTAAAAAATATTTTTTTGCAGGTAATTTAAATCGAATATAAATTGCGTGTTAGTTAAGAAATAATGAATTATTTTAAAAATTAATATATTATAAACAGATATAAGATGTTTTAAAAATAATAATATGAAATATAAAATAAAAATACACAAATTTTCAACTCACTTTGAAAATAGTTTGTATGAAAAAAAAATTATATCATTTTTTGTCAAAGAAGTTTTGGTATAGTGGACATTCCAATGTAAAAATATAAATCTTCTTCATTTTGAAAAGGTTTGTTTGTTTTGCTGGCTTATATTTTTATTTTTTTAAAGAACTCAATATCTTCACTTTAGGCTTTTTTTTTTTTTTTTTTTTTTGGTCAAAACTTTAGGCTTTTTTAGGTCATATATCAACCTGAGCAACGCGAAACACTTCCTCCCCTCCGTAATAATTCTTAAATTAGGGTTTTCTTCCGGCAGCTTTCTCTTCTCTCTCGCCTTTCAGGTACTTTCCCTCTCTCTCGCGTTGCATCTCATTGCGCCTCTCTTCGAATCCTTCCGTGATTGTTTTGGTTTTAGGATTCGATTTTCTTCTCCTCTTGAAATTTGGGATTTGTAAACTCTTGTTATCTTAATTTAAAAGTGAATCTGCTCTCATTTCGTTTTCTGTGAGTTTAGCTTTGTACGAGTATTGGGTTGCTCTTGGTTTGATATCATTTTCTCGTTTCTTTTCTGCTTGAAACTGGAGAAAACATTGTGTGGTCTATTCATGTGAAAAAAAAATGTCTTAATAATCACTATAGAAGGTGTAGTTATAAGCTGAGGATTCTCTTAACAGGTTAGATTGGCAGCATAAAAAATTACACTTGCAATTCTGAACAGTGTGTGTTCGGAGATCTAACATGGAGCTGAAGTTGTCTTATCAGAGATTCTATGTGTAGCTACTTCTTTTGCTATTCTAACAAAATTGGTATAACTTATGGCACACCCTTCTTATCTTTCTTGTTGCCATGATTTTAACCCCTCTTTGCATCTAACCAAGGCCTATGATTATCATGTTTCTTTGTTTGTTTCCGCTCTCAGGGTCATTCATATCTATCTTTCTCAAATTTTTCTCAGTTTTTGTTTGAGCATTCATCACCCTCTTCTCTCTTTCTCTTGTCTTTTGTTTGATAACTACTTTGGGATTCCTTTTTTTTTGTTAGCCGCATGATGGCAGAGAGTCAATTCGAACTTCTTATTCTTCATTTCTATCAACCTCTTATTGTTTCTTTTCAAACCTTTCCCCAATTCTATTCTCTCTCCCCAATTGCTTCTTGCTTCTGTGTCTCCTCCACAGTTGCAGCGCAAGTGTTGTTCTTTTCTAGATACTTAAGATGTCGAGGACGAGGACTGCTGCTTCAGAGACTCAAGATTCGATGGAATCCGAGGAGAGGGTAGACCTTGATGGTGAGGAGACTCTGGAGGAGGAAGTTGAATACGAAGAAGTTGAAGAGGAGGAGGAGATTGAAGAGATAGTAGAAGAGATTGAAGAGGAGGTGGAAGAAGAAGAGGAGGAGGATGATGCTGCCGCCATGGAAGAGGAAGAGGAAAAGAAAAGGCACGATGAACTCCTTTCACTTCCTCCGCATGGTTCAGAGGTTTATCTTGGAGGAATTCCTACTGATGCTTCTGAAGGGGACTTAAAGGGCTTCTGTGAATCAATAGGCCAAGTTACCGAGGTAACTTGACATTTATATATTTACTCAAATTATGGCAGTGTATAATTTAACTCGTGCTGATTTTGGTGGTGATGTTTACAGGTTAGGATAATGAGGGAAAAAGAGTCTGGTGATGGAAAGGGATACGCATTTGTAACATTCAGAAACAAGGACTTAGCATCTGAAGCAATCGAGAATCTAAATAACACTGAGTTTAAGGTGAACTCCTTTACCCAATTCTTTAACAGTTACAGTCATCCCTGTGATATCGCATGAATCAATGTCTTATCTATGTTTATAAGTTTTGGCTTAGACTTCTTGATGAGTTTTTCCGGCACTTATTCGTTTGTTACCTTTTGTCATTCAATAGGGTAAAAGGATAAAATGTTCGACTACCCAAGCCAAGCACCGTCTGTTTCTTGGTAATGTTCCTAGAAATTGGACAGAGTCAGACATTAAGAAAACAGCAAATGGTATTGGTCCAGGCGTTCAAATTGTCGAACTTCCCAAGGTTTGTCTCCTGCTGCTTGAATAAGTTTCAGGATTTAGTGTATATGTATTTATCTCGCAACATTCATCTCGTTTTCATGGCTAATTATAACCTGCAGAAGTAAATTTTCTGCAGAGGTTTAATACATCCCTTCCTCAATTAGTGAATTATTTTCAATCTGATTTTGTTAAAATTACAGGATCCACAAAATATGGGCCGGAATCGTGGATTTGCTTTCATTGAGTATTACAACCATGCATGTGCTGAATACTCGAAACAGAAAATGTCAAATCCGAGTTTCAAGCTTGATGATAACGCCCCAACTGTAAGCTGGGCTGAGTCAAGGAGTGGTGGAGACTCTTCTGCTTCGCAGGTATGCTTCTTTACAACCTTTTCTTGCAAACAAATAATAGGAAGCAGCAACAGCTATCTACGAAGAAGTCATCTTCTTAGAGACGAGTGATATTTACTATTGTGCTGTGTGGAATGAATGTAGGTCAAGGCATTGTACATCAAGAACTTGCCTAGAGATATAACACAAGAACGTCTTAAGGCGTTATTCGAACATCATGGGAAAATACTGAAAGTGGTGATTCCACCAGCAAAACCAGGGAAGGAAGACAGTAGATACGGTTTTGTGCACTACGCAGATAGGACAAGCGTCATGAGAGCTTTGAAAAACACTGAAAGATATGAGATTGATGGTACGGTTTCATTCAGAATAATCCATTTTTTTTTTGGGGTATATCCTCTTCCGTAAATATTTCAATAACTGAATGTAATGTATTCTCGTTATTATTCTACAGGTCACATGTTGGATTGTACACTTGCAAAGCCTCAAGCGGATCAAAAGGCGAATACTACAACAGTTCAGAATATGCAGAAATCACAGTTGCAACCAAACTATCCTCCTCTTCTTAGTTATGGCATGGCTCCTAGTCCCTTTGGTGCTCTTGGTGGATTTGGAGCTTCTGCTTACTCACAAGTAAGATTCATGAGTCACACATTTTTCACTAAAATACTTATCATATCTTGAGAAGAAATTTATAATGAAAATCTGAATGTCGGAAATTTTGTAGCCGTTAATGCATGCGGGAGGTCATGCAGCTGGTGGCATGTCGATGATGCCAATAATGTTACCCGATGGAAGAATCGGATACGTCTTGTAAGTTTTTGTCTATAGACGTGTCCTGATCCGATCTCATGTGTTTGCTTTGCTATGTAAGAAACGTGTTCTCATCTGATTGTTGTGTTGACTGTAATAGGCAACAGCCTGGACTAGCGGCTATGCCGCAGCCACCACCAAGGCCTTCACCACCGTATAGAGGAGGCGGTTCGAGCAGCAGCAGCAAACGAAGTAGCGACAATGGTAGAGGACGAAGCCGTTACAATCCTTACTAGTTTTGGGGATATTGAGTAATTTTCATCATTCTCTTCTTTCTTTTATTTGCAAAAACACCCCAGCCACATCACCAAGACCCAAAAAATGTCATTTATAACCATTTTGTTTGGTTATCTGATCATTTATTTCACTTTTTAAGATTTTGTTGGCGGAAATGGGGGTCGTTTGACTTCTTAATTAAAGTTGTGTTCCGGTTTTGTATATTTGGTTAGTTGAATGCCTTCGTTTCCTTTGCAATTGTTACAATCTGTTTCCCTTTTTTTTTACTTATTTGTTTATGTTTTGGGGGTATGCTTTTGACTCGTAAATCACTAAGACTTGCTCATAAACTTGGTATCAAAACCTTGATAAAGAATCATGTAGCTTCAACGTCGAACCAATCCACGAGTCTCTCATACACACACTAAACCAACTCAACTGAAAAACATATTGTTTGAGAGGTTTGACGGAAAATTGGCTTTTTTAGGTTTTAACTTTCAGAAAACGTTAAATGTATACGGTGCTTTAACATAATTAATCTATGTTAACGTTTAAATTTCATCTTTAGTTTGAATTTTAACCTTAATCTTTTTTTCGTGCTAAAAACAATTTTCGATCTAACTCTGTTAACTCAAAAAAAGATTAAAGTTGAAATTCAAACTAAAACAAAGTTTAAAAATGAAATTTAAATGTTAACATAGATTAAATATGTTAAAGCACCGTACATAAGTTCAAGTATACATTTAACAATGTTTTTAGCACAACAAAAAAAGATTAAGGTTGAAATTCAAATTATAACAATATTTAAGAATTAAATTCAAATATTAACATAAATTAAGTATGTTAAAGCACCGTACATAAGTTTATGTATACATTTAACATTTTTCAAAAGTTCGAACCTGAAAAAACTATTTTTCCGAGGTTTGACACTTAACATATTGTTTGGTTTTGTTTCTGAATAATCACACTGAAGCGCAAAATTTGCATCCAACCAAAACCGGTTTAACAGTAGCTTCGGATAAAGCTCATACTGAAATAAATTGGAGAAAAAATCAGCTAGTATATGTTTACAAAGATTTAAGACGAGATTCCTAGAATGGATAGTGACTAAATAATCATATGAATTTAGCATCTAGTAAGATAATTTCTCATCGCATTAAAGTTAATAAAAGGCTCCGCAATTAAAGAATAAAAGTCAACCGATTACCTCTCATATGAAATGGAAGGAAATTAAATAAACAAAAAAAAAAATCAGATAAAATCGGCAAATATAAAAGAGGCTTTTAGAAACCAGAACTTGTACGTATATCTTCTCTTCCCTGGAAACTACCTCTCACTCTCCGATCAAACCCTCTGAGCTTTCTCTCTCTCTATCTCTCTACAAGTTTATAGCTAAAGGCCTCATCGTCTTTGTTTCGATTAAATGCCCCAAATCGATCTTGAAACCATGGTTTCTTCAGTATGCGCCGGTGGCTCCGACCGGAAGATCGCGTGCGAGACTCAGACCCTCGCAAACGACGAAGACGACTCCTCCGCTCATGACCGGATGATCCTACCCGTTTCCATCTCCGCCGCGAGTCCGATCGATTTTCCACCGGAGTCTTACTCATTATCCAAAGAAGCACAGCTCGAGTGGTTCAACGAAAACGCCTTCTTCGAGCGCAAAGAATCACAGAAAGGAAACTCTTCTTCTGCTCCCAATTCGAATCCCAATTCAAACCCTAATTCGAACCCCAATACGAGCTCTCAGAGAATTTCTCTCAAATCCAAGACGTCGATCATCAGATTGCCCAAACCGCAAAAGACGTGTTTCAACGAAGCGAAGAAACGGAGAAATTGTAGAATCGCGAGGACTCTAATGATCCCTAAACGGATCGGATCGCGATTGAAATCGGATCATTCGTTACCGGAGCCTTCTTCTCCGAAAGTCTCTTGCATTGGCAGAGTGAGATCCAAACGGGACCGTAGCCGCCGAATGCAAAGACAGAAATCCGGTCGAACCGATTCGTTTAAGGATAAACCGGTTCGGGTCAAGAAACCCGGGTTTTTCGCGAGCTTCAGAGCCATCTTCAGAACCGGAGGCGGTTGCAAAAATTTATCGGCTAGTGGAGCACACGCGCCGCAGAGGGAAGCCACCACTCCGTCGAGAGTTTCGGCGAGAAGGTCGAGCGATATTAGAGGTCGGCTTCCGCCGGAAGACGTCGGAAAATCCTCGCCGCCGAGGAATAGCATCGGTTCGAGAAAATCTGTGGACGGCGGCGAACCGGGAATGCCCGGTTTAGGGGGGATGACGCGGTTTACTTCGGGAAGAAGACCGGATTTGTTGGTAGACGTTTGACGTGGCGTGACGTGCGGCGTTTAAGGTGTGGAGGGGTTAGAATGGTGGGACCCAATCCCGTGTTTTAAGCATACGGAGAAAACAAGGATCGTGATTGGTTGGTTGGCTTTTACTGGGCTTTATGGGGCCCAAGGGCGTGTGCTATTTGAAAAGTCGTTAGTGCTGACGTGGCGAGTGGTTAAACGGAGTTAGGAACACGGCATTACATAAAACGCGGGCACTTTTGATTTGATTTCTCGCGTTTTCAACCACTTCCACCGTTTTGTATATCATACTATATTATATGGTGCCTTTTTTTTTTTCTTTAAGACTTTTGAATTTGATTTTTGCTTTAGGTGTTGTTATTTCTTTGTATATGTGTTTTCTTTTAGAATGGAATGCAGAATGTAACATACATGACGATTGACGAGTAAAGGACTAAGGGTCAATAATATCTTGTAAACAAACGAGCTTGTTCTATAACCAAGTCAATCTAGTATCCCAAAAAAAAAAACAAAAAGTAAATAGAACAATGAAAGGGAATAGTGGGAGCCATGAACATTTTCAAAAACTTTGAATAGTTCAAGTCCTGGCAAAGTGACGAGTTAAGTAAAAATGATCGCGACTGTGTATCATATACAGTTTTGTCTTCCTGTATTTAATTTGTATCTTAATTAGTTATTTCGTTTTCAAGACAAGACAGGTCATTCTTAGCCATCTTTGATTCAATACTATAAACATACATGGGAACAATTTGGAAAAGTCAGTCCTTCGAATTGCCATTTTATTATATTGGTTTTTTCGATAATGAGGTCTTCTGACAAATAATTTGAGTTTCATTTCCTGTGGAAGCTTATCATGTGTTAATAATCATTGATGAGCAATTATTTTATCCTAGCTATTTGTGTATTTTCTCAAAATTTATTGTTAGTTTTCAATTTTAAAATTTCATTGAAACTAGGGTTGACTGTCTAAAACTCACTCTACTCTGTCTCTAGTAACCTAAATTGTTTTCCCCAAAACTTTTGACTTCATCACTAAACCACCCAAATTTATAATTGTAAATTTGTAATCACATACCCACCCAAACTATCTGTTTCAAACTAATTCCAGATATTTAATAAAATCTCTAAAATCACGTTCAATTATATAGCGTTTGGAATTTACCATTGAGCAAACTATTTTTTAGTTTTTGAAGGTTGTATTCCTAGAATACTGTTTGTACTTCAAAAAAGGTGTCCAGAAAATATAACTTATATAAATCATTGTGTCTAAATAAGTATTCCATCTGTTTCATTATAGTTGATTTTTTAGGTTTTTTTCTTGTTTCATAATATTTGATTTCCTACATCTAATTAATGCATGTCTCTTATTTACTCCATTAACGCACAGTTAGAAAAGAAAAAGTAATAATAAAAATAATTAAATCAGTTGTAAAAATAACTTAATTAACAAAAATAAACTGTAAATAATTGAGCATTTATAGCTTTCTTAATCTGTGTGTAAATATTCAGAAAATCAACTATAATAAAACAGAAGAAGTATGTTGTAAGATATCAGGTGACAAATTAGCATTTCAATTTGAGAGCGACATGAGAATTATTGTTTTCTTTAGCATTTTGACTTAGCAATAAGGCGTATATGGAGAAAAAAATGCATGGCTGCGAATAAAAGAGGTTCAACAATTTTGATAATACTGTATATAGTCTTCTTGTTTGATTTAATAGTGTACTTTCGTAATACGAGACTTATTGTTTGTTTGGAGTTGGCAGGAAATACAATGACAATAAATTTGTCTTGCCTTTGATCTCCTTGTTTCCTTGCAAGTTGCAACAATTATTTCTAACCAACACAGAAACAACCAAACCCCTTTTTAGATATTTTTTTTTCTCTCCATCAATTTTCCATGTTGCAACAATTAATACACTTGTTTCTTTATACTATATAGTAATGATAACTGTAAAGTTCTTCCAAAATATATCTCCGTATAATATATATATCTATATATATATAAATTCAAAGATAGATTTGATATATTGTTCAAATATAAATACGTATATTGCACAACATATAATTGTATAAGCCTAGTAAACAAATGTCCTATTTTTTGTTTGTATTGTAAAACATTCCAACAAAAAAAAACTTTTCTATAATAAGATGCAACGTTTTTGAAGAGTATTAGAGATCAAAGTGGCAGTTAGAAAGGGTACATGAAGTTAAGGGTACAGAGGGGAGCTGCTACTTTACCTTTTTATGCCAAACCATCACCTTGAGATCCAATAGAGAAAATTTGGTTTGGACTAAACTGATATTGATGCCTTGACGTTTTCAAGTCAAGCCTTGTACACCTTTAACACTTTGGGGATCCAGTATTTGTGTGATTGTTGTTATCAATAAACAATATTAAAATGTGGATCCAAGTAGATTCACGTTGTTTTCATCGTAAGCATATATCTCACAACGCCACATTATCAAATCTAAGTGGAGATCGAAGATCAAGTAGTAAACAGAACATAGTATTATACTATATATGATTATTTTTATTCTTCCTAGTATTATTACAAGGCTAAAAATTTTAGGCTACTTAGAGTTTCGAATACAACGATAGGCAATGTAAAACTTAATTGGGTTTTTTCTTTTTGCTGGAGGTTTCTTGTTTCTCGGTGGCGAGCTCATGGAACATCTCAACTCTCCGGCCGTTGAGGGGTTGACAAGGTCTTGAATTGTTCTTGTAAGAAGTGTCCAGTGGAGATCTGAGAAGTTCCACTTGTTCCTTTGACATTGACCTCACCTGAATTCAATTTATTACACACGGCAATTCTAAATCAAGATGTCACACTAGTTTGGACCGTTTCCATCCAAAAATGTCAAATGAACATGAAAGTAGTAGATATGTGTTATGCATCGAATCTTGACTTCTCTATTTCATTCAAACGTATATAATAAGTTTGACATAAACCCATTCTTAAGCTTAAAAGCAGGGACTGTGGGGTCCAAAAGACTCTCAAATTCGTTGAATAAGTATGGTCTAAAATTCTTGCGACCGCTTTATTCATTTTCTATGTATTTTAAATGCTTTACATCGGTCTTGAATACTCTTGATGCATATAGAGGCCTAACATTTAAAACATAAAAGGTGACAATTTAGGGAGTTTTTGAGGAACTTTAGTTATCTTTGAAAAAGCTAGGTCTATTTTTTTATAAAATGTACTAAATAGATCATTCTCAAAAAATCTCCCTTTAAATAAAGTTTGGTATTTAAAAAATAAAATTAGCAATTTTTCTGTTTTTCTTACTAATATCTTATACTGAATTATTAGTTTAAACAAAACCAACTTTTACGCATAATCAAAGATTTTTGTTTGTTTGTTCGTGACTGCGTCGATGACTACTCAACCACTGGACTACCAAAAAATTATGTTGTAAACCTTATTATATGTGTGTAAAAATTAAAGGTTAATTACCTTGCCAAGAATGGTCCAAGATACGTTCTCGGAACAAGGAGGAGTAGTGAGTGAACCAACGTATCTGAAGTACTTTCGAGTCTTACGTTCGATATGTCTTGTGTCTATTTTTCCTACTTCCACTTGTGCTGTTTGGTTCCCTTTGCGTCTCTCCTCCTTTAGCTTCACCAATTTATCCTTCATCTAATCCATTTCACTTAATTATATTCTTATAAACACTCACGAGTACTTAAGCCAATGATATATATATATATAAACATATCTATAGTCAGGTTAATATTGATACCTCAAAAAATATAATACCTGAGAGAGGAAAGGCTCTTCACTGCCGATTTTGAAGAGGCTAGCTACCACAGCATAGCTTCCATCTTTTGCTTGGTGTACCATGTGTAGCTCAGCTGCATATCTACGTTATTTTCACTTTTATTTAATAAAGTTTCATTTGTTAACACTTTTTCTAAATAACTTTCCTTTTCTAACACTTAAGGACAACAAAAACAAATAAGGCGGAGACCACACATGGGCTTAACGGGCCATACTAATCCCCAAGAAAAACTTCCCGACTCGACTGAATCTGGGAATTTCTATTGAAAAACAAATAATTTTGGACATTTCTAAAAACATATTTTGTGACATCCAATCTGCTAGTTCGGCAAATAATCAAATAAAAAAAATATTTGGTTGTATTTTTTTCTGTCATAAAACATAATAAAGGGTTTAATATGATTTAATGAAAAAGAATTGGGCCTTACTGGACTCCATGGAGATGATGTTCAGAAGGAGTGTGCCAATGCATTTGCATCAAGGAATAGTTTTTATTGTCTATCACCACATCTCCTGCTCCTTCCCCGAAGAACATCGCCACATTGCAGACGTGGTTCACGAGCGTTGCGTTGGTGGTGTGGTAATCTCGGTGTAGCGATTCCAAGCTGCGGTTGTAAAACGTTTGTCTCCTTTGTATATCAATTGGAGACTGCAATTTACCGACCGAGCATTTAGTGTAGTGAGGGTTTAAGTGTCCCCATCGGTTTGGTCCATTTTTCCCTCCATATCCGAACACTACTCCTTGTGTCTCTGCTCATTAACATTAAAACCTTTAATTTAGTTTCTTAAAGATTATTTTTACCATTGTTTATGATCGATTGTTGGCTTGTCTATTTTAAGAACAACACATATCTGCCTAGACACATAACAGAAACTCTTATATGTAATAGCATTGTTTGTTCATCCTCTAAAATCTTTTAAAAGAATATTGAATTTCTACTCAATATACATCTGTCATGTTAAAACCACAGTATAAAGAGAAAACATACGTAGAGCGGTATAGTGAAAATCGATCTTTGTTTCCAACCAACTAAAGAACCACTAGAATACGTACCATCATTTACTTGATCGGTTTTGGAAACTTAAAACTTTAACTTTGTTGAACTTTCTAAATTTTTTAATTTAACTTATTCATTCTAAAAGACTTATAAACATGTGCATATATACATATGTGATGTAATTATGTTTATATATGCGTATGTGTATATAGATATGGAGGGAGAGAGAAACAAAGAGTATTAGCATTACGAGCATTTGCAGGGGCAACGCAGAGGATGGCCATGGCGAAGAAGCAGAATTTAATAATTATTATCATCTTCTTCTTCTTTTTCTTGTGTTTTAATCCTGCTTTGTTGGAATCTGCTAAAAAAGGAGGAAAAGGGTTTGCATTAGAACAAAATAAACTAAGAAGAGGACAATTTTTTAAAACCTGTAACTTGTTTAATGAGTTTTTTTTATATATATAATTAAACCTGTGGAGATAATATAGTGTGTTATTAGCTTACTTAATGGGTGTCACGACCGGACTGGTTCTGCTATTTATAGCCCTCTCTTCTAACATTAGATTTTTAAATAAATAAAAAGAATGCAAAAAAAGTTAAAAATATACCAAAAAACATATATATATTTTTTAACATCTACCAGAAAACAAATGTTATCCAAGCAATATGTGCCTACCTTAAGAAAGCTTAACGTCGGGTTGAGTCAAACATTGTTTTATTTCCTACATTATTTTATTTCCTACATTTATAGAATGAAAATAAAATTAAAGTAGGAAATAAAAGAATGTCTGACTAATACTGTTATACAGAAAGAGAAATCAAAAGAATATAAGGAAATAAAATCGATTAAAAGGTGGATTTAACTTTGTTACCCTTTCTTACATTTCTTAAACATCGTTTTGATGACCAAGAATAAAACACTCAAGAAAAAAAGAAAAAAAAATACACTCCGTTATTAATTTTTTTGCCTGTTGATATGCATCAATAATATTCAAAACATCATAATGTCCTTGCCCGTTAAAATTTCTCTCAATGCCAACTTTATCTGAATTTCTTGTAATTAGTGACTTGCAACTAGAACGTATTGAAATGCAATGCAAAAACGAAAAAAAAAATGACATATATTCTCTTGTTTTCATGTTTTATCGTGAAATGATTCTTTAGCATTACCAAATACAGTTATTAATAAGAGTAACTTGGGTGTAAAGTAAACTAATGGTAAAAATTCTGTGTTTGATGAAAGTTTAACTGTGTCGTGGTAAAAATTCTCATCAAAGGTATTGTATACCTTAGGTTTCATGAAAAGATAATAAGATAATCGATGAAAGTTTTCAAATGTTTTTCTATTCTTTTGAAAAGCTGCCCTGGACGAAACTATTTTGTGTTTCAAATACAATATTGTCAATTTCAAAACTTTAACGAAACAAATTATTGTCTTATCTTTTTGGTGTGTGATCTCTTTTCGCATAATCCACAGATGGTGCCTGCCTCATAAAAACCCACCTCCCATTTTTCTTTCCCCCCACTTCTTCTTATCGAAAGAATTTTCACTATTCCCTTCCATTATTCTTAATATATATATATATATATATACTATTTTTACACTAAAATAAATGATTATGAAATACCATTTCACTTAGACAAATGAAACTTCTTTTTTAAAAAAAAAAAAAAAAAGAAACTACTCTGAAAATATAAAAAAGAAAAGTGAGACATGTGATGTGATGATCAGGTAGGGCATTACTAAACGGAACCAAGACAAAATGACTTCGGAATATTCATTTGTCCATACTCCGACCCCGAGAAACATCGCATTTTCTTCAGCACCGATCTCTAGTCTCTTGTCGCAACAAAACAAAACGCATTATACGGATCCGTGAGTAGATAAAATTCCACTTGTATTGCCCATAACAATCATTCTTTTCAGCTAAACCTGTACGTATATATGATTTAGGCATATCCGGCACATATGAAAACTTTCATATTTGAATGATATGATTGGATCACATTGTAGACACAAATAAGGCATATGCCTCTCTCTATATGCATGGCCATAGAAAGTAGTGGTGTACAAATTATTTGATTTATGATGATAAAGAGATCGTCAAAATCTAAGCTTTAAAAAAATTGCCCCACAGCTTAGTGGGAAGCCTTTAGGTTCTCTGCACGAAACCGAACCAATGTGGTTTTGTCGGTTTAATTCCCACTTATTCTGTAAAATGCAAGAACGGTGTTGCTCTAACGACAGTGACTCGTATGGTTATCCTTCAAAGAACTTGTACAATCATAACCTTCTTTCATTTTTGGGATCAAACATAAAATGGAACGAAAACGCATTTGAATTTGACCCATGTTAGAAAAAGAATTCTGTAATGATTATTTTCTCAATTATGAATAAAATTTAGACTTCAGAACATGGGACTCTGCGTCTTATAGTGGAGAATAGAAGATTCACGAAAAGGCATTTTAACGGACTCTGTTTTATTAAAGAGTAATACTTGTAATGTGAAGGGAGGACGTATGACGATGTTATATCATAATATTTCACAATGGAAAAATTCAATTAATCAAGAACCAAATAGCGCTTTAGGGTGAAAGTCTGAAAACCATCCCAATGATTTATTCAACAAAGAAAGAGGAATTTGGAGTGCAAAACAACATGGAAATTTCCATTTCTTTCTTTTGGTCTGAGAGATTCAAAAAGGAGAAATCTCATTCTTCAATTGGCCTTTGACCCAACACAGAAATGTCTTCATACCGTTTCTGCACCATGACAACAAGTATCATGTTATGAATGTGGATATATATATATATATATATATATATAGTCATTGTCCTATACAAATGCAAAACAGACAAAAAAAAATGATAATCCAGTTCATGATTGGAATACCTAGCAAAAAACCATTGAGAGAGAGAACTTTAAGCTAAAAACCAAACCAGGAATCAATGAGCTAGTTTATTACTCTAAAATAGAGTTTCAACTATTGACTAGTAAAACTAACAACAAGCAGAGATTAGAGACGCTGACTTATATAAGTAAAATGGAAAGAGAAGAGGTTTAAGAAGAAATGTGATCATTCCATATCAAGATGGCTAATACAGAGAATGAAGAAACACAATAAACCATCTACGCTCTTGATCAAAAGACTGACAAACTTTAATAGCAGCATCTTGGGAATATTGTTAACATAAGGCATTTTCAGAGATTAGGAGTAATCACAGACAAGCATATATATGCAGAAAATAGAGAGTTAGAAAAAGTTACAACTTGCGTTCTTCCTCAATCGATTAATCAAAAACTTAGCAACGGATTGCAGAAAACATGATTTACCATAACAAAATCAGAGCACAAGAGAGATAGAATCAATACAGAAACATAACATACCCCAACATTGTTGCTTTCCCAGAGCTTGTGAACTCCGTAATCCACAGCCTGCACACATACATATAACATTTCATATAGAATTTGACCTTTTATGAATACAAATATTGATAAATTGCAAAATTACAGGATCTAAGACCCCAAAAACAAGTGATTTCTCCACAATTTCCTCTCAAAAATTCTCCAGAGTTTCCAGCTATCTATTGTAGATCGTTTATTCAATCGGGTAAAATTCATTCACCAATATTGTTTACAGAAAATAAACCCAGATTTCGTTACAATCACAAAGCAGATCCGGAGAGATACGAACGCTAAGAAGATATATATTAAAAAAAAAATTAGATCTCTCACCCGTTCGCCGAAGAAAGCGCCGGCGATGATGAACGAGACGTAGACGGAGTTACGGCGCATGATAAGTCTGTAAAAGCCCTCGAGGGCGCCTCTCTGAACTCCCATGATTAACAGTTGTTTGTTTCAAGCACCTGATCGTTTCTCGATTTAGGGTTGGAAAAGAGATCTACAACAATGGCGAGAGTGAAGAAAAACAATGAGATTTCGCGACTAATCCGAAATGAATCTCTTTTGACTCCGTCGTATCTCGAAAGCCTATTGGGCCTTAGCTAGGCCCATTAGCTTATTACTCGAAATCTAAAAGGTTTGCACATTAGTTAGACTAATTAAAGAGGGTGGGTACAATCAAAGAGGGTGGGTACAATTTTTGTTTTAATTATCATGTATATTCAAAGTTTTGCGAATTTGGATACCAAAAGAAAAAAAGAAAAAAAAGCCTAGTATCTTAAGTAAGTTTGGCCTGATCTATCCAGGAAGATAATGATCTTAAATGTAGTATGGATTCAATACTTTTGGAATTTTATTTCAGTTTTGGTTAGTTCCTAAGGAATGGGCAACAGCTTTTTTTCTTTTTGAAAGCTCAAAGACAAGAAGATTTGAGCCTAGTTTCGTGTAGATTTGCACTATATATTCAACAAACTTACTTAATAAATTCTATGAGAAAACGGACTCCAAAATATTTTATATAGTTTATTAATTCTGTAGCTCTAAGTCCCCATTCCTTTTTTTTTCTTGGGCTAAAACTGTCCACAGATTTTAGAATATTTATCAACTATCTAAACATTTAAGTTGTTTGGATTGAGTATTTGAATATTTTGAATTAACTATCTCATATTAGTGTTTTTTTATAAGTATTAACAGAAGATGTCATGTATTCTGAGTACTTGAGAGTAATTAATTACAATCATATTATTTTTGAGTACTTTGCTTCAGGTAATGCAGATATTCCGGTAACGCGGAGATATCATGAAAAGATCTTTTGGTAATACCCATAAGCAATTTTCACATAAGAAAGCAGCACATTCTCATTACGTTCTCATCACATACATGTAAGTATACACCCAGTGGCTCAGTAAGTCGGGATCATTCGCTCCAATGAATTTTTGAAAATTGATGTAATTTATTAAAGTCTAATATCAATATCTCCATTCATAAAATTATATATACCCTTATTTGCCTCTAATGAAGAAAATTTCTAGCTCCACCACTAATTATAATACACCTACGCACATGTATGTGCAAACTAATCAAGTACGTTCCTTGATCCCTAAGTAACTGAACAAGATTTCTTCTCACTAAGTACGCTGTTATCTATTTAGTCGCTTTGTCACATGTCTAACTCGTGACTCCAAGAGATCAGGACAAAAGATAGGACTTATAAGAAGTTAAGAACATGATTGGGTATGTTTCAGCACATGCAAATTGAAGCAATAGGAAATTGGGCAAATGTCACATTCAGAATTTGATCTCCGGACAAAACTGCTGATTCACAATTAAGTCGTGAAGGTTTGACACACATACCTGAACCACCAAGCAACAAAAAAAAAAAAAAAAAAAAACCGAGCAGAAGAAAAAGGAGCGAATTATGTCCTAAAATTTGGAATGGAACAAATCACAGATACTAAAATAATATCTCATACGTTTGATATGTACTTTCTATAGAGATTAATATTTAATTATATAAGTAGTTTATGAATTTTGCTAATTAACAATAATTTTGTCTGATCTTTTAACTAAATTAAAAATTTAATGGAATAAATCGGATAGCCAGTCACTTGACGATATTCTAGCTATTCATCCACCTCTACCGATTCATACAGGCAACGAAACACACACTCAAAGCAATTGGCAATGTTCTCTTAAATTATGAGTAAAATGAAAAAGACTATATCAACAATATAACAATAATGTCTTATAGATAGATTATTGAGGAACAAGAACCACATTTAAGTATGTTATTATTTAAAATATTTAGCGTAAGATCAAGCAACGATTATGTAACGTCCCACCAGAAGCTGAAGCAGCTCGCCTAGCTTCCTCTACAAGAGCATCACGTGCCGACGAGATATCGGCAGGGACTAGACGCGTGTCAAACGTTGAACAGTCGATCCAATCCTTAAGAAGCTCTTCTTTTCCCCATATCTCCGGTATCCAAACTCTTCCGGCGATCTCTCTCCGGTGCTTCTTTAGCTTCTCTCTCCCAGTAGTGTCCACTCTCTCTTCTTCTTGATTTTGTTTCGGTTTCTCTTCCGGGAGAGCTTCATCTTTCTTGTCGGAAACAGAAGAAGCTTCGTCGTCGGGCAAACTTGGATCTTCTTGTTGGGTTTGGTCGGAAGGAGGTTTAGATGGACCGATCGGGTGGGGCATTGGAGACGTCGTATCGTCGATGTTCATCATGATTGCACAGAAGTAAAGCAGATTCTGATTCTTGAAGAATAAAAAATGAAGAGAAATGTGTGTGTCTCTGTGTTTCTTTTTGTTTGAGATTCGGTGGTGATAATATGTTGTATATTTGGTTGGGTTATGTAAACAAGGAGAAAATCGGGTGGGAGTTTGGGTTACACGTCGACTTAAGTTTTATTGTTTGGTGAATTTCTCCTTTTTCGCTTTTTTTTTTTGTATGGTAATTGACAACTTTACGTGTCTTTTTTTGTAGATTGGATTGCTTTGGCTCTTAATTTTTGGAATTTAAATAAATAAATAATCAATTTAATTTTTAAATTATTGATTAGACACTCCTCTTAAATGATTTCTATTTTTTCGGATGGGGTAAAAGTCTCAATTAGAGGGTCCTGAAGAGAAGAGATTCAACAGAAGAAGGCATTTTAAATAAACTCGGGTATTTCATCGAGATTTCTCATAGAACATAGAATCAAGTAAATATATTTTAATATTTTCAAGAACTCTTTGTTCACATTCAAAATGAAATATACGTAATCTAAAATGAAATATATATGTATAAAGATATTCAGGTTCTCAACTCTTAAGATTTCTTGGGCCCATAATTCGTGAATATTCAATAGTTATGTGAAAATATAGGAATGCATTCAAAGGGATTAGATTTTTTGGGAGGATCATGAGGCTGATGTTGATTTAGGATTTATTCCAATGAAATATGTTTAGGTGGGGATACGTTGGAATTAAATGAATGTGATACAGAAATCTGCAAAGATAAAATGTTATTTTTGTTTCAAAACGTTTATCGATTACAAAGTTGAAAATATCATATTCACGCAAATAAAATAATTTTTGCAAATAAATTAATATTTGCATTATGATGCATAATAAAGAGGTCTCAATTTGAAAGTACCTTCTCATGTGTCAGTATACGGAACGCATTTGTCTCTTTGATAAGTTTACTTTTTTTTCCTTGACCAGACTTTTATTTTTTTGTTTCTTTATCTATCTCATGGGCTCCCCTTGAATAAGTTTATGTAATTATGTAGTTAATTTTGAGATTGTCCTTACTCTTTCTTTTTTTGCCTGTTGATATTGTCCTTACTCTTTACACTTCGTTACAGCAAGAAATTTAATGTACTTTTCTACAGAAAGCATATACGTAGCATCATATGATATGTGTCTCCACATATGAGTGTATGGTGTAGATGAAGAATTTATTAAGATGGTATATTGTGTGTCTTACGTGACTCCTTAGGAAGATCGAAGAAGGATATATTTAGTGCAGACGTTAACATATAACCACACTTTGAAGTTTGATCTTAAATATGGTCCTCTCGCCTCGATATTTTTTATAACCAATACGTAGACACACGTGATGCGAAAATTTGAAATGGAGAAATTTTTGAAATATATACATATCTAAGTACTCTGTTGAACAAATCTTTATTTGTAACAATCTAAAATCTATAAGAGGTAAACATAATTAGCCAATTAGACTAATTCAATTCTCATATCATTTATAGATGTTAGCGAAATGATATGTCATGAATTGAAAATTAGGTTGAGTTAACGAACAGTTAATTCCATTATAAATATCAATGTATTGCATTTCACTTTATTGTGATATTTTTTTCCTAACGACAGCCGATGCCTTTTTTTAATTAGTTAGTTCAGTGATACATTTAGATGACTAAAAAAAAAAAAAATCAAACCATTTTAGTGTGTTAGATATCAGATTAGTGACAAAAAATTATAAACGCTAAACCAATAGTTGAAGGGTTCATTCCATCGCCATTTCAATGGAGCTCATGAGATTAGTTTGGAATTCGGCGTAGGATATATAACCTCCATTATCAAAAAGAAAATTATTAATATATCACTGAAGCATATCACTAAACTAGCGACTAAAAACAAACATAGTCTGGTCGTCGATGTTATCGTTGAATCAACAATCACAAAAACGAAGATGATTTTATTGTTAAGCGTTTTCGTTGTTGTTGGTCGCTGACGACAGCGAACTTTGATGAAATTAAATCATATTTGTTTCTTAGTTCGAAATGCATACGCTTCCGCATGCATAAGCATGAAACGAAGGAGAGTCGTGCTCCTGAAAAGAAGATATGGTTAGTAATTGTGATTTGTGAATAATTAGATAGTCATATGTAGGTAAGACAAATAGTGGGTGGCGTTGGATCTTCTTGTTAATGTTTATGAGGCTGAAGTTGATTCAGGGAGGTTTCGTGGGAAATGGCTTTGGTAGGATTACGTTGGAATTTAATGATTCTGAAAATGAGTTATATTAATTTAAAATATTTAGTTGAGTGAACACTGAAAGATATTATTTACGTAACCGATTTATGTAAATATGATTGACATGTAGATTTATCAAAACCGCGTTTTGTAGAATACAAGAATTAAATATTGACATTTGACTTCAAATTATTTATTCACTATACTTTGATTTTTGTTTGCTTTAATCTATATATGTATACTGTATACACTACTAGTCGACGACACTTGAGAGAATTAAGAACAAAACATTGGTAATGAAGAAAACAAGACAAGCTTTTCTTCTTCTGAGCTTACTTCATATATTTCTATGTCTATCCTTTCAGGCTCGTGTCACAGAGGCTAGACTCCGTCACCTAGGTCAGTCTCTTCTTATTCCGAAAATTTCTGTCACATCATAGTTTTAACTGAAGAAACAAAATTAACTCCATTTTGATCAATTAAAATCATATAATACTTCTTATTAGAGTAGATTCGTATAAAAACTTCCTTTTGATAAATTAGATGTATATTTAGAAAAATAGCGTGTTACCACAATAAATTACTCGTTCTAAAATAAATGAAAAATAAACAAAATTCGTCCAAAATGCACTCTTCTCCGTTGGAATCAGAAATTGTTTAATTATTTTCGTGAATACCATAAATACCACGTTTTCTATTGTTGTGGAGTACACAGTGGTGTTGGATCTAAAATACCATGTTTTTTTTTTCCTGTGTGTGGGTCAATTGGTTGGTGTTTTAGCTGTGGTGGATTAGTAAGAAAGTTCTTACCAAGAGACATGCTTACCTCAGAGATTAGTCACGACGCTTCGGCAATACTTGGACACTAATTACATAAATGTTAATTATAACTTTTTAATAATCTCTCCTGTAATATTTGCTAACATATTGACTTGTTTGTGTAGGTGAGGCTGCACGGATACTGATAGGGTCGAAACCTAGCATATGCGTAAGACCATCCCCACCATGTCGAGCTCCTCTGAGTAGTCGACTTAAGCCTTGTATAACAGTTCCAAGACCTCCTCGCGGAGGTCGATGCTCTCCTCCCAAGCATTAATTAGCAACGTTGAATATCATGAACTTACACACTCGATTCGTAAAGACTTTCGGAGAAGCCCACCACGGATATAATACCAACCATATATTATCCAAAATGAACTCTTTGCAGTCTCTGCCAAACCTATCACTTAATTATGACGTTTTTATTTGTTAAAGTACCTTTTTCTTATTATTTATTTCAAAAAATCTTGTATACATTTTACCCAAAAAAAAATCCTGTATACATGGTAAAAAATATTACGACGATGCATGCTACTAGAGGTTAGATAAGATAGTTACTTGTAAAATTCTTGCACCCTTAGCCTTTTCTCAAAAAAAAAAAAAAACAATCGTGCACCCATGTGATTGTTTTAAACAACCAAAACCATACATGCAACATCATAACATATATTTGTCTGTGTAAATGTAAAATTTATTGAGATGGAATATTGTGTCGTGACTCACAAAGGAGCTCAAATATTTATATGAAACTATTCAGGCGTTGACATTTGTCCACAATGTGATCTTGTGGTCCTCTCGCTTACCTGTTGAAAATTTATCAACGATTTATTCATACACATCGAAGAGTAGTTTTATAAACATGTTTACATAGACGGGAAGATGTAATAAACTAATCGGATATAAGTTGAGTGATAAGTCTTTAAAGATTGGTTTATTCAGTTCAGAAGATGTTACGTAGCTGATGTACAAAACCGTGTTGTGTAGAAAACAAGGAATATTGGAAGTTTGAACTAAAATATATTTTATTCACTATTGGACATTTGATTTTGCTTGATTGAACTTTATATTGTTATTTATTCTTGACTTCCTTCAATACATACATGATACATCCTATTGGTCGACATGTGAGGGGAACCAAACAACGATAATGAAAAATTTATTGGAATGGAATAGTGTGAACTCAAAGGAATACATTTTGGATATTGTCTTAAAACTTAAAATTAAACCAATCCTTTGATCCTTTATGGTCCTCTCGTTTTGATCAAACATTCATATAAATACATATCGAAAAGTTTTTCTTACTAATATATGGATCTGCCTTCAGCGAGAGATGAAGAAGGACGTCTTGTTACTCCCATTGATGCATCCGCTTGTGTAGCCTGCCTGAATTACTACGTAATTTAATGATTCTGATAATTAGTTAAAAGAAAATAGAAGTTTTAAAATTTAAAAACATATAAAATGTAAATATGGTTGACATAAAGATGTGTCAATTTTAGTTTCGTAGCATTTAGTTACGAGTCGTCAAAGTCTTTGATTGTTTATTTATTTATTTTGGTAACAAGTTTGATTGCTTATTGAGAAGACGTTATTCTACAAAACCGCGTTTTGTAGAATACACGAATTAAATATTGAAATTTGACTTCCAATTAATTTATTCACTTTCCTTTGATTTATTTTTGTTTGCTTCAATCTATATATGTATACACTACTGGTCGACGACACTTGAGAGAAGAACAAAACAAAATGGTAATGAAGAAAACAAGACAAGCTTTTCTTCTTCTGAGCTTACTTCATATGTTTCTATGTCTATCCTTTCAGGCTCGTGTCACAGAGGCTAGACTCCGTCACCTAGGTCAGTCTCTTTTTATTCGGATCGTATCAATCTTTATACTTGAAAACAAAAAAAAAAATGTTTCTCCCAAAAAACGAAAAAAACTCCATTTGATCAATCAAATTAGAAATTGTTTTATTCTTTTCATAAAGACTATGTTTTCCATTTTTTTTTTTAATCATGTTTTCCATGTTGTCATGGAGGACACTCTGGTGTTGGATCTCTGGTCAAAGGCAAACTCGCTATAGTCCAAGTTCGATTTCACTGTGTGCAAACTCTGTTTGTGAGTCACTCTTGGTCATTTAGACTTGGGTTCGATGTTTTACCCGTGATGGATTTGTAAAATCATCTTACCAAAACAAGTGTTTACCTCAGAGATTAGTCCCAACGCTAATTACTAAAATGCTCTCCGATTTATAATTACTTTGAAATAATCCCTTTTTTGTGTTAAAGACTTTAAAATAATCTCTCCGGTAATATTCTCTAAAATATTGACTTGTGTGTGTTAAAGGTGAGGCTCGGATGTCGAAACCCAGCATAAGCGTAAGACCACCGCCACCATGTCGAGCTCCTCTGAGTCCTGGTCGAGTGACTCCACTTAAGCGGCCTTGTATATCAGTTCCAAGACCTCCACGAAGAGATCGGTGATCTCATCCGCCCAACAATATAATTAGCCATTATACAAAAAAAAAATACAATATAATTAGCAACGTTAAATATGAACTTACACATTCGATTCCACAAAGACTTTAGGAGAAGCCCACCACGGAGATATATAATACCAATTTAGTCCAATATGAATAATGTGCAGTCTTTGCCGAAGCTATGATCACTTAATTACGGTTTTTTTTTTTGTTATAGCATTAGGATATTTTTCTTGTTTTCTCTTTCAAAAAATCATACATACATGGTAAAATAATACGACGATGCATGCTAATGCTACTAGAGGTTAAGATAGTTGCTTGTAAAATTGTTGCACCCATGTGATTTTTTTTTTTTTTTTGACACATGTGATTATTTTAAACAACGAAAACCATGCATACATGCAACATCATAACATGTAAAATTTATTGAGATGGAAAATTGTGTCGTGACTCACAAGGGAGCTCAAATACATATAAGAAACAGTTTAACTCGTAAGTCGTAACACATAACGATGTACCGTTCACAACCAATAGATCTAACTATTTACAATTGAACAGTTTGTTTTTTTTGGTCGATTACAATTTCAATTGAACAATTTAACTCGTAAGTCGTAACACATACGATAACAAGCAACAAACGGTGAAAAGTTTAACCAACAGTATATTGGAACCTCCAAATGTAATTGCAGCCATAACTACCACAGCTAGGTTTATAAACCAATCGGATTTGAGTTAAGTTTTATAATATATATATATATATATATATTATATAATTGTCTTTCAAATCTATTGAAAAGAATATGGAAAATCTTTGTTTTTCATTTAATAGAGTATATTTATTATTTAAGTTCTGTATTCAAAAATATGGTAGTTTTTTATATTTTTTTGTTTCAAATGATATCATAAAGTATATTCAATTAAAAAACATGAAAATAAAAAAATTTCAAAATTAAATAATATAAAAATCAAGGCTAAAAGTTATGATATAAAAAATGGTGGAATCTTTTTTTTATATAATTTGTTATATTTACTTGATTATAAACAAAAATAATTTTTTTAGTTATTTTTACCAAAAATTTAGCATAAAAAAATTGATTAAAAAAAGTTTATGGTGAAGTGAGAGTTATTAAACAGTGCATATTATATTTAGTTCGATATGAACGGATTATGATTCTAATTTTTTAGTATCTATAAAAAAAATTTCGCAATTCAAAATATTAGTTTTTTTTTTAAATGGTATATTTAATTTACTAAATATTATAATTTGTCTTTTAAAATTAAATATAATTTTTTATTTTAATTAATTTTATATCAAACCTAAGTTTAAAGAATATTATATTTATTTTACATATATAGTTAAAAATAAAATAAAACTGATTTTATAGTTTGTAGACAGATTATAAAACTCAGTTATTAAACAATGCAAATTAGATTTGATCATTATAATATTATAATATTTTGTGTATTAGCTCAATAATATATTAGTTTAATGCCAATGATTAAATAAACAGTTTATTTGTTTTATCCACTTATAAAATAACTTGTATACGGATTAACTCTTTTTTATAATTCAAATCAAAAAATAAAAATGATTCTATATACAGATCAACTCATTTTATAAAATTCAAAAATAACTATTTTTGTAAAATAATTGTTTTTGAAAAATAATTTTTTTTACAAAATAATTGTTTTTACAAAATTATTTAACATAATTGAAGGTCAAAAAAATATCTTCGCGCGAACTAATCTCTAGTATATATTTATTTTCTAAAAAAAAAGTCTTGTAATGTTGGTTATTCAGAGGATGTTACGTAGCTGATGTACACAACCGCGTTCTGTAGAAAACAAGGAATATATAGTTAGAATTAAAATATCTTTATTCACTATACGTTTGAATTTGCTTGCTTCAATTTTATATTGTTACTTTTTCTTGACTTCCTTCATAGATATTCTATTAGTCGACATGTAACCAAACACCAATAATGTAGAATTAGATTTGATCAAACATTCATACATACATATCAAAAAGTAAATATCCTAAACATGTGTCAATAGACAGGAGAATGTAAACCAAAATGAAATTCAAAGGGCCCATGAAATATTTTGGAGTATGTACAAAGCAGAGTAGAGATTTTATTAAAGAGTTTGTCACTACTACAAAGCAAAATCTTGAAACAAGTATGACAGAAACTGAGATTAACATGTAATATCATCTGTCAATAAACATCATTATTATTGTAATATAGTTAACAGTAAAACCATTTCTAACACCTACTAAAGAATCCCCATAAAGAGGCAATTTACTTAGCCACACCAATCCTTCCTTCTTGCATCTCACGTAGAGTGAGGAGATGAGTTTTAGAGGCGAGGGTAGCGAGATCGGCCTTTCTTCTTCAAGAACTCCGGGATCTCTATGGAACTGCCTTCAGCGAGAGATGAAGAAGGACGTCTTGCTATTCCCATTGATGTATCCGCTTGTGTCGCCTGCATTTTCATACAAAGAGTTAAGAGAGATCACAATCGAATACTTATAACATTTTGATGTAAAGAATCTACAAAGTGTTTGTGTGTCAAGGGAAACAAAAAGGATAACCTGAAGTGGCCTCCCTTCTCCTTCTTCTTGGCGTTTGAAGCCGGTTGCTATTAGGGTAATACTTACCTGACAAGAAGAAAATTAAGCAACTTGGGTATCACTTCATCATAGATGTCATATGAAAGAAGAATAAGATCAAAGAAAGAAGATGTCGACTTACTTGACCAGTAAAAGATGGATCTACAACAGCACCAAATATAAGATTGGCTGTTGGGTCAACGAGATCGTATATCACTTCCGCAGCAGCATTTACCTACAAATTGTTTCTCCGAGAATCATAATAGAGCATAACAACATTATAAATGTGACTTGGGATTGACGCACCAATAGGCTCTGCGCTGAGGTGTCTAGAAAAGAAACAAAGTGATTTCTGGGACAGGAAATGGACTGACAAGGTAGAGAGAGAGAGTGAGAGAGAGAGAAAGACCTCGAACAGTGTTAAGTCAGTTCCACCAGTTATGTTCCACACAATTCCAGTGGCTCTCTCAATACCAATATCTAACAAAGGTGACTGGATCGCGTTTAATGCAGCATCTCTTGCTCGAGTCTTTCCTGCTCAAATAACAATACAGCATGATAGGAGAAGCATGACGATGCAACCAAAATATTGCACCAGAATAGGATTTTCCTGAATATATCACAATGCCAATATAGTAGAGTTACATCGAGTATCATATGGCAATTTTCAGTATACCAAACATTACTAAACGGGTTCCTTTGTCATGCATAAAGAGTACCTAATCTATAGTCCGATCAATCTACTCAGCTACATCAGAAGTGCCAATTCTCAGTGAAACCTTAGCATTTTAGTTATACACTAATCAATGTTGCCTATTGTTACTGTGCAGCAAATAGAGCCTATCTACAGAAAGTCTCAAATCTAAAGAACACTCTACTCTTACCTGTTGCAGTTCCTATTCCCATCAATGAAGAACCTGCATTTGCCATTATAGCCCTGACGTCAGCAAAATCCACATTGACCAATCCAGGAATCTGCAATGCAAGGAAAAAAAATACAGCTGTTAAAACATTTCTATAGACAATGATCATCCCCATTGAGCAGTAAACACATTAAAAAGCCATACCGTAATGATATCAGAGATCCCACGGACTCCTTGACGAAGTATATCATCGGCCAGATTAAAAGCTTCTGTAACTGGAGTAGACATAGAAACTGCGGTGAGTAACTTGTCGTTTGGAATAACAATGAGAGTATCGACATTGTCTCTGAGTGCTGCAATCCCTTCCTGAGCCTGCACTGTTCTTCTCCGTCCCTCAAAGGAGAAAGGCGTTGTGACTATACCAACCGTCAATATACCCATTGCTTTTGCAACTCCTGCTATTATAGGAGCCCCGCCTGTGCCAGTTCCACCACCCATTCCAGCCTACAAAAACAGCAATGCTCAACCAGTGAACTTAAAGAATCTGATCAAAGGAGGCAGCAAATACACACAATAATCCATGATTAGTTGTATTTAAACCGCTAAGTCTTATATCATCTGAGACATAAAGTTCACTACTTTAGCCAGATAAAGATAGAAAAAAAGAACAATGGAGAAACTAAATCACACGGATTGTCATGATTTGCAATCATCAGTGCGTCTGGTTCATAAAACTTATCATTTGTAATCAATATGTTTCAATAAAAAGGAGCATCATATAACTAAGAAGAAGTGAATAGACATACTGTGACAAAAACCATATCTGAACCATAAAGTGCTTCTTCGATAGCTTCTTTGCTTTCTCTAGCAGCATTCATACCAATCTCAGGATTTCCTCCAGCACCCAAACCCCTTGTCAACTCCTTACCAATCTGTAACCTATTGTCGGGGAAAACTGGAGACATTCTCATTGCCTGAATATCCGTATTCACAATCCAAAACTCCACACCAACCATCTCACTCTCTATCATGCGGTTCACAGCGTTTGACCCACCTCCTCCAACGCCGATAACTTTAATCCTTGCCTCGTTGTAACTGCTCGGAGTAGACGACTCGCCTAAGTCCTCGGTGATGGGAGCACTTTCTTTTCTTGGATTGAGCATTGATATCTCTGGGTGGAGGTTCAAGAAAGAGTCTTGGCTTTGAAAATGGCTTGAGCTATGAGAGTTCAAAGAGTTTCTGATTGGCGAAGACTCGGGTTTATGAGCAGCAACAACGCGGTTTCTCTTACTTTGAATCATTCTATAGCAGCTAACCTTGCTGCCTAGATGATTTTCCGGCAGTACACTCTTTCTAAGAACAGTGAGCACCCGAGAATCCGGAGGAGTCAAACAGGGAGAAACATAAGTTGCCATTTTGAGACCACAGAACCAAAATATTCTCTGAAAATCAGAAATATCTACACTCCAATTTCACTGACAAAGACCTGTTCAGTAGAAAGAAGAAGAAGAAAGTCAACTTCAAGTCCTTAACCAAGAAGAACATGATTTGAATCAGCTACAAAGACTGGTAGATATCTAACTAGAGAAAACAAAAGTCGCATTCGCATTTTGAAGTTGTGTAATCAAAACCCAGTTGCGTCGAGGTTTACTGTAAATCGAGAATTCAATACACACTTGTTATGAGCAATCAGATTAAACGAAACGATTAGCTTTTTACATTCACACACTTTTTTTTATCAAAACAAAAGGGCAATCAGTAAACGATGCTTGAATTATAGCCCCGAAAAACATCGAATTTGAATCAGAGAAAAGGGTAAACAATTTGCGCGCCGAGCTATTACGAAATAACAAAATTGAAGAAGGGTTTCAAAAAAAATTGCAAAGCAGTACACGAAAACAAAAACAAGCTCTGACATTTCGATGATTGACTAAAGCTAAATCGAAGGGGAAAACAGAGTGAGAGACTGAGACAACAACATTAACATTGTCGAAAGAGGAAGAGGACCTTGGAGTAGCAGCAGCAGAAGATTTCGAGCTACAGAGAAAGAAAATGTAGGACAGCCAAAGGAGTGGAGAGGGTTTTGGTGTTTTCTGGGCTTAGAATCTCATTCTCATTCACATAATTAAAAGTGGATTATGATTTTTGATTTTGCTCTAATTACAATATAATCTGTTCCAGTAATTAAATTCAGCGGTTAAGTTGGCAAATGAGAAAAACGTTGGCCGACGGGAAGGGGATGAAGGAAAAAATTGAAGGTTTAAGAGATATGGACTCAAATGCTCTCTTAAAGCCCATTTGATCTTTTGGGCCTTATTAGACGAGATGAATTCAAACTTTACACAAAACTTGATTTTTGCATGACTTATTAGCTAGTTGCTTAACCTGCATGTTTCTTTGTGTTTGGCAAGTTCGATTTGAGTCAAATCGATCTTCTCGTGAATAACAAATCAATTTTGAGGACATTTCAGAGCAAGGTATAGGAAGATCGGTCTTTTTACAAAAAAAAAGTGATCTTTTTTTCTCCCTTTAATAGACTAATAAGTAATAACCCGACTATGAGTGTAACAAGCCACAATCTCAAGGTTTCAATTTACGTCAATTTATAGAATTTACAAGTCAAAACTCATCATCATATCCTCTGATCAACTTAAGCAATTGCTCCAAACTTTTCACCACTATACTTTCCCCTGAAACGTCAACAACATTTTCAAGCCAAAACGGTTCCTCCTCTTTCTCCAACTCCTAAGGCGTTTGATGGCAAAAAGAGTTTATCTCTTAACTCTACAGTTCCTCGCCTATAGAGCAACAAACCACTCATTCTTCCCTCTAGTTACTACTTTGTCATCATAGTTGAAGCAACCTCAGTGCTACTAAGTGTGTAATTAACAGATCTTAATGACTTTTTTCCCAAAACCCAAATGGCAATCAACAAAAAAAAAAGCTCTTACGAGTTGGGAATATCTAAACTAGAAGTCTAGAACTGCATTACTTTAACATGTGGGATAGTCTCACCAAATCTAATTCAAAGAACAATTCATGTCGAGAAGCTGTCAAAGAGAAACACAAACAAAAGGATAAATATAGCAATCTAAGAAGATCGAATCAAATTACTTAAACCACATCAACAACCGTATTTTCCTCTAAAGTCATCAAGAAAAAACCTTTACAACGTCTCAGCTATTAAACACTTTCAAGGGTTTCCTCATTAAGCTACTCGCTAATGGCACCGGAAAGATGAACGAATTATCAATATCAGAAACCATATCGGAGAGAGAGAATCAAAACACAACAAGAAGCGAGAAGAGAGTATAGATCAAGAAACAGGCGTACGAAATCAAACCACGGTGCTCTTCTCCTCCGTCAGCGAGAGACACCACCAGATTAGAGCAAGCCCTTGTGGCCCACAAAACGAATGCACCCGCGAGCACGAACCGAACCGGACCTGCACCTTGTGGCACGAACAGTGACACCGCCGATAAAATCACAACGGGAAGCAGAGAGTAACCAACTAAGCTCGTACAAGTGTGGAGATTGAGATTCCCATTTCGTCCAGCAAGCATGTTGTAGACGGTGTACAAGAACATAGATGCGACGACGACCCAACCCAATATGACCCCGAATTGGATCTTCCCAGCGAGCAACTGAAATAAGCAAAGCGCAAGGTATAGGAAGATCGGTCCAGAGAGATCTGAATCCTTGTGAACGGTTTGATTGATCCGGAAGGGATTGAGAATCGACCTAGTTTTCTTCCAGATTTGATCTGGATGGATACCGAGCTCGTCAAGCAGAGGCTCCTCGTCGTCGAACGAAGCGGATCCTCCTCCGAAAGATGAAGAGGAAGCGATTGCTCCGCCGAATGGTCCACCCTGCGTCGCGGAGGCGGATCCGATGTCAAACGACATGAATGGGATGGAGGATGAAGCGGAAGGACGAGGCGGTTGGTAAGGAGGAGCTGTGGGGACTCGGCGTTGCTGGACATTTGCTCCCGGCGCCGGAGATCCGCCGGAGGGGAAAACCACTGGTGGAACTGCGAAATCCTTCGTCATCTTCTATAAGGGAAAAAACAAAAATTGAGATCTCTGATTCAGACCTCGATATCAAGAAAGTGATTCAATGTTAGGGTTCTCTGGAGCCAGATCAATTCTGAGAAATTAAAATCTCTTTTCTATTGTAAACGATCCAACGAAATTCTCTCGCTTTTGTTTTTTCAACCCCTTAGTGTTTTTTCTCCTCTTTCCCAGTAGTAATTCACAGATGACTCCAGAACACTCGTGGTCTTAAAATACTTTGGGCCTCATGACCTTTTGGACCTAAGTGATAACCTAATGATAAAGCCCAACGTAAACCACAAGTAACTTGATTGCCCTAAAAGACTCTGATCGAAACGTTGTTCCTCTCTCGCCGTTGCACAAGCAGGAGGGGGACTGTAGGCAAGGAGAATGAAATCCTTAAGAAGGTTGAGATGGCGATTTTTGATGAAAGAGACTTTAGCCCGTTGTCTTGCAAAGTATGCAACTTCGATGGCAAAAGCTCTGAAGATTTAATCGCCCATCGCAAAAGCAGTAATCATGCAAAGCGTGTAAGCATCATTGCCTCTCGTTAAACGTTGGTGTGGTGGGACATGAAAAACTGTCCGGTTCCCGATGATCTGAACCATTTAACAAGTTATCAAAGGCAAGTTTAGATTTTTAGAATTTTGGTGAATTGAAATCTTATTGAGTTCAACTACACTCCAAAATGTGCAATAGAATCCATGATTTTGATTGCTCTACTGACTTTGGTTTATGCTAAAACATTAAAGAAGAGAAGCATTGAAGATGAAGACGAAGAAGATGCAGATCCCGAAGATGAGGATGAAGATCAGAGAAAGGACGTGAAGTACAAGACAAATGAAGAAGACGAAGAAGGGTACATATATGCATGGCCCATTGTGTGCTCATGTTCTTTCTCTGGCATTTCATATGGTGGTGAATGGTTTGTTCAAACTAATACTACTACTCAGTGGCTGAGCTATATGGTGTTGTAGGGGTCAATTGATTCAGATCAAAGTACAAAAATTAGAATTTAAGCATACTAATCCATGTTATTGCGGAAAGAATTGGTTGAAATTTTTTTGATTGATCCCCTAATTTTATGTTCGATGTCTTCTTTGACTCTGGTTAAAAATATTTTATAGTTCCGCCACTGCTACTACTTATGCTTATGTTTTTATCGACTGGTTATGAAGTTGTACGATGATGAGTTAAGTTAAAATGTTTTTATTTAAGATAGGGTAATATGGACACACCATCATAAACAGATTTTAGGATTTGAATATGCATTTTAATATGATTTGAATATAATACGCAAAACAATGCTAATTTCATATTATAATTTATATATACCTTTTAAATTATATTCCTATAGAAGATTTGTGATTTGTGATTATGTCTTCTACTCGTGGTCTTAAATGTTTGGCTATAAACAGATATTATTAACTTTTGTTCAATTGTTAAAATAATAATAATAAAAAAAAAAAAACAATTTCTTGTGTACAAGAGAAATTGATTATTTGAAATTTGGACGAAAAACAAAACTTTCTTATGCTATTTTTTCCCAAAATTACCAACAAAATTTCAAAAATACCATAAACATGTGGTTTATGAAATCATTTATGTTCCTTTAATGTTTGAGTTATTTAAGATAATAAAGGCCGTAACACGATTTTTATAATATTGTATAGTGACAAGTGGAGTAATTAGTAACCATTGTTTTGTTCTTCATTATGAGATATTTATATCTATATGTCATCATATTCTGTTTTTCTTAATGATGTTTGCAGAATTGCAGTTTAACTCGGAAGAGTTTAAAAAATGCAAAAAAAAAAAACTAAAGCTGGAGAGGGCATAATAAATTTGAATATATATGGTGAGGGTCAAAGATATTATTATACGTCGTAACTTAAAACCCTATAACATCCATATTGTCCGATATCAGACAATATCTTAGGTCTCATAAATAACAAGTGAGAAATATAATGATTATAGCAATTGAAAACCGGAGGTCCATAATTAATTCTGACGTCAGATGATGATGCCTTGCATGGTCTTCCAAAGAGATTTGGGGTAATCATAAATCGGACATCTCTAAAATTGAGATTTCAAAGTTGACTTCGAGTTTGCCTTGTTTTATCATATATAATGATTCATTTCGGCCAATTATATCATGGTGGTTCTTGGCGTCAATCTAATTTTCACACAAACACTCGAGTTCGAAGCGACATTTTTTCTTATTCTTTTTTGTCTATCGCGTTAATTTTGACATGCAAGAACATAACAAATGTTTACTATTATTTAGGATTTTGTACCTGTATTAATTTGAGTTGTTTTAAGGATATTAAAAACTTTAATTACAATATAAATTTTTTTAAGTTGTTTATATGAAATTATTTTAACGATACAAGTTTAAAAAAGCAATGAAAAATCAAAAGAGTAACAAATACCAAGTTAGATATATTTTCTGTCATCCCACTCTTTACTATGCCCGCATTTATAAGTATCTAACCAATTGCATTTAAAGTATGTGTCTTGGTAACAAAAAATGGTAGTAAAATCTAAACCTCATCATCATGGAGTATTTATTTATGGACCTTTTTGAAGAGTTTAATTGTGTCAATATAAAACGTTTTTTATAAGCATGTATGGTAGTACAATTTTGAAAATATTTTAAAGTTTTAAATGAAAACAAAAACAAGTGAAATGGGATGATTTGATATGTTTAGGAGGTAGGAGTAGAAAAATAAGTCAATAAGACCAGAACTCGTAGTTTAGTTTTCAAACGAAAATGAATAGTCCTTTGACTAATAATTAAAATGTGAGGGTGATGACGTCACATAGAATCCGAATGAAAAAGCCCCTTGTCTCATCTCTCTGCACAGAGCCGCTTGATTCTCATGACACCTTGTGCCCTCCTTTTACCTTTTTTTTTTCTCTCATTCGTTTTCTTTCTCCACTACTAATATAATCGTTATAGGATTTGAAATGAAAATAGAAAAAAAGTTAAGATAAAAAAAAAAAAATTCTGGTCAAATTAATCCCAATAAAACACTTAGATACACATATATTTATTTTTTAATAATAGGTTTTACATCGATAACAAAATTAAAAAGTGAATGCAATCTTTTTTTGTGTGTGATTTGGACTTACTGTTATTATATAGGTAAGAGCTGTAATATTTCGATATTCTTCAATCTGAGTTTTTATTCAGTATCACTGTTGTTGAAGATAAATGATTTACAAATAGATACCTGACCAACATTATCAACAAGTGGTTTGAACATTGAACGATAATCATTCAAATGTTCAGATGCACATGGCCCTAATAATTAAATCCTTTCAATTTAGTATGTTAGGATAGAAACTTTCATCACGTGACTTGAATTTGATACAACACAATGTAGTCTACACTACTATTAAAGTTGTTTTCTTCCTCATTTCCTCTTTAATCCTTGAAATTACTTAAATATAATTGAAATATAGGATCAGTTTTCTTTGCTATATTAGCATCAGTTTGACCATTTAATTTCCATTAACTGGCAATTACCATGATCTGGTTAAATTATTTTGTTTGGGCAAATGTTATGGTTACCTAGTATTCTACTATATTCTTGGGCTAGCTTAAGAGGATATATCAATTTTGGATGAAATTTTATTTAATTGTAAAAATAAATGACATGTTCCCATTGTATTTGATAAATTAATGGATAGATATGCACTTAGACAATATATTTGATAAATAGAGTAGAAGTACAATGTTAGTCCAAGAATCGACCATATCCTAAAGTCCCAACCCCACACGAGAAAGATCTTTAATTAACATAGAAAATAGAAACAAAAGTGAAAATATGACTGAGAAGACTAACAGAGAGATACTGTCTTCTTGTAATAAAACAGAATCTTCCATATTATAAACTACTGGATACTACTACTATCTTCCTACATTACACCAAACAAAACATAGTAAAAAATCCAAAGGTTGGGTCTTTTTTTCTACGAAGTCCAGATCTTTGCTCTCTAACATTTCATGATTCATTGTCCAGGGGCAGAGCTTGATGAACAGTGATTGTTGCCATTGTTTGATCCATTAGGGTTCTTAGTTTTGGAGAGTTTCTGCTTGAGTTGAAACATAAGCTGTTGATTCTCTTGATTCAGAAGCTCAGCTTTCTTCCTAAGCCTCTCATTCTCTATCATTATGTAACAGTTTTCAACATACAGCTTCGTGTTTAGCCTCTCCATTTGCTTGCTTTCTTTCTTCAAGAAAAATAAAACAAAATTATTGTCAATATAAAAAGAGAAAAAGAGAGTCATTATAAAAATAATATCAAAGGTAGCTTGTGTTATGATTATTGTTCATGTTAAATCATTACATCACACATGGGTTGTGCAGCTTCACACGTCGGATGTGAATTACATTAGGGAAAACTATTTGTCGCATTTATTTCGTTTTCCTCCTAAAAATGTGAATTTTTTCTTCTTTTAAAGAAATCAATGATCAAAGAGAGAAGAACATGATTATAAATTCGTATGGAGGATAAAAAGATAAAGCTAAGAAAACAAAAAATGAAAAAAAAAGAGATGAAAACAAGTAATCATGATGATATGCAGTCATTATAAATGTTTTAACCTCTCTGCTTTTATTTGTATCGACAGAAAGTAATGATTATTTTTGAAACGCAACCAAGCGAGAACAAAAAAAAAAAAACAGGGTAAGCAACAAAACAAAGATCGTAATCGTCTGAAATACAAAATATAAAATAAATAAAACGAGTTTCTAAATATCATAAAGAGAACGAAAAAATCTTATTTTTTTTTCTTTTGGTTGCCTCTGTCTTAAAGAAAAGGATAAAGCTTAAAACTTTCCATCATTGAGGAAAAAAAAGGGATAAAAAAGTTTTTATATATATATATATATATATAAGAAAAGGAGATAACGGATTTGTCTTCACGTTGCTTGTATGCGTGACGTTACTACATAGTTATTGACCTAACGCATGCCCGCTAGAGGAATAGAAACAGAGCAAGAAATGAAAAACAGAATAACGAAACAGAGACAGAGTACAAACAAAGCAAGAAAACAGAACAGAGCAACGAAACATAAACAACGTGGGAACAGAGCATATAGACCAGGAAATTATTGGTAATATTACTCAGCTAAATCTTCTAGAAGATACTAAAAGAGAGATAGAAGAAGAAAGGTTATACCTTTTGGGAAGGAGTGTTGAGAGGCAGAGTAAGCGAAGAGAGAGAGAGAGAGAAGCTACTGTGTGTGTGTGTGTGGAAGGTCGAGGGACAAAGAGAACAAAGTGAGACACTGTCTGTTATATAGATCCCCAAAAGCTAGAGAGAGAACGCTCCTGACACAACAATCATGCATTGTGTTGTGTTTATGCATAGATGGCGGCCGCGAGAAGAGAGAGAGAGGAGAGATATGTGTGCATATTGCGTCATGTGAATGATGATGATTTATTAAAGAGAAAGAAGTTAGAGAGAGAGAGAGGGAAAAAAAAAGGGGTTTTCTTGCTTTGGTTGCTCTTCTTTCGAAATTGATCTCTAGGGATACTTTCGTAATTCTCAAAGATCCCTCTCGGCTCTTCATCGTATTGATCCTCGAAACAGAAGTTGTTTCATGGTGGAAAAAAGCTAGGCCGAGGGTATTTTTGTAATATGGAGGAAGTGGTCAGGGGAGGGTAATTTCGTCATTGTGTAGGAATGAGAGGCTATGTAGTAGAAGGCCATCGACCTCTAAAGATTCGCAATGATGGTAAAGATTGGTTCGAACCATCATCCTTCATGATTCAATTTCAACCGTTTTGGACCATTTTTAAATGCTCTCTTTCCTCCTCTTATTTCCCGGTTTGCTCAATATTGGTCTAGTCAATATTACACTCAACCATAATTAAAAGTTTGTTTTGGCATACAAATCATTTTAGTACCACTTTTTGAATTTTTGAAAATTTTTCATAAATACCAAACTTGTTTTTTTTTCAAAAAAAATTAAGGTATTGGAGGTAAGATTCGAAAATAAACATAAGTGAAGTAATTTTGAGAAACTGCACATATCTGAATTATCTTTACTACACATTTGTAATGTAAACATAACCGCTAAAAAAGAATAATGTTAATGAAAAAATCTTTAATATTCTCTTTAACATGCACATTGGCAGCTCCGTACAATAATTTTAAATTTTTAAGCTCTTCTTGGCTATTTAGTTATTTGTTGTTCCTCCTTGATTCTTACAGCATTTCTTAGTTATAAACAGACCGATATGTAAATTTCATGGAAGAAAAATAATAATAATAATGGATACGTAGATTTTTTGGACTTTGGAGCTCCAAAACCTACAAAAATAATCATATGGAACACAAGTGTTAGTAGAACGTGAAAAATCATAGAAACAGTAAGGTAGTTGTTTTTAGATGTAATTTATGACTTTTTTGACCGGTAAATTCACATGTCACCGTGTAGAACTCGTTCGTTTGCCCATAATTTGACACACACAAATGATGACTCTAATTTCACGTTTTATGAAGAAAAAAAAAAGCTACAGTTGTCAAAAGAAAAGCTACTGTTCCTTTTTATATCTTGTACGGCTTCACTAAACCTTTTTCACGAAATAAATTTCTGTAATTCTAATTTTTAAAGATTCGTAAATATGTTGATTTTAGAAGTTAAACAAAACTGAAACACAATTAGTTATGAGTAGGTGTGTCTTGAAATGGACTAAAGAGTGGGTGCACTTGCTTACACCTAAGGCAATGATATTAAAAGTGAAGAGTTTCATTTCTTGGTGGCGTGAATTTTGTGAAATTGGCGTTTTGCCCCTCATTGGTTTCATTCTTCTCTCACTAAGGCTGGGCATCAAATCCAAGTTTGGTAATTCGGTTTCATGTCTGTTTACATAAAAACTGATGTATAAGCTTTTTATATATTTGGTCCCCGGAGGATAAATCAATCTGGCCAATTTTTCCCGGACCATAAAGGTTGAAAAGTTAAACGAGTCGAATTAAACGACTAGAAAAATCGAATGTGTTGAGGGTGGATAGTTGATACTTATAAAGATACCATGAAAATCTGTTTCTCATTGTCTCCAAAATCTATGTATATAGTTAAAATCTATTACTTCTTTTTTTTGGTAAATAAACCTATCACTTCTTTACCAATCAAATTTCAACTATCTTAAATATTCAAATATTCCGTAGTTGCCTCTCTGGTGTGTGTATTAGATTATAGTTTAGAGAAACCGTATTTTGTTTTATTAAATTGCTTTTCCCTTTTTGCTAATCTAACCTTTTGTCTTTTTGAAAAAAAAAAAAAAAAAAACTTTTGTCTTTTGAACTTTACTTCTTTTATTGATGTCTACTCCATAATGTTTAAAGTGCCTTCATATTAGACTGCATGCAAACATTATCATAGCAGATCTTAACTTTTAAACATAGACAGAATATTTTAGTTCAAAAATGCGGGGAAGATCTTGAACAAAGGAGTGAAGGACTATATTATATATAAGTGTACATATTGGACACTGATATAGTGCTCTTCTGCAAGTGACACACATACATAATTTATCGCTTTCTAGGTAAATGGATATATAGATTTGGAGGTGGATTACGACGAATATTAAAGAAGCGGTAATGACAGATATGTCGCTAAAATTAGCTATAGAATTTTCTTAATTTTGGGTTGTATATTGGCAAGTGGCAACCTAAATCCACCGCTGTACATATGTCGTTCAGTCGTTGATTAAAGAAAAAAAAAGTTGTTCCACATCGCAAAATTGAAAGTTTTAAGTATTGTTCATTTTATAGTGGTGTAAATGGAATTCCTCACCAATTTAAATCGTTGACCCAATCCGCCACTGATCAAGGCTGTATATAGAAAAATTCATCGCTATATATACCTGAGTTTGTTCCTAGTTCAATTTTAAACTAACCTAAAAAGCTAGGAAAAAAAAAACTAATAAAAAAGTTTGTAAAGATATATGATTTTTGGTTGTCAAATATGATTTTGTCTAATAACTTACAACTACGGGAATAAGTAGTTAAAGGTTATTAAGGATCAGAAAAGCTAAAGAAAACAACCAAGAAAAATAAAACAATTTAAGATATTTAATAAGCTCTAATATTTTTTATTCTGTAAATAGAACATTTGTTATCTCCTACTTTGATGTCGTCGTCAATATTCAGTACGATAATTACTTAGGGTTTTTCGATTCTACATTGACATTTAACATAAAATCAACGGTAAGGCACATGTTCTTATTTAAAAACCCGAACCGAGATGCGGTCTAAATCTGACAAGATGAATCGGCTGAGAGGCTGGTTAACCAAACCGAATCCTTTTGTACCGACACATCGTCGTCGTTTCTCTGCCATTCCCAATGTGCATGAGTCGCATTCACCACCACCAATTGACCATGCCCGAAACTTGCTTCTCTAAACAATGATATTTCTGGAGTTGGATCTTCATAGCTATCATGAGTCATTAAACTTCATCAAAATCATGTCCTTCAACTTAATGTCGCTAAAATTTTTTAAAAGTTTTTTTTTTAAAGAGATTCTTACTTTGTAGCAAGGCCTTCTTTATTGCCACCATCCCCAATGTTAATATAAACCGGACCACATTTGTCGAACTTATCTTTGTACACCCGATTCTGTCAAAAAACTCAAAAAAAGAGAAAAAATTAGCTATAACCAAAAGCTTTAATTTTTGTTTTTTTTTACCTCCTAATTATTATTTAATAAAATTATGAAACTCTCAAGACTTACAAAACGCTCGTAAGCATGGACGTGACCGGCGAAGACCAAATCAACACGAGCTTTGTAAAGAAGAGTTTCCATGGATTCTTTCATATCCACACTCTCTTTCTCTCCTTGGTGGGCTTCGTTAGTGTTGTACCAAGGCGCGTGTATCACAGCCATCAACCATGGTGTGGTCTTACGATCGATCCCTTTGAGATCTTTTTCTAACCATTGGTACTGAACCGAGCCAGGTTCAAAATCTGTGTATGATCCCAACATTATAACATGGACTCCAAAAACGTTGAAGGAATAGTACAAGTTCGAGGTCGAGCCACTCTCTTCAAACGGCATGCGCCACCTGCCACAAGTATATAAAATTAGTAAAATATCAACAACTTACATAACAATAAACAATTGTTTTTTCTATAGTTTATAACCATTTACAAAGAACGAATACTTTGTTACTAGTAACCAGCCATGGATGAATCGAAAGAATGAACCTGTGGTTATAGGCGGTGAAGCTTTCACGATGGAGGATAGGAATGTGTTCGAGTTCGTGGTTGCCATGAGTGACCATCCATGGTCTTTTGCTAGCAAGCGGCTGCACCATGCGACCAAAAGTGTCCCACACGGGTTGGAAAAAATTAGCGTACGAAAGATCTCCAGGCAAGATAAAAACATCATGCTCCCATTTGGATACATGTTCCAATGTTGATACAGTCCAGTCAGTTGTCCCAAGGTCACCTTCATTAATTTTTTTAATCAATATTCAAGATCATCAACAATCTAACAAATTGAGCTCCAAAAACATGGGTTTGGACTTTATAGTTAACTATAATTATAGATATGTTTGTATATAAGATATAGTTTCTTCTAGAGAGTTATATGATGTAGTGTACCAGCCACGGCGAATTTGATGGGGAATTGAGAAGGAGGTGTCTTGAAGCTGAACTCTTGTGTTGAAGATGGACCTCCACATTTGTAATAATAAACTGTATTAGGCTTTAATGGGCCTATGACTACGTCATTAATTTGGCCCGATCGATAAATCATCAAGAAGTGGTACGAGGACGTTGTTCCATTAGCCGAACCATCGTATTTGCCAGAGGTTGTGCCGTACACAACAGTAGGCATGACTGTGTCTTTCTTCGTTATCCATGATATTCTCATTTTGTCGGCTCCAACCAGAGATATATGCACCTGATATTTATATTTCAATTTAAACATAAAATGTCGCTAGTAATATTAACATAAAATGTCCACTAGTAACATTAACATAAAATGGTCAATAGTAAGTTTTTTTTTTTCGACATGGTCAATAGTAAGTTAGAAAGAAAAGTATGAATTCGCCGATGGACGAAAGATCAAACAGAAAAGGAGACATAGACATAAAGTGGGTGAATTTGCCGCGTCTTAATTAATTGCACAGTGGCTAACATGAATAATACGACAACGGCACTCACGTGCTCATTAGTACTATTCGCATTTAAACTGTTCTTGACTACTGTGGAAACAAATGTTTTAATAGATTTATGGAAATCTGCTTGTTATTATTACATATGTTTTGTTTTAGGATACCACATAGATTCTCTAGAGGGGATGTATCCTTCCTTGGCACAGTTATATTTAACTAAATGTTTTGGATTTTGTATAAATAAATATTGGTAATTAAGGTAAGGTATATTTGTCAAGAAAAACATTTTTTTCTTTGAAAATGTCCACAAAATATCTCCATTCAACATTACGTATTTAATAAATGCGCGAAGTACAGTGTCGTCGGTTCCAAAAACATAAGTGTGTACACTGTATGTATCAGTGGCAAAATCACCCTAATTATGGAAATGCATCGGTCGCAAGTATAGTTTTGTATCATGGGTAAGAATTTGAACAGATCTGCTGATTTAACAATTTTCTATAATTACAATTCTCTAAGTATAATTATATTTTCATATAAAAAACAGAAACAAAACAACAGTATTGTATTTTTCCAGTTTTTTGTTCTTTCTTATATACATTAATATGGGTAAATTTTGTTTTGTTTTTATATAATCGTGTTATTGGTGTTCAATAGAAAAACTTAAATAACACTAACACTAAAAAAAAAAATGACATGCTTATGTTTTAAAAAAACTAACAACTATCAAAAGAATGAAAGACATAAAGTCTTGAGACTTGTCGTGTAAAAACTCTACTTAGAACGATTTACATGAATGATATAAACATATATGCGTATACGTACATAAATATTGAGTTGAAATGTGAATTACCTGTTCCGGGGACAGAGGATCGTCGTTGTTAGAGGGATGAATCACTATATTTTTCCGAATGCCCGGCCGATCATATGACGACACATTTCTGACCAAAACAATAAGCAAAATCGCCACTAAACCCCAAACCTTCAACATTCTAGGTTCTGGCGTGACAGAGAAAGAAAGAGAACGATGGAGAGAGAGAGAGAACTCCAAGGTTGTCAGGAGCAAGGATGTATAAGGGACACGGTGCTTTATAGTAATCTCTTATCTCTCGTTTTGGAATTTCTCAAAATGGGGAGATGTATTTGACAAAAAATGTAAAACAATTTTGTCAGCGTGTATTTCAAAAACGGATATCCACTAGATACCCAGATTCTAATAATCAAATTCAAATTGGTAAATAAGTAATGTATTTTTTCAGAATTAAGATAGATTTTATGTTTTAAACCAAAATTAAAATTAAAAATAGATTCTATGCATGTTTTTAACAATTACTAGCATATTAGTTTATCTGAGATCAATTTACTTACTATTTTGCCTTCCACGTTTTTGTAAATGAAGAATTTGGCTATATAAATTATATATTCTCATATATATTACCAATTTATCTACAATTTTGTTTTTCAAAAATACATCAAATATAAATTAATCTTAGACATCAATTATGTACCTTTCCAAAAAAAAAAACAATTCTGTAAGAAGTAAGATAATCTATAATTACTTATTTGGAAATAACATAGTTAGTTTCTAATAAGAGTGTTATTCAATCCTTCATATTCTAAGAGTAATAAAATATAAAACAAATCTCTTGTTATTCAATGGTTTCTTTTACATGATCTATTAAAATTATTTGTAATTATGGAATTTAGTAATGTAAATCATGACTTCAAATAGTGCTATACAAAGATTTTTAAGAAATATTTTAATTTTGAATTATTAACATTTAAAATCTTAGAAATGTTTTGATTTTGAGTAATAAACATTTAGAATATTAATAGAATAATTAATAACGTGTTAAATTTTAATAAAACATCATATTTTATTATTGTAGATTATCTATTATAATCAATATTACTCATGATTAAATATATAGTTAATATTCTAATAAAATAATGATATATTTTTAACTTTACAAATTATAGTTTATTTTAAATGCGGGGATTCAAAAAAATCAATACTATGTTTAGAAATTTTGGATTTTATTAGTAAAGTTGGCATAGATAGTTTAATTCCAATTCTCCCCTCCACCAATTTTTTTCAATAATAATCATATGTTTTTTTTTTGTCAAACAATAGTCATATGTTTTTTTCTTTGCTATTAAAAATGCGTGAAAAAAAAAAACAAAACTAATGCTCTAAATTTAATTTGTCAAATGAGCCCAACACATATTGGAAATATAGATGAACCAAGTAGGCCCAAGAATTTAAAAGGTAGAGAATCGTCTCTTAAAGGAAAATGAAAGGCCGATAGACTACATGCAGTGGTGGTTCCGTGGTTGTGGTCACTACCGACTAGGGAGGATTATTACTTGTGTCACGCAAGCTATATGCAAGCTCGAATCCAAATTGTTACATCTATATATTGCATGAAAGCTTTATCAAAAAAATAAAAAAGATCAGAGCATCAACTGATCGAAATGACTTTGTATTTAGGTATTTCTTGTGAGAAGCAAACTATCTATAACATCCAGATAGAGAGACAGAGAGTAATCATAAATACTACACAATTCAAAATAGATTAAAAGATGAAATTGAGATTTTAAAAAGAAGGAGTGATTCTGATGAGTAAACCAGGGAAAACATCATCGTGATCATGTATATGAGGATTCCCTTCAACGATGTAAGGATCTCCACACTTTTCACTTATCGTCTGCAAAGTCTCTCCTTCTTTCACCTCATATATCTCTTCGCATGGTGGCCGTCGATGAGAATATTGAGCGATCATCATCGACGGCTGCTGCTGCTGCTGCTGCACGGTGATCTCCGTAGGACCTTCCTCTGCCACGTTGCAGCAGTTCATCAGCAGCATCATGGCGGCAAACACCGCGCAGTACCACGAGATCTTCTCTGCTACTACCATCGAAGATGAATGAGTATAACTCTTTGCCATTCTAAGATTTTTTTTTTCAGGAAACTTGATTATAAGATTAAGAGGAAAATGTTAATATTTTGCTGATTCTTTTGCGGATATGTATGTAAAGATGTGTGCATGGATTAAGTTGATTATAAAAGATGATGTTATTGGTGGAGTTGGTGTGAATATTAGCGGGAGTTGAAACGGCTGTAATGTTGCAGGTGCTTTTTGTGTTAGGTCACTTGTCTAATTTAAATCCTTTCCATTCAATGGATTAATTTGTGAAATAATCTATACGTCCCATTTATTACACGATAAAAAAAACAGAGGCAAACAAAAGAAGACAATTACTAGAAAAGAATACTCGAATAATACAAAAGTTTACGGAATGGTTATATTATTATATATCATAATCCATTTTTAATCTATAACTAATTGCCCCTTCTTTCAACTAAATATTTTTTAATGAGTCTAAAACTCCAAAACAATTTTTGGTAAGACAAAAAAGCATTATTCGCTGAAGAGAATAACACACCATCCTCAAAACTCATGGGCCAAACCAAACCAACCTTAAAGATCAATTTTCGAAAATGAAAGAAGGTGAAAGCCTGAAACGTTTTGGAAGCTAAATTTAAATTTCAGAGACAACCTATCATATATGATAAACTCATATCAGTATATTACATCATCTAGTATGTATTATATTTGTTATATTTGTTCTTTGTTAAACTTTATGAGAAAGAAAAAACATAGAGATGTCCATAGGCCCAGTTCTTTGCACTATCCAAAACTTGAGATGTAACTAAATTAGGTGAGAAACCCCAAATTTACCGGGAGGAGAACCTAACTGACAAATTCTTCACTTTAGATTAATAACCGAAGAGGCCAGAGACATGCAGTCAATTTTATTTTTGTGGTAAAAGACATGCAGTCAATTATTTAAGACAAGAGGTTTTTTCGCAGCCGAAAAAGTTGCATCTATACTACTATTTCATTCAAGATAATCTTATATGACAATTTTTGTTTCTTAGGTTATAGAGTCGAACCCTAGTTGCTCAAGATTTAAACGTGAACTTGTGATTTAGTTTTAGTACTTGACTATATATGTCGGCATCTCATCATATGATGATTCTCATCAAGTGGGTCATAATATGAGAAAATATATGTTATTCTTGTCCAGCTATCCAATATGTTTCGTTGCCCACAACTGCGTGTTGGTACTTGGTAGGAGCAGCCAATAGCTGCTTGGACGATATATGTAGTTAATTAATCTATTGAATAGGGAAAAAATAAAGATAAGAGAGAGTACGTAGTAATAAGATAAAGGGAAAGGCTTGACTTCCATTTTGGCTCCTCTTCCAGCCTGTCGGTTATATATCTTTTCCTTTACGCACATTTTTTTGTAAGTTCCCTAATTACATTAAAAAGGGCCAGGTTTAATAAAATAGTCGATAGAGAGAATTAATTAGATTTTTTTAAAACCTCTATAAAGTTGTCTGAGACTCTGAAACCTTTTTTGTGTGTGTCTAGGATACCATTTGTAACTTTGTATTTCAAAACTTTATATAACTTCTAAAATAATCACAAAAATGTCATGAAATTTGATTTGGAAACACTGAAAAAGAAAAACTGCTCTGGAAACAACTTTATACAGTCCTTTCTCTAGCCACCTAGAACTCATTCGTAGACATCTCATGTTTTTCAAAAAAAAAAATACATAATTGTTTATTTATATTTTCAGGCAAAAACAATATATTTTTTACATATTTGTCCAATTATCACATTAAATACTCACATAACATGATTTTTTTTCAAAAAAAAAACATGATTTTTTCAATATAACTTTAGCCCTCGATTTACACTATTTAAGCTGATAGTATCTAGTTATCGAAAAAAAATATTTGGTAGTTTGACAGTTTCACGAGTCGATAATTTCTGAAATCTCCATCTTAGCCTGTGTGTACAACAATAGCTTGAGCCTTGATATCTCGGATTCTTATCATACTTTTCCAGAAGTTGTTTTCTATGTACTTCTTCGATAGACAATGAACCAAACTCCATATTATTTGATGATTTTATAAATAGGATGTTTTTTAGAGCAATGTCGTTACTTTATACTTTTAAGTAGAAGAGCATATATATGACCATATTATTTGATGATATCACTATATAACTCACCGAATTTACCATCAAAAGACAACACGAGTATCCATAAAAAATACCAAGTGAAATCGAACTTCGGATTGATCTCTAATATTAAAAATAATCTGACTATACAGTATCCAATATAGATAAGATTCAGTGGGAGGGCAGTCTAGGTGGGAAGCTATAGGAGACACATGTAAGGAAAAAAAAAGGCGATTTTTGGCGATCATAGAGGCGATTAGGGTTTTCTCTTCTTCCTGCCCAAGTAAGGGCGGCGGAAGCATGGAGACGTCTGAAAAGGCAGTTCCTGACTCGACAGAGACCCCTCCAAATGGGGTGCTGATAAGGGAGGGGACGATTTTGAGTGGGGAGAAGGGATTACCTCGTTCGGAGGAAATCTCTGTGACTGAGGTGGCTGAAGGTTTGCAAAACAAATTGATGGAAAACGATCCAGAGGGTGTAACAAAGGATACGTGTAGTACTGGTCCAGCACAGGCGAAAGCACTGAAGTGGTCCGAGGTGGCGAAGGAGAATCGGGGTTTGCAGAAATTTGACCTAGAAGAAAAAGAGGTCGATGGAGTAAAGGTTTTCAAAGTTCCGGAGGCTATTCTTTCAGAAACCCCTCTATGGGATGATTGCATAGTAGGGAAATTTCTCAAGACAGCTCCTCACATCGGTTCAATCCACATGACAGTGAACAAAATTTGGTCGCTGGACAAGGGGATTAAGATCGATGTTTATGTTGTGAACGAGACTATTGTCAAGTTCAAAATTCCAAACAAAAGTGTTCGAGACAGAATGTTACGTCGAAAGATGTGGAATATTAAGGATATCCTGATGTTTGTGTCTAAATGGAGCCCTGTCGCAGAGGAGGCTCAACCCGTCATGAAATCGATCCCTTTGTGGGTCATCCTGAAGAATGTGCCACGAAAGTTGTACAACTGGAAGGGTCTAAGCTTGCTCGCGAGCCCTGTTGGAACTCCAAAGCAACTTCACCCTGATACAATTTGGGTTAAGCAATTTGATGTTGCCCGGATTTCAGTTGAAGTAGACTTGACAAAGCCGCTGCCTGAAACACACTGTTTTGAGCTTGACGGTATGATGGTAGAGGTGCAGTATGAATTTCCTTGGCTTCCACCACACTGCGCAGCATGTGGGGGTTGGGGACACACAGGCACTGAATGTCAGGTTGGGCATGGGGCTATTACTATATTGCGTAGGGACATGGAGAACGTTCAAAACAAATCCGCAGATCCGGTGGGAAAGCAAAGGAATCAGGAAGCAAGGACTTTGAAATCACCGATTGTACAGCCGGTTAAAACAGCTATCACAAAAATCCTATCTTCGGTCTCTAAGGCAGGGGTGACGGGAAAGGAAAGAGGAGAGGTAATAGAGAAGGTGAAGGACTTCCAGAAGGAGAAGGAAAAGGAGGTGCATAAGGAGGAGACTCCTCTGGTCCATCATGAAAAGATAACAGGTTTAAGCGAAAGTGGCAAAAAACAGAGTGCTCTTAAAACAGAGTGCTCTTGCGACAGAGGATGAATGGATTTCACCCACAAAAATTACAAAGCAGAGCCATCGTGACAAGGATGGTGCTGTCGAGTTTGCTATGGCATCCCGATACGCTGGCTTAGAGGGGGTTCCGGAGGGTGATATAGAGGAAGGTGAGGTTACAGATTTTGGTGATCCGGGGTCGGATAACTCAAGTAAGGATGAACAAGGAAATGCAGAATATGGGTTGGTATCGGGTGATACAGAAGAAGTTAGTGAGGGAAAAGATCCATCAGAAGACTCAGCAAGTTTGGATTCTGTGGCAGAGGATTCTAATGCAGAATCAAAAACAGATGAGCTTACTGTAGCAGGTAGCAGGGTTCCTCTAACCAGAGCAGCTAAGTCATCGCATAGGTGTATTCATCCGGAAGCACGGAAAGGAGATCAGAAGTCCTCTGGGAGGAAAAGGAGAAACAAAAACCAAAATCATCATTAATGACAGGTTTTTTCTGGAATATACGGGGTTTCAACAAGAAGTGTAAACAGTAGGTGGTAAAGGATTGGGTTCAAGGGAATTTTCTGAAATTTGGATGTTTGCTGGAAGCAAGAGTTACTGAAAACCGTTGTGCAGGGATTGTGAATCGAGTTTTCCCGGGTTGGTCTGTCATCACTAACTATGATTACAACAGACTTGGGCGAATTTGGGTAATTTGGAGTGACGATGTAAGACTATCAGTGATACAAAAGAGTGAGCAGATGATCACATGCTTGGTTTCACTTGATGGTCAAGATGATGATTTCTTTTACTCTTTTTATCTATGCTGCAAATCTGGCGATTGATCAGAAAACTTTGTGGGATGAGATAAAAGAATTGCATGACTCAACGTGCAAAAACAAAAGATGGATGCTGTGTGGCGATTACAATGAGATCCTCTCTGATGAGGATCATTCAAACCCGGGATCTTCATCGACCTCCTCTGGTTCTTTGGATTTTCAGGACAATGTTCGACATTGTAATCTGATCGATATGGGGTTTCATGGACCATGGTTGACATGGAGTAACAAGCGGAGTGAGGGGCTAATACACAAAAAATTAGACAGAGTTCTTATCAACGAAGACTGGCTATTATCTCAATCGAGATCATACTGTGTTTTCGAAGCAGGGGGGGGTGCTTTGATCACTTGAGAGGGCGCTTCTATTTGGACCTTGAGAGTCAGTCTATCAAGCGACCTTTTAAGTTTGTGAATGCAATGACACAGATGCCTGAGTTTATACCGGCTGTGAAAGACAAATGGGATGGGACGCCCGAGCTTTTTCACTCGACGTCTGCTTTATTCCGTTTATCTAAAAAACTAAAGGAGTTAAAGCCCAGTATGCGGACTCTGGCAAAAAAGCGACTAGGGAACATTACAAACCGGACGAAGGAAGCCTATACGGACTTATGCCAGCAGCAAGGAGCAAACGCTCAAAACCCTTCACCTTTGGGTTTAGAAGCTGAATCAAATGCATTGATGAGATGGGAGCATCTTTCTGATTTGGAAGAACAGTTTCTGAAGCAGAGATCAAAGCTACACTGGTTAAATGTGGGAGATAAGTGCAACAAAGTCTTTTTCCGAGCAGCCTGTATCAGAGTCTCAAAAAACTTGATTCGGGAGATAGTGAATAGCAATGGCATTACATTGAGAGATCCAACTGATATCAAAATGGAAGTTGAAAGGCATTTTCGGGATTTTTTATCAGATACTCCATCTGACTTTCAGGGTGCTACGGTCGAACATCTTGAGGAGTTGTTGCCGCAGCGGTGCACATCTCACGATAGTGAGGAGTTGATACGGGATGTTACAGATGAGGAAGTGATGCAAGTGGTCTTTTCAATGCCAAGCGACAAGTCCCCGGGACCAGACGGATTTACTATTGAGTTCTTCAAAGGGGCTTGGCAAATTGTTGGGCGTGATGTCATTATAGCGGTCCAGTCTTTTTTCCAATTTGGATTTTTACCAAAGGGAATGAACTCGACCATATTGGCCTTGATACCCAAAAAAATGGATGCTAAGACGATGAAAGATTACCGGCCAATCTCGTGTTGCAATGTCCTCTATAAGATCATCTCAAAAATACTTGCAAACCGATTAAAGAAAATCCTCCCAAAGCTGATTACTCCAAATCAATCAGCTTTTGTACAGGATAGATTGCTCGTTGAGAATATCTTGCTCGCATCTGAGCTTGTAAACGACTATCACAAGAATCAAGGCCCGGCAAGGTGTGCTATGATGATTGACATCGCCAAAGCTTTTGATACTGTCCAATGGAGCTTTCTACTGAAAGTTCTTGCAGCCATGGGATTTTCGAACACATTCATCGACTGGATAAGGATATGTATTTCTACAGCTTCTTTTTCAGTACAAGTGAATGGGGAATTAGTGGGCTATTTTCAAAGTAATAGAGGACTGCGTCAAGGGTGTGCTTTATCTCCGTATCTATTCATTCTTTGTATGAATGTTCTATCCACCATGCTTGATAATGCAGCGAAAGAAAGACGATTTGGCTATCATCATAACTGTGAAAAAATAGGTCTGACGCACCTATGTTTTGCTGACGATTTATTGGTGTTTTGTGATGGTAGAGGCCAATCGATTGAGGGAATTATTGAGGTTTTTGCTCAGTTTGCAGCTGATTCGGGTCTTCAGATTAGTCTGCCGAAATCGTCAATCTTCTTAACAGGAATCTCTGAAGTTAATCAACAATTGATAACTGCTCGATTTCCGTTTGCTGTTGGTGTACTCCCTGTTCGCTATCTCGGACTGCCCCTGATGTCCAAAAAAATGACAAAAGAGGACTATGCACCTCTTGTGACGAGTATCCGACGACGCATAGGGTCTTGGACAGCTCGACAGCTCTGTTATGCAGGCCGATTACAGTTACTGCTATCTGTGATCTCTGGGCTAACAAACTTCTGGATATCAGCGTTCCGACTTCCGCGAAGCTGCATAAAAGAGGTGGAATCACTCTGCAATTCTTTTTTATGGTCAGGTCCTAGCCTAGATGCACGGAAAGCAAAAGTCTCTTGGACAGATGTGTGTAAGCCAAAGAAAGAAGGGGGGCTTGGTATTCAGTCATTGAGGGAAGCAAACAAAGTCTGTAGCCTCAAACTGGTCTGGAGACTTCTCTCGAATACGTCGTCTTTGTGGATGAAGTGGGCACAAACATACCTGTTCCGTGGTAAACCTTTCTGGGCTCTTACAGCTTCGCAATTACAGGGGTCCTGGATATGGCATCGTCTTTTAAAAGACAGAAATATGGCAAAACGCCTACATCGCATAAAGATAAATAATGGAGAGGAAACTTCCTTTTGGTTCGACAATTAGAGTGCGATGGGTAGGCTGATTGATATTACTGGTATCAATGGTTATACGACATTTGGTGTGCCGGCTTATGATTCGGTTGCATCGGTATGACGTAATCATCGGCGTAAATGACACATACGTACATCCCATAATCTCATTGAGGATGAGCTTGAAACTGCAGCTCTGAGCAGGAATAATGATGAAGATCAACATCTAATGGCAAATGCAGAATGGACAGTTCCGAGAAAAGTTTTCATCAAAACAAACGTTGCACATCATTCGAACAGCTGGAACAGTACAACAATGGAGCTCAGTGGTTTGGTTTAAGCGAGCAACACCAAAATATGCTTTTATAACATGGATGGCGATGCAGGACAGATTAACGACGGGAAATCGCATGGCGCAATGGAATAGAGGCATCTCCACTGCCTGTGTCTTTTGTTCGACCCCTGTGGAAACAAGATCACATCTGTTTTTTGAATGTAGTTTTTCGCAGCAAATATGGGATGACCTTGCTGGAGGATTACTCACCATACGGCATACACTCAAATGGGAGGAGATTGTAAGCCTATTCTCTTCAAATGTTTTGGAAAAAACCACTCTGTTCTTTGCACGCTACATTTTTCAAGCGACCCTGACTTGGATCTGGCAAGAACGAAATCAAAGACGACATGGTGATAACCCCACTTCGCCGCAGACACTGATAATGGGCATTGACAAGTTGATGAGGAATCGGTTAAGCTCACTGCGCATGGCTGGGGATCACAGCTATGAAGGAGGAATGGAGGCCTGGTTTGGCTCCCGTACATGACCGTATCACTCTGTTTCAAAGTCAATAAAAAATTGACCTGCGCTCTGCCTAGCAGCTTTTGATTTTATTTTTTACTCTTATCAAATTTTGATGTAAAGAAGAACTGGCTTTTTTGAAATATAATTTAACATATTTTCAAAAAAAAAAAAAGATTCAGTGGGAGATAATATCATACTATAATATTCAAAATCCAAATAAAATGCATGATTATCAACATCTTAGTGACAAAAAGAAAAGAAAGAAAATGCTTCAATAAAATTGTTGTGAAATAGAAATGCCATATTTTTACAAAACAAAAGAGTTTTGAACATTTACGAACGGAATCACCGGCAACCCAATAACCCTCATGTTGACTTGCAAACATCTAATCATATAAAATACAATCCGATATCATATGGGTGCTTTCACCTAGTGAAGATAATTAAAAAGAAAAGCGTAAAGACAAATTATTGTTCCCCTACTAATAAACATTCCTAACAATAATATCTTAGGGTATTTAATTCTAAACCAACCCAATCAATGGTTTGGCGTGTATCATTTCCCCCACTTGAAGCATCAAATTGATCAATTATTAGAGGTTTTGGAATTCCTCTCACTATATCAAATTTCTTTATTACTTGGACCGTCCAATTTTTTCTTCACACAAAAAGAAAAAAATCTTACTTGAAACGAGTGGTTGATTATATCCCAAGTTGACATAAAAAGAAGATAGATCCCAAGTGGTTCTTCCAAGGTTGACACGGTATGATTTTTTTTTTTTTTGAAACTCACACGGTGTAAAGTTTGACCCATCTAATGAGTTTTTTTTTTTTTTTTTTTTTTCTGGTAAGGAAACATACTTTTATTTTTGTAGGGGAAAAAAGTTACCAACCATAAAATTAAATAAAAAAATACTATATCAATCAATAAGTGACACCACCATGACGACATTTATTCACTAGTATAAGATTTGATCGTGGACTAGTGGCATTACGTGTATAAAATAGTTTACATTTATATGATATAGTTCATCTATAATTCGATATTAGTTGCAATAACTTTCTTTTCAGAAAAAGTAATCAAACTTTGGAAAATAAACGAAATACCGTTATTTCTATTTAAATTTCAGCTGCGTTGTCTCTGTTTCGCCGTTGTTTCCATCTTCTTCCTCTTTTTTCTCTCTCCTTTGGCTCTCTGTATATCTTCTTCTCTTCCCAATTCATTCGTTTTTGGAAAACAAGAAAAAATCAGTGAATCATCTTCTTCTTCTCTCAAGAACAGGTAAACACCATCTCTCTCCTCCACTCCTTCTTTTTCTCCTCTCTTCTCTGTATTATTATTATTATTATTATTATTTTTTCCTTCTTTTAAATAAACTTTCCTTCTCTTATATTTTTTCATTTCTGTTTGGTTGCCGAGAAAACGGAGGAAAAATCTTCTAAATTTTTCTCGGTGACCAGAATCCGGTTTGTGTTTTTCTGTTTTTCTCTTCTTTTTTAATCCTGCAGATTTGTTACTTTGTTTAATCAATTGTTTTCATTTCCAACCAGATTTTCGACGAACTTGATCGATTAATTCTCTCGAGAATCCATGGCGGAAGAGCATCGATGTCAGACGCCGGAAGGCCACCGTCTCTGTGCTAACAACTGCGGCTTCCTCGGCAGCTCCGCCACCATGAATCTCTGCTCCAATTGCTACGGCGATCTCTGCCTTAAGCAACAACAACAAACCTCCATGAAATCCACCGTCGAATCCTCCCTCTCCGCTTCCGCTTCCTCCTCCTCCGTATCTCCTCCGTCATCGGCGATCGCCTCCATCTCTTCTCCGATGATCCAACCTCTCGTCCAAAATCCCTCAGCTGAATTAGAGGTACCGGAGAAAAACACGCCGATGACGGTGACTCCGGCGCCGCCGCAGACGACGGCGGAGCAGCAGAAACGGCCGAATCGGTGCACGACGTGCAGGAAACGGGTCGGGTTAACCGGGTTCAAGTGCCGGTGCGGGACGACTTTTTGCGGGACCCACAGGTACCCGGAGATCCACGGATGCACCTTCGATTTCAAATCGGCCGGTCGCGAAGAGATCGCCAAGGCGAATCCGCTCGTTAAAGCGGCGAAGCTTCAGAAGATTTGATCGGAGCCGTTCGATGCGTTGACTTTTCGTCGTCTTCCGTTTAAAACGCGTCCGTCTTCACGAGAAATTCGGATGGCGTTAGAATGATCTCAACCGTTCATCATTGGGGTCATTATGTAAAAGATTATGTAATTTGCCAAGGGACGCGTGTCACGTTGTTTAGGATGGAGACGTTTTTCCCTCATCTTCCCAATTAATTTTCTTTTCCCCAGAAAAAGAAATACTAAGATTATTCGCGTTGGCTTTTCTTCTTTTTCCGGCATCTTGTGTGGCTTTTGCGTGTACAAAGTTATTCACAACACCCAAAGAAATACTCCTAAATAAATTTCTGTCTCCGTGCTTTTCCTTTTTTCTTTGGGTAACACTGATAGACTAATTACACACTTGAAATTGATAATTTTAAATCTTGGAATTAAAAGCTAATAACCATACAAAGACATTATATTGATAGGTTCTTACATTATGCTATATGGATGTGGAATGTCTTAAAATAATGATCCCTCCTTGAATGAGTATTGGTTTGTTAAGAATGTTGTCACCGGCGAAAAAAAATAGAGAAGGTTATTAGCCTCAATCTTCTTAATATACAAACAGTCCTGTAATAGAAATTCCCAACATATTCTTTAACGACTTAATACAGAATGTCTAACTATATATTTAAAATATTATAGTTCCGTGCTCAAGTTTATGAATTATGACAAACTATTGCTAGTATTCGACTACTATGTGATGGTAAACCATTTAAATTGAACGTAATATTCTGTGCGAAATCAAACTAAATAATTCTGTTTTATGAGTTGAGAGATTACTGCGACTGAATTTATTTTTTCTATGAACAAAGCCAAAAAAAAAGAAAGAGAGAAGCGTGTAAGATGTTTCATGGTATGGTGATTTAGAGCTCATTTCTAGAACGATTTCTAATACAATGTGATAATGTCCTAGGGCTATCGAACCATACTTGATCCGCAATAACGGAAAAGTTATCTTGATTTCTATGCCACGACCAATGTGCTCGTTTCTCGTTTATAATCCTCAATCTCCCATGTCCGAAACTCGATTCTCGGAATGCTGACAACCGTGAACGAGGCTTATAGAACCTGTAATTTCAAGTTAAAAATATCGGTTTAATCAATTCTGTTAATGACCAATATCTTTAATAAAAATGTAAAACCTTTTTTTGTTGAGAGCACAACATAAAACCATTTAAAAAAAAAAAAACGTTAACCCATTTAAAATGGGCGAAAAATATAAATTTTGGATTGAATAATGGGAGGTGACATACGAATAAGCAAGGCCTTCTCGATTGCCACCGTCGCCGATGGTTATGTACATTGGTCCACATTGGTTGGCCTTGTTCTTGTATACCGGCCTCTGCATCAGCCATAATTGCAATCAATCATAAAGTAAAACGCTCATTTTCTTAAAATTTATTATTTGTAAAACGATCATTTTCTTAAAATTTTATTATTTTGATGTAAATAACTAAGTACGAATATTTTTAAATATATCAAATACCGAAAAGAGAAAAAATTCCTATATACAAATTGATCTTTATATATAGGATGTTTTCTCAGAACCAAGTTTATTGACAATCGGTTCTTAAAGTAATTGACAATTTTTTTTTTAGTCGCTGATTTTAGTTTCGATTTAAGACATCGTATATAACTTTTTAATAACAAAACATATGCGTGTAAGCATAGGAATTCTTAACTGCAAAGCACTATGATTATTCAATAAATCGTAATAAAAGTAGTTTTCATTTTCTTAAAAAAGTTTTGATTTAACCTAAAACATGTAGAATGACAATCTTCATTATGAAATTTTGAGGAAGCTTATATATAAAATTTTGTGGCAGCCTGCATGTCATTCCGCTGGTTAATTATTTTTTTAAAATTTAAGGAAAATTTTAAAAATGTGGAGGTACTTAGTACTTACAAAACGTTCGTAGGTATGAATGTGGCCGGCAAAAACGATGTCGACATGGGAAAGAAAGAACAAACGCTCCATGGCCTTTCTCATACTCTCTCCTTCACCTTCATGCGCCTTGTTCGTGCTATACCACGGCGTGTGCATCACCACCACCAACCACGGCGTCGTTTTACGATCAACCTCCCTCACACAAAAAAAAAAAGATTCTTATTTTCAAAAACTAATAGAAGAAATAGCTGAAATTAAATATCCCTTATAATGTGAAGTTTGGAATGACTATATTTAAAATGTTACTAACAAATAGTGTGAAGTTAGACCCATATAGATAAAGCATATATTCCAAGCTATGTTCATTTATATAATTATACCCCAACTATATACTTACCTTTTTTAAATCGGCTTGGAGCCACCGGTACTGATCAGATCGAGAGTCAAAATGGGTGTAAGAGCCAAGCATAACCGTGTGAACACCGGCTGTGTCAAAGGAGTAGTAAAGGTTGGAGTGAGAGAGGCTTTCGACATGAGGCATGAGCCATCGAGCATTGTATGCTTTAAAGCTTATGTGTTCCTCAACGATTGGGTAAGACTCGATCTCGTGGTTTCCCTCAGTGACCATCCACGGTCGTGTACTAGCCAGGGTTTCCATGAGGCGTCCAAAAGAGTCCCAAAGTGGCTGGTGGGAATCCGCGTAGGAGAGGTCACCGGGAAGTAGGAAGACATCGAAATTCCGTTTATTAATCTGAGCTAATGTTCTCACCGTCCAATCACTTTGCCCTAGGTCACCTTCAGTTTTGACAACAAAAACCGGTATTTTGGTAAGTTAACTAGAAAAAACCGGGTTTTAACTGGCATGAACTAGAATCCAGCATAGTATAAAAAAGTGTCAAAATTGATCAACTCCAATCCAAGCTATCATTGATGTTTCATGATAAAATTTGATGGAACTAAGTAAAATATGTAAATTACGACTATTGTAAGAGGCGGCCGTTAGTGTCAGGAATTAGATTCACGTAAGTCATTTCGTACTGTATGATCGTTTAGGAAAAATTTCACTTCAACCACACTACTAAATGTTTGAATTAAAGCCAATTCATATACGAATAAACCATTTTGAAAACCCTATCAAACATATATGTATAAATCGACGAAAAATATATAAGAAAGATGCATGAGACATGTACAACTTTAAAAAAGCTTGAGATTTTGGCGTATACTTCTAAACAATCAAACCTCCAACGGGAAAGTTATGGACATGTATAAAAAGTGAACTATATGTTAAGATGTAACTTCCTGAACACGGTTTGCGTGTTATTGTTTAAACACATTTAATTAGCCCAATGTTTATATCTTTTGATAAGCATAACTTTTATATATATGAATATACATGGAAATATTCCGATGGATTAATCTCGTATGTTCCGGTTCGCCATTAGACATTCCATTGTAAATCTCCAGTACCAATAAATGACAAACAAACAAAAAAACGAGAAATGAAGAAGGGCTATTACCAGCGACGGCGAACTCGATCGGAAAAGTGGACGGAGGGGTTTTGAAAGAAAATTCCTCACCATGGCCGCCGCAACGGTAATAATAAATGGTGTTTGGTTGAAGAGGACCAATCTTGACATGGTGGATCTTGCCGGAGCTGTAGAAGAAGTGTCTATAAGAAGTGAATTCTCCGGCGGTTTTTCTGTCGTACACTTTTGGGTGTTTACCATACTCCACCATCGATGCCACGTTCATGTCGTCCGTTGTGTATGTTACTCTCATGTGATCCTTACCAGCCAATGATACGTGCACCTATGTATGTGTATAAATAATGTATATAGTCAACATTAACTAGTATAAATTAAACAAGTGTTAGTTCTTTCCTTGTCAACGATAGAAAATTCGAAACTAAACATAGGAACTTTCTGTACAGAGCAATAAACAACGAAAATAAAAGAATAGTATGTCAAAGAATGTAACAAGAAAAATAAGAGATTAGGCAATAGAATGTAAAAAGAAAAAGAAGAGAATGTGTGATAGTTTCAAAAACACATCAAATAGCCTCTTTTTGGATAGAATAAACATACTAACCTTGTTACAATAAATACATTGTCTCATGGGGTAGGCATCTCACACTCCACATATAAAAGGCTCGAAGATGAAATATTTACAAGAATTAAGACATTAAGAGACAGATCGAGGCATTGAGAGAGATTTAAGCTAATGAACCTGTTGAGGATGGGATTTTGGACGGTCGTTAGAGACGATGAAGTCTGGTCGAGGGGGTGGGCGGGTGAACTTCGAACCTCGATTATTAGCTTGAGATGCAAACGGAGAGAGGAAGAAGAGAGTAAAGCTAAGAAAGAGACCAAAGATTTTCATCTTCTTTTGTTTTAAAAGAGTTTAGGGTGAAGATGATGAAGTAGAAGATGTGATGAATTGATTAAATATCGAAGAGATAGGTGAATGTCCCAGGTTTCTCTTATACAAGTTGTCAAGTCACTCATTACGTTTTTTTTTTGTGTTTCTTTTATTTTTCTTAAAGATTTGCTTGCAGCTTTCTTTCATCTTCCAATATTTCTTAACGAAACAAAATTAAATAATTTAAAAAATAAAAACAAAACCAAAGCCAATGCTTGAGTTGGTAATGTTTTCTAACCTCCAGTAAGATTACAGATGTTTTTATTTTTTTCTATAAAAAATATGATGAAGTATATATATTTACCGGTGGAACTTTAACCAAAGAAAAAAAAAACCCCCGTGGATCCGACGCAAGAAAATAAAATATCTACCAGTCAGTAAAAAGTGGTTTTTTGGTTACCATATCTCTAATTTGAGCCAGCAAAATTACCTAATTAACAACAATCTTAATATTAGTTTCAGAAAAAAAGGGCATCGACGAATAGGAAAAGTCTTATTGACTGAAAGTGTAAGTATCCATCAGACATCGGTTGATAAAATCAAACAAAAAACATCAGACATTCATTAGTCCCACAAACTAACCAATGTTGGATCCTAAAACAAAGGCACGCAATACTTGAACAGAAAACTACCAATACATTCTTAAATACTAAAAAAAATCCCTGATAAAAGTGTAAGTTGCAGCAAAATGAATATTTGTCTACGAACGATCCAATTAATGAAGAAAAAAAAAAGAGTATATAATGTTTAATGCTATGATGATTTAGAGCTCATCATTGGAATGACTCGAAGGCCAACATGACGGTAATGTGCTAAGACTCTCGAGCCAGACTTCATCAGCAAGAAGTGAATTCGAATCATTGTTTCTATGCCACGACCAATGTGCTTTTTTCCCGTCCATAACCTTCAATCTCCCATGCCCAAAACTCGATTTTCGGAATACCGATAAAGGAGAAGACGGCTTCTTGAACCTGTCATTCATGTTATTAATTAGAAAATATATTAAAATCATTCAATAGTTAGTACCAATTAGCTAAATCCCCAAAATGTTAAGAAAACAAAAACCATTGAAATAAAAAGAAAGTATGTGACATACGATGAAGCAAGGCCTTCTCGGTTGCCTCCGTCACCAATGGTTATGTATATAGGCCCACATGGATCGGCCTTGTTGTTGTATACCCGCTTCTGCATCAATCACAATCCGGCCATCAATAATTTTATTTTATTTTAATTTTTTCCCTTAAATTTGTAAATTGAGTCGTCGACTTAGGTACTTATACCACAATAATTTAATGAAATTTTAATTAGAAACAAAAACTAACAAGATTAAATTTAAGGTTGGGACTTACGAAACGTTCGTAGGCATGAACATGGCCGGCAAATACGACGTCGACGCGAGCACTAAAGAGCAAAGATTCCATAGCTTCCCTCATGCTCTCTCCTTCACCTTCATGCGCCTCGTTCGTGTTGTACCACGGCGCGTGAACCAACACCACGATCCACGGCGTCATTTTCCGGTCAACCTTTATTTCAAAACAAAAAGTATATATATTCAGTTGTGGGAAATGTTGTTTTGTGAATATGTTTTGTCAGCTTAAGAAATATATTTAAATATACCAATTTTCTGTTTAATGTACCACACTAATTAAAACTGGTGTAATGTTTTAAAGCAAAATGACTTTTTGTGAAATTAAATAAACGATTATGTACTAGTTTAGCAATAAACGATATGTACTAGTTTAGCATTATTCCAAATTAAGTTGCATGCATTATCTCCCAACTAACCTTTGCTAGGTCGGCTTGGAGCCAATGATACTGATCAGAATCAGAATCAAAGTCGGTGTAAGAACCGAGCATAACCGTGTGGACACCGGCTACATCGAAAGAATAGTAAAGATTGGAGTCAGAGAGGCTCTCGGTGTGAGGCATGAGCCACCGTGCATTGTAGGACTTGAAGGTTGTGTGTTCAATGATTGGGAAGAATTCAATCTCGTGGTTTCCCTCAGTGACCATCCAAGGACGCTGGCTCGCGAGTGGCTCGACTAGGCGGCCAAAGGAATCCCAAAGTGGCTGGTGAGTGTCCGCGTAGGAGAGGTCTCCGGGAAGTAGAAAGACGTCATAGTCTTGACTCTTTATCTGAGATAATGTTGCTGCTGTCCATTCGGTTTGGCCTAGGTCGCCTTCAGTTTCACATCAAAAACCGGTTTTTTGTAAGTCGACATATAAAATTTGATCATCAACCGGAATGAACCGGAACCCAACATATATGGAGGTTTAAAAATAGACAATTAGATCTAATTTAACCCAACTTGTCAAAGATCGAGTTTTTTTGGTGCATCAGATACCAGTTCATTTTTCATGGATGAATTTATTTGGTCAATAAATACCTTAAACATATATATAGTTTAAAAGTAAAACTACTAGATTGCATACTTTTTTTTTAACAAAAATAAATTCGGTTAATTTATGAACCAATCCTAGCCATTAAGATTCAATATATAAATCAGCTGGATTAAATTCAGGTAACTCATTGATTGTATCATTTAGAAAAGACCTTAACCTAAACTCACTACTAAAAAAATTTTGAACTAAGCCAATTCATGCTAAACCTTTTCATAGACGTCTTATTACGTAAAATTATTAAATTCGAATTCTTAAATTTAATAAAAAATACTTTAAGAAAAAAAAATAGTTATATAGAGTTTCATATATTTGGCTGTATCCTCTTTACCCGGTTGAAATATCTTCATTAAAATATGTTTAATAATTCATTTTCTACTTTAGATAAGTACACTTTAAGATCATGCTCCTAAAGTCTCCTATTCCAATATAGATGATTTTTTTTTTTTTTTAAGAAAAGGATTTTGAGGGAACTTTACCTACGATGGCGAACTCGACCGGAAAAGTTGAGGGAGGAGTTTTGAAAGAAAATTCAGGACCGTTACAGCCGCAACGGTAGTAATAATTGGTGTTGGATTGGAGAGGACCGATCTTGACATGGTGGATCTTGCCGGAGCTGTAGAAGAAGTATTTGTAAGAAGTGGATTCTCCGGTGGCTTTTCCGTCGTACTTTCCTGGTTGCTTACCGTATTCCACCACCGACTCCACCTTCTTGTCTTCCGTTATGTACGTTACTCTCATGTGGTCCTTACCCGCCAATGATATGTGCACCTTTAATTTATCAAAGATTTAAAACCAACATAAAGATATTAAAGGGAAATTGTATGTCATCATTGAAAGCAAGAAATATTGAAAACGTTAATTTTTTTGCTGTTAGAAGTATTCACTGATAAGTATGAGCTTGTGCCAAACAAAGAATATGACAGAGCCAACAACGTAATGGGGGTCTCTGTCGTAAAATATAGGATGAATATGTGAAACATGGCAACAATAAAAGGAAATAATATGTGCTAGATAAATTAGAAATATTCACTAATTAACTAAGACGACAACAGAGACACAGAATTGAAAATAAGTACGATCGTCTGCAAAAGATTGAGATCCAAAAAAGTGAATATATAATGTAGATTAGTAAAATAAAAAAGCAATGTCGAAATCAACAAGAAAAATGGGGTAATCATCATAATAATCACTAAATATATATGGGAGGAAGGGAATCATTTCACTAAATATATATGTGAGGAAGGGAATCATTTCACTAAATATTCATTTCACTAAATATATATGTGAGGAAGCATTTTCACGTGAATGATTGAAGAACATAACCTAGGTGAGGAAGGGAATCAACCTACCTGAATACAAAATCCAATATTGGTCTTAATCAACAATAAACCTCACTTTCCGCATAAAAATTGAAGATGAAAATCATAGGAATGGAAAACACAGAAAATATTTGAATTGAAAATGATATGAATTTGTTGAGAAAGAGAGTTAAATCAAAGAACCTGTTGTGGATCCGATTTGGTGCGGCCATGAGGGACAAAGACGATGGGACGAGGTGGCTCGCGGCTGAGTTCCGGCACATTGGCTTGAGATAAGAACGGACAAAGGAACAATATAGTAAAACTAAGACAGAGACCAAAAAGTTTCATTTTATTGTCTAAAGACTTAAAGCTTTGTGAAGAAGAATGGATTATTATTGATGAGATCGGTTGACGTTTCAGGTGTGTTTATAACTTTTACATTTCGTTCGCCATCGCGTCAAGTTACTTCATTTCTTCTTCTTTTCAAAAAGAATCTTATATTTTTTTTTTGTTAGGTTTGCTTGCAGCTTTCTTTATCTTTCTTTGTTTAACGACAAATAATGAGAACTTGTTAAAAAAAAAAACAAATAATGAGAAGGTCAATGCATCGATATATATTTTTAAGTATAAGGTTTTTTTTGGTTAAAGATACTCCTAAAAGGTTTTTTTTTTCCTATAAGTTTTCGTAACCGTAAAGAACTAGACCCAAGGAAATAATAATAAATGAGATCTTTTACATGGAGAAGTATAGCGTCGTCCAAAAAAATCGTATATCTGTATGAAAAGTGGCAATCGATTTATTCGGTAAAAAAGCGTTAAGACGAAAACTAATTAACAGATGTCAACAGATGTTTGCAGTTTAATTAATTTTAACTAGATTTTACCCCGTGCAATACACGAGAATTTTGTTTTAATCAAAATTTGTAATATAATTTATGTTTTCTTTATAAATATCATTTTATAATAAGTGATATAAAAAAAAATTTGTGTATAGATATAATTTTTTTTAATTTTTTTCAGTATTATTATGATCACCATGATCATAAAAACATAATTTAACACGATTATTTTATTAATAAAAAAATCACTTTTATTATAAAAATATATTTCTAACTCGCTCATTTTATTAATCCAAAAAAACTATGATTATGAAACCATAATTCTAACTCGTCCGTTTTTTATTATTTTATAATATAAATATTTAATAATTTTGAAATAATTTTCTCTTAATATTTTGTCTGCTTTGATAGCCTATCCCGCATAAGACCATAATTATTAAAAAAATTTAACTTATCCCATCAAATTATTATATAATATTAATATTTATCTATTTCAATATGTGAAATTTTAATCTGATAAAATATGATTAAAAATATCAAATAAGATATTTGTTAATCATATGTGTTATTTTGAAAATCTTATTTAAATTTCAAATATTAAATTAAATCTAATCTATATTTAAGGAAGTTTATTTAAATTAATATCTATAAATTATAGATATAACCTAAATTTAAGAAAATTTTTAGTATCTAAATTAATATCTAATTTTTGGAATTAAATTTATATATATATATAATTTTTTTAAAAAAAAATTTGGGAGTGTTTGGAAGTAAGTACTAAACGTGCTTCTGTTTTAATAGAATATATTTAATTTTGTACTTACCATTTAATAGAAAAGGTATTAAGTAAGACATTTGATCGAACGTGTAACTTCCAGAACAATATATAAAATGAAACAATTGTATCTAGTAACTAGTAACATCGTGCAAGGGGTGTTTAGGACATGGACTTACACATTAAAGAGAAATACCTAAAGTTAATCATTTTGATATTAAATTTGAGTTATTAAGTTTACAAAATAAAATTGTGTTATTAATGGAAAACTCTAAAATAATAGCTATTAAGAAAAGTGGTCCATTTTTAGGTTCCAAAGTCGAATGGTGAGTCATAGAGATGAGCAAGAAGCCTCAAGGCCACATATCTACGAGTGATATGGTACTATCCGACGTCATTAATCGTTGTACTGATAGACTTTTTACTATAATGTTTTTTTTTGGCCGACTTTAAATCTTAATGCGGTCGTTTGAACACGGCATACCAATTTTTTTTTCTTTTTTGTGACTAGAAAGTTCGGAATTCAGACCATGTAATTAGTTTAGTTTTCTAAGGCATACCAAATTTTCACTCAATATGGAGGATTATTTAGAAAAACAGGAAATTTATATGTAGTCCATTTACATTATATATCTTCTTCTTTTTTTTCCGTCAAACATACGTTATATACCTAAATATTTTCTTGTGTTTCGTAATTAACGGCGACAATATTTATCCATAATGTGATGGTGACGTGTCAAACAATGAACAAGTAATTCGACGAAACGTGAGAAGATGTAGAAATCATGTCATGTCTCATGTGGCTATGTTGCTTAGTTAATATGGTACAAACGGATATGCTTTATGGATCTTTCGCAAATCCAAATCAAAAATATGAATCAATTCTCCATGTGTTACGTATATTAGATAAGCCCTGTACGGACGGTGGACTTTCGATTCTTTTTGGATTTTGAAAAAAAAAAGCATATACCATTTTTTCTAACTCGACATCCATTCTATAACTTTTGACAACATATATACTATTTATGTTAAAACATTTTAGCGGAGTATAAAATAGTGTTATTACTAATTCCACTATTTTTTATTTCTTAACATACGATATATATATATATATCAATTCTATTAATTTTTCAAAATTTAAAATGCCATATTTTCTGGATATACAACCATTAATCTGATCTAGCTGTATAAATAGATCTTAGTGAACAATTGTCAATAATGCCCCAGTGTAGGAATGGTTCATCTGGGTTGGCTATCTGAGAGTCCATAGGCCTATCAAACACTCTAACCCAAACTATAAGATATCCACAACCTTAAAAGAGATGTTAGAAGCCCAAATCGTCGACATACAATTGGTTCCTTTAGACCATTCTTTTATTGGTATAAAATATGTCGAAGCAATTATCGAGCTTTGTCAGTTGTTTAAATGTTTATCAAATTAATCAAAATATCAGTCGATGAAATGTTAACTGACATAAACGTCCTTAGTCTCTACCTAAGTATGCCGGCGGAAAAAATTATTAATTACAGAGAGTATTTGTGTGTTCACAGAGATGTAATAATAATTAGACACTAGTGAATGTGTACTTATCCATTCTTGTCCAAAAAAGAAAGGACGTAAAGGCTTAATTTTTTATATAGAATTCATGTCTGTGATTATTAAGAAATGAAAAAGATATGTCTAGTTTGTTCTTATCCTTGAATTAAAACGATTTAGATAAAGACATATCTCACCAGAAACACACGACTTATAATAATTCACCCTTTTTGCATTACATTCAATATATCGAAAATAAACTAATTTCTGTAGTCGATCACATTCGCATAATTGCATTATTAGCTGTCCGAGCTGTTTCGAAATAACGAAGAAACAAAGTTGGAAAGAATCTTGAACTAGTTAGTAGCCATTTTGTAAACAGTTAATTTACATACGTAGTAAATGTTAGAATTCTACATCAGAAGTTTAAAGAAATTAACACTAGTATATAAGGGACTTAGGTCTCTCCACTTATTGCCAATTGGTTTTAAGTTGAAAGTCCAGGAAACTTAACATGGTATTAGAGCCAGGTTTGTTGACCCAATAAAGATGGCCCAAAAAGGGTTAATTATCGGTCCTAAAGTGGGATTCGGTTCGAGATGGGCTGATAAGAGCCATCATCTCGAGAGAGCGTGTTAAAATCCCACATCGGAAATTTAATGGGATTAACACTAGTATATAAGGGACTTAGGCCTTATATATCCATCATACAAAAATATGGTGAATCTATCTACGTAAATTGAATTTATCCATGAACTTGGAGCCAAACAAGACGTAGTCTTTTTGTAACTGAGTAAACAAACAGAAATTAAATGTAAATGTTAACTGTTAATCAAATTTTGCTATTTGGCCACCCATTGATGTGTTAATTAGTAAAAAAGATCTAGATTTTAATTTTTATTTGCTTTGCGGATTAAACCCCAGTTATTAAACAAACAAAAATTGTTAACTGTTAGTGTGATTTACATTTACATAGAAAAAAATGAGTCACGGACCACACTACTTGTACAGTTGTACCCTGTATCCATTTTTCAAAGATTTTTCTTCGTAAATGGAAGGTCTCGTTTCTTTCTTTTAAGCCTGGAATAGGCGATTAGTAACAAACTAATGGTTTGATATTAAAGATGTTGAAGAGAATAGAAAAGGAATTGAGGAAAAATAATTTCAATCAAAGAAAGTTAAAAAAAAAAACAAAAAGAAATGGAAAAAAAAAATACTCAACTGGTAGGGGCGTAGGGCACAAGGTTTTTTTTGTCATCCGCTCAAAAAGCAAAGAGATTGGCTCCCACAAATTTATCTTCATTTTCATATGCATTCAATAATCTATACGTACAGTGTCATAAGTGTAAGCCTCTACATATAAATACCATTAAGACCATCATTCATTTCAATCACAATAGCTGATCATTTAAACGGAATCTTCTTTACCAGTTTCTAAAAACAAACAAAAAAAAGATAGAAAGGTTTGTTTTTTCAAAGACAGTGGAAAAAAGGCTATGAATTTTAGCGATAAAGCTTGGATTTTACTGGCAATTCTGTGTTTTTCATCGTTGATTTGCTCAATTAAAGCAGTGGTCTCTTATGATCATAAAGCTTTAATCATCAATGGACAGAGAAGGATCCTTCTTTCTGGTTCTATTCACTACCCAAGAAGCACCCCTGAGGTAACTTTTAATCCTTAATTAATTAATCACTTTGAAACAATTAGCTATCGACCTCTTTCTAGTACAGATTAGATTTAATGAAAGATACCTTTGATTTTCTGCACATATTTTTTTTATTACGTCTAAGCAATTTCATTAACATATAAAACTGGCAAATGCTTCGTTCATTGCAGATGTGGCCTGATCTTATAAAGAAATCCAAAGATGGAGGTTTGGATGTTATACAAACTTATGTATTTTGGAATGGACATGAGCCTTCTCCTGGAAAAGTAATTTAATGAAATTAACAATTTTCTTCCTTGACTCATATAGTCATATGTCATGTAAAAGCTTAATGCTCTATATTTTTGTTTGCTCCAGTATTATTTTGGGGATAGGTATGATCTGGTTAAATTCATCAAGCTGGTGCAGAAAGCTGGTCTATATGTTAGTCTAAGAATTGGTCCATATGTTTGTGCCGAGTGGAATTTTGGGTAAATATTGTTTTTTCTAAAAAAAAATTGTGTATGTGCAGATAAATTAAAAGAAGAAATTCTTATTAATTTAAAAATTCATTTATATATGTTGTGATCCGTAGGGGAATTCCTGTTTGGCTCAAATATGTACCTGGTATGGTTTTCAGAACAGATAACGAACCTTTCAAGGTATGACATTCTAAAACTAATCGGTTTTGATTGTTTTTATTCTTTTGTTTGAGGATTTAAAATTGTTACCTGATGTGATAATTGAAAAGATTGCAATGCAAAAATTCACAAAGAAGATTGTGGATATGATAAAAGAAGAGAAGCTTTTTGAGACTCAAGGAGGACCCATTATTCTCTCACAGGTTTGTGTCTTTTTTGTTGTATAACTTGATATTTTCTTTATGATGATGCACATCTATTACATTATATACACTTCTATCTATTTACATAGTGTATATAATAGTGTTAATGTTGAAAAAAATGAGCAGATAGAGAATGAGTATGGACCAATGGAATGGGAGATAGGATCAGCAGGAAAAGCATATACAAAATGGACAGCTGCAATGGCATTGGGACTTTCTACAGGTGTCCCATGGGTTATGTGCAAGCAAGATGATGCTCCTTACCCTATTGTATGTTTCTCTCTTCCTTTCTAGCTTTCTCTTAATTAATTTTACCCTTAAGAAAATATAGATTATTAATTAAGATTTCTATTTTGGGTTTCAGTTTCGGTTTAGATAGTATCGCCATCGATTTAATGCTAACTTTAGTGTGGTTGAGTTTGGTAGATTTGAAAGACTTTAAGAAAATTAAATTTTGATTCGATTTTTTATATTAGCTCTTGCGAAACATGTCCGGTCACAATTAAGTTTGGGTTAGATAGATTCTATAGCTTTAATCCGGATTGAATAGATATTCACTTTCTTGTCGGCAATTAGATATTTTTTAAGTGAAAGAAGATATTTGTTTACTATTACTTTGTCATGTATGTGTATTATAGATTAATATGAAAATATTAAATAATTTTTATTAAAATATTTAGAATATCATTCCTTCTTTCTTTCTTTCCTTGGTGGGTGACCTTTTGAATGTTTTTTTTTGGCTTTCAATTTTACTTTCTTAAAATTCTTTTTTTCTTGTTAAAAAATAAAATATCGTTTCCCCGTTTTTTTTTTTTGTTGCTTGGATGTCTTTTTCTAAATTATATGGGACCACCGACCAAGGACAAAAATAATTCTCTAACTTTATATTTTTTTAACAAATGTATTTAACTTGGGAGTAAAAAAAAGTTGAATGTTAACAACTTAACACTTATCAGTTTTCTTACTTGCACTGTATAATAGATAAACACATGCAATGGGTTTTATTGTGAGGGTTTCAAACCAAACTCAGACAAACAGCCCAAGATGTGGACGGAAAACTGGACCGGTTGGTAAGTCACGAGGCCATTCGATTTATACAGAATCATCTTTTTGTTTGTTTTTATGTATTAGTCTTTTATAAATTATACAAAATAAGAGTATATTATTGATAACGTGTATGAATAATACTCAGGTTCACGGAATTTGGAGGTGCGTTACCAAATAGACCAGTCGAAGACATTGCGTTCTCCGTGGCTCGTTTCATACAGAACGGTGGTTCCTTTATGAATTATTATATGGTAAATTTAATCATTTTTATCAAACCAAGATATAGATAAAAGTAGAAAAGATTTAACTTATGATTTAAAAAGTAACTAGATTTTAATCACGGAAATGTTTTATTTTTTATTTCTAATATAAGTTGGATTTATCTTTTTTGTTTAGATATAATTTATTTTTGTTATTTATTTTTTTTAAAACAAAAAAATTGTTATCATATTTTAATTTTAAACAGTAAAATTTGTATATTAGTAGAATAAGAGTATAAGTTAATTAAGTATACATTGTGATCAATGTTAATTATAAACTTTGTTATTATGTGAATTTAGATTTACACATAAACAATCTATATATCTATGAATTTGCTAATCCATCCGTTTAGTTGTCTTAAATCATTTTTAATATCTTACATGTTTTGACAAACTAACCCGTATAAAATTATAATTATAATTGTATAACCCTATAAATATTTACTAATATGGAATATTTGGACCAATTGATTATGAAAAAATATAATAAGATATTTATTTACTATTTGTGCTATTAAAAATATATATATATGTATATATATATATATAAATGGAAATATATATATATGTATATATATATATATAAATGGGTTAACCTGTTAGTTTAATTGTCTCAAATCATCTTAATATCTTACATATTTTAATAAATTAACTCATGGACCTTATATATATATAACTCTAATCAGCTCGATCATATTATTGTATAATATAAATATTTATTAATCTCAAATATTTGATATTTTACACCGATTGTTTATGATAAAATACAATAAAATATTTATTTACTTTGATAGTAATTAAGATATATAATGTTGTCATAGTACCATGGAGGGACGAACTTTGATAGAACAGCTGGTGTATTTGTCGCCACAAGCTATGACTACGATGCTCCTCTTGATGAATATGGTAATTAACTTTGATATCACCTAAATAAAATTCGATTTGATGACAATAATTTTTGGTATTTTTTTTTGTTTGTGTGAAAAGGATTACCGAGAGAACCCAAGTACAGTCACTTGAAAGAGTTGCATAAGGTCATCAAACTATGTGAACCCACGTTGGTCTCTGTTGATCCCACCATTACATCGCTAGGCGATAAACAAGAAGTGAGTATGCAATTAATGTAACATTGAAGAGAAAAAACATAAAACAAAAATTCATACTTACATTTTGTATCTTTGTTATATTTTCAGGCTCATGTGTTCAAGTCCAAGACTTCTTGCGCTGCGTTTCTTTCGAACTACGACCCGAGTTATGCAGCAAGAGTTATGTTCAGGGGATTTCCATATGATTTGCCTCCTTGGTCTGTCAGTATATTACCTGACTGCAAAACCGAGTTTTACAACACTGCAAAGGTTAATAAACTAAAACCTTTTATTTTTATTTTTTTAAAGGTTAATACACTAAAAGATTGTTTTGGAAAACCTTAATTTGTTAATCTCCATCTCTTTGACATGTGCAACGGGTGCATTCGAAGTAAAAAGAGTATCTCTTAATCTCCTATACATTCGAATAGGGTTTCAACTCAAAAGAAAATTTATCAGGAAATTTTTTTTTGGGGTTAACATGTGTATACAATTATATATATGTATATATATATATATTTTAGGCTTCCTAAAAAAAGAAAAAAAAAATCTTTTAACACTTCAAAAATTTGCACATGATTTCAAATAGTTTAAGACGGTCCTAAATTTGTTGATCTCGTTGGAAACTTGGAATAGTACTATTGTAATTGAGATTGACCTATATATGTGTTCTTCATTATGGCATGTGTGACGTGATATATATAGATTCGTGCACCCACAATACTTATGAAGATGGTTCCTACTAGCACGCGATTTTCATGGGAATCATACAACGAAGCAGTCCCTTCTTCAAATGACGCTGGTACGTTTGCTAAAGACGGTCTTTTGGAACAAATAAGCATGACCAGAGATAAAACAGACTATTTCTGGTATCTAACAGAGTAAGTTATGTTTGACCTTTTGACAAAATGAAATCTCATTATCTTGCTGATTAATATATGATCACAGTTGGATCTGTTTTATGTTGTTTCGTGGTTATTCTCAGCATTACAATAAGTTCTAATGAGAGGTTCTTGAAGACTGGTGATGATCCACTTCTTACCATTTGTTCAGCTGGGCATGCTCTTCATGTATTCGTTAATGGTCAGCTTGCAGGTATAATGAGATAAATTTAAGGGCCAAACTCATCTTCTGTTGAAAAAACCATAAAACATTATTTATTTATTTTTGTTTTAGGAACTTCTTATGGAGGATTGAGCAGCCTCAAGCTCACATTTAGTCAAAAGATCAAATTGCACGTAGGCGTCAACAAACTTGCTCTCCTAAGTACTGCAGTGGGTCTTCCGGTTAGTTCTGATCTTGCTTAGCTTGATGGTTTATTGCGGTTTAATTTTTTGTTTTGTTCAAAATATGATTATATTACATTATTAATCACAGAACGCTGGTGTGCATTATGAGACTTGGAATACTGGAGTTCTAGGTCCAGCCACACTGAATGGTGTTAACTCTGGAACATGGGACATGTCTAAATGGAAATGGTCCTATAAGGTCCTCTTGAACAAGAGTTTGATGAATTCACTGTTAATGAATCTTTTTAAACCAATCACAATAATACTAAACTAAACGTGTATTTCTTTTTATATGTGTGATTTGAGTAGATTGGTACTAAAGGTGAAGCTATGAGCCTTCATACCATGACCGGGAGTTCCTCTGTGGAATGGATTGAAGAATCATTCGTAGCTAAGAAACAACCTTTGACCTGGTACAAGGTAAAAAAATACTTTTTGAGTTTCTTAAAAATAGATTAAGTTTTAGGTTTATTTTTTTTCCTGTGATATATAATTATGAATGTTCTTTTCAGATTTACATGCAAAACCAGATGATATTTCCTTAGTTAGAAATGAGACTAACTAGTGCCTTTTTAAGTCTCATAGACATTCTCAAACTAGTTTTGTGGTGGATTATATATATGGTGTTTATTGAACTTAGTTACGAGCGTAGTATGAGGTATGCTCATATCAGATTCTCACTCTCTTTATTTGCAGTCTTCTTTTGATACACCGGTAGGCAATGAACCATTGGCTTTGGACATGAACACAATGGGGAAAGGTCACGTTTGGGTAAATGGACACAATATTGGACGCCACTGGCCTGCCTACACAGCTCGTGGGAATTGCGGTCGCTGCAACTATGGTGGAATTTACAACGAGAAGAAATGTCTTAGTAAATGTGGCCAATCTTCTCAAAGATTGTGAGAAAAAAATGTCTTTTCTTGTTGCATGTTTCTCTTCTCCTTCTTTGCTCTAAATCTGATTCAATGATTGTATATCTTTGTGTTCTCTTTTTCAGGTACCATGTGCCTCGTTCATGGCTAAAGCCATTTGGGAACCTTCTAGTTATATTTGAGGAATGGGGTGGTGATCCAAGTGGGATCTCTCTTGTTAAAAGAACAGCCAAATGAAGCTCTTCTTATTTCGTTTTTTTTTTTCTCTGAACAAGGTCTGTTGGTGCTGCGTGCCTCTTCTTTGGAAGTTAAATAAGGTTCTGTCCAGTGGTTACAAAAACATAGATTGCCATGTACAGAACTTAGTGGCAAGTTTTGGTATATTTTGGAAGAATGTTATGTATATCATGGCCTAATAATATATTTGCAAGCGTACAAAGATATTTACAGTAAAAACCAAAGATGGCAATCGATGCTAATTACCCTGCCTATGAACACCATTCGTTTGATTTTGTTTTTTCTTTCCAATCTTTGAGATAATTAATTAGTTCCTTCACTAACTCTACATCATCAGTATTCAGTACAAGTTATATAGAAGAGGGCACAACAACTAACCATAAATATGTTTCCTTTATTTGTGGTTAATTATGTGCAATAAATACAAATCATGTGTTTAACCTGGATGCCCTTACAAAATGGATCTCTTTAAATCAAAAACAAAATATATAAAGTAAATATGTTATTTATTTGTAAGATATATTGTGAATGATTATGATATAAATATAGACCATAGTCTTATAAAAAAATTAAGGACACTGAGACTGTATGTGTGGAAGTCAAAAATCTACTACAAGTAGATGTGGGGTGTGTATGTATATGTACCTCTGAGTCTGTGCCAAAAACACGAATTTTCTTTTTCAATACCGCTGGATGATAAAGAACTTCGAAGATAACACACACACGTGTTTCCCGTTTTACTATTCTTTGGACATATTTCTTCAACTTCTGGTTTCATAACTTTTCCGGAAGCGACAAAGAAGAACAATTCTCAGACTTTTTAATTAATTATTAAATTAACTCAACGATTCATGAATCTAAACGTAATTTATGGTATTCTTATTATTAGTACTTATCTGATAAATCTTCCTTAACTCGTAAGCCTCTCTAAACTCAACAGTTTTTTAACTTCCTCGTTCCTTCAATCATCAGAAAAGCATCGGTGCATTTCCGAGATCTTCTCTCCGAATTTCCTCTAAAGTCTAGGGCTTTGGATCTTAATCACTAGTACTGAATAGAGAAAACCCTTGAATCCGATTTTATCTTATCCATTTTCAATCGAATTGGTAATTTCAGAGGAAGCAAAAACATGAATCAGGAGAAGCTAGGGTTTTTCACGCTCTCGTTTCTTCTGATCTTGAGTCTCGCACTGGGTAGATTCGTCGTCGAGAAGAACAACCTCAAAGTCACATCACCCGACTCGATCAAAGGTATTTACGAATGTGCCATTGGCAATTTCGGAGTTCCTCAGTACGGTGGCACATTAGTCGGCACCGTCGTGTATCCCAAATCGAATCAGAAAGCTTGTAAAAGCTACAGCGATTTCGATATCTCCTTCAAATCCAGGCCCGGACGCTTACCCACTTTTGTCCTCATCGATCGTGGAGGTTCGGATTTTTCGAATCTCTCTTACTCAATTAGGAAAGATCTGTTTTTTATAGAAAAAGTTTCAATTTTTGGAACTAAATTTGTTGTTTTGTGTGAAATACAGACTGTTTCTTCACTTTGAAAGCATGGATAGCTCAACAAGCTGGAGCAGCAGCGATTCTTGTAGCTGATAACAAAGTTGAGCCATTGATTACAATGGACACACCTGAAGAAAACAAATCTGATGCGGATTATCTTCAAAACATTACCATTCCTTCTGCTCTCATCACCAAATCCTTGGGAGACAGTATAAAGTCTGCGCTTTCCGGTGGCGACATGGTGAATATGAAGCTAGACTGGACCGAGTCTGTTCCGCATCCTGACGAGCGTGTCGAGTACGAACTCTGGACTAACAGCAATGACCAGTGTGGGAAGAAGTGTGATACTCAGATTGAGTTTCTCAAGAATTTCAAAGGAGCAGCTCAGATTCTTGAGAAAGGAGGGCATACTCAGTTCACTCCACACTACATCACCTGGTACTGTCCTGAAGCTTTTACGCTGAGTAAACAGTGCAAGTCTCAGTGTATCAACCATGGAAGGTACTGTGCGCCTGATCCAGAGCAGGATTTTACTAAAGGGTATGATGGAAAGGATGTTGTGGTTCAGAATCTACGTCAGGCTTGTGTCTATAGAGTGATGAACGAGACCGGTAAGCCATGGGTCTGGTGGGACTATGTGACTGACTTTGCCATCCGGTGTCCAATGAAGGACAAGAAGTACACAAAAGAATGCGCAGACGAAATTATCAAGTCCCTTGGTGAGTATAATGCTTCATGCCTTTGCAAGTCATTTATCGTTTTTGTTGCTGGTATCTGAAAACTGAATGGTACTTTCAGCTATCAGCTGGTCCGTGATATAGAATAACCTACTGATTGATAGCAATCAGCTTTACCTTGTATAGCTGTTGAAGCCTAAGATTGATCAGTTGGATCTTTTGTTACTTTCAAGTTTGTGCATTTCATTCTGAATTTTCTGACTATCAGCTCGTTATGGTTAATTCTGAATTCTGAATTCAGACATTGATCTCAAGAAGGTGGACAAGTGTATCGGAGACCCTGAAGCAGATGTGGAGAACCCAATTCTCAAAGCAGAGCAGGAGTCCCAGGTTTAAACTCTTTTGTAACCAAATAGCTCTTCTCTTCTTTTCTCATCTAGATATCGTGTTTTAGATTTGACATAATATTTTCGATTACAGATAGGCAAAGGTTCCCGTGGAGACGTGACTATACTCCCAACTCTTGTCGTGAACAACAGACAATACAGAGGTATTGGAGAATTCCCGACTTCTCAGTTTTATTTTCCTTTTTCTACAGCAACTCACTTTTTTTTTTTGTTTTGCTAACTCAAATATCTTTAACGGGTTTAGGTAAACTGGAAAAAGGGGCAGTGCTGAAAGCTATGTGTTCAGGTTTTCAAGAGTCAACAGAACCAGCTATATGTCTAACTGAAGGTCATTTTCTCTTTATAAGTTTCAGATATCACGTTTCTCTTGATGGACAGAGAGAGATAATTAAGTTTTGGTGACTTCAAAACTTGCATTATTGTTCTCCTTTAATATTTTATTTAGTGTTTTCTATCACCAAGGAAAGACATTGTCTTCAGATACGTTTCTGGTTTTTACAGAGTTAGAAACTAATGAATGTTTGGAAAACAATGGTGGGTGTTGGCAAGACAAAGCTGCCAACATAAGTGCATGCCGGGTATCATTTGGGCTTTGCTATTTTTTTTTTCTTTTTCATTTTTTGGTTTTGTTGTTGCTACTAAGACTGATTAATTTTGATCTGAATCTGCATTTTAGGATACTTTTAGGGGAAGATTGTGTGAATGCCCTACTGTTCAAGGTGTTAAATTTTCCGGTGACGGTTACACTCACTGTAGAGGTATATTAGTCTATCTCCCTGTAGCTCGACATATTTTGTGTGGTGTGGCATGTGGCGAGGTTACTATTTCGCAAGTATTTTGTTACTTGTAGATCTTTTGAAGGAATTTGAGATGTGAGTAATCAAGCAATACTCTCATTCGTCCCTTGTGGATATTTTTCTAGGAATCAAATTAGACGGTCTTTTTCTCAGTTTGTATCATCTGCTACTATGGTACCAAGATTGAAAAAGTAACTTGTCACGACCATTAATGATATGTTTCTTTGAAAAAGTTTTAAAGTTAAAGGAAATTCAACCATATATGTTCACTGAGCGGAAAAGTGAAGATTTTTCTTTTGCTTGCTGTGAATAACAAATGTTCTAAATTGCTTTTAGTGCCATTCTACATATTTTGCCCCATTTTTTTAACAGAAGTTATCTGACCATAATTTTTTCTATATGAATTTTTTTTTTGTATTCGTATGTATGGCTTAATCTCAACGTTGTTTCACTTGGTAGCCTCTGGAGCGTTGCATTGTGGTATCAACAATGGAGGATGCTGGAGAGAAACCCGAGGCAGCTACACTTACTCTGCCTGTGTAGTAAGTATTTCGTCTTTTATACCAATGTCTGATTTTTGAACAATCATATCTTAACCTTAAGTCAAACTTATTCGGTTCTTGGAATGGATTTTTCAGGATGATCATTCAAATGGTTGCAAATGCCCAGTTGGGTTCAAGGGCGATGGAGTAAAGAGCTGTGAAGGTACTTGTTAACAAGTATTTACTTGAATCAGTATAGATGTGTAACGAAGTATTATTAGACAACATATACATCATATTGAGTAATCAATCAAAAGAAGTAAGATCATTGATAAATGTGAACTTTATATTCATAATCATATTATTTTGATTGATTGTGTCAGATGTGGACGAGTGCAAAGAAAAAACGGTTTGCCAGTGCCCAGAGTGTAAATGTAAAAACACATGGGGAAGTTATGAATGCAGCTGCAGCAATGGTTTGCTTTACATGCGTGAACACGACACTTGCATAGGTACAAAAAAAGAAAGTGATCATCCTTCCTCTTAAGCCCATACGTAGTTTGGTGTCATTCAGTAATCAGATTTTCTGCTTTTGAATCTGGTGAATGTGTAGGTTCAGGCAAAGTTGGAACTACAAAGCTCAGCTGGAGCTTTTTGTGGATTCTTATAATCGGAGTGGGTGTTGCAGGTCTTTCTGGATATGCGGTCTACAAATACAGGATCAGAGTATGTTATCATAACAACAAATGTATGAAGATTTTGCCATGTAGTTATAGATGTTTAAGTAACAAAAATTTCTTCTGCAGAGTTACATGGATGCGGAAATTAGAGGAATCATGGCACAGTACATGCCTTTGGAAAGCCAACCTAACCCAAGTGGACCTCATCATATGGATATATGAATGAAGTCACTAACAGAAGTCTCTTTCTGTGAGAAGCTTCTTCCATGTTATCATGTAAATGAATCTATAGACTTTCATAAAAGCCACACAAAAATAATAAGTGTATCTGCACTTTTTGTAAGGGATGTGGATTTGCAGATGGAATCCCATTTTGTCTGCATAATACTCTTACAGTGTAAAATAGACATAAAATGGATGAATAATTTAGTAGAGAGTTGCACTATTTACTATTGAACGGGCTTAATCCATTTGGAGAAAAGAAAAGAAACAAACAGTAAACTTGTTAAACTTTCTCCAGCTCCACTCGGTGTTTCTCAATCTGTTCTCTCACAAGCTTCTGCGATTCTTGGATAAGCCTTGTGTGCTTCTTGATAAGCTCCTCTTTTGTCATAAGCTCTTCCTCCATTACTGCAATCTCCTGCAAATTACAGAACATAAAATTGGTAAAATACAAATGGGTTTGGAGTTTCACACTGGTGGAACCAGAACTAACCTTCCTAAGGCTTTCTGCTTTTGTGGGCGCATGATCTTCTCGCTTCAATCCCATGAAATAGAGTTGAAGCTTTTTAGCAGCTTCCATGAAATCTCTAGCGTGCCGCTCAACGTCAACTGCAGAGTTTAATATGGCGAACAAGAGATTTTAGATGTTTCCCTCGCTTCAGGTTCAATCCACAAATCAAAAACATTGTAGATCAGCATTGCGAGCTACAATATCGAATAACGAATTCGAGAATAGAATCAATGCTTGGTTTTGAGCGAGTTCTAAGCAAATATTCACTTAGATCATAAGTTACGCAAGTGAACTGAGCATAAAACGAGTAACAGCTACTTCTTCTCCAGCAGATAATACAGAAACAGACATAACTCCAAGCTATTATCACCAGACAAGAAGTCATTGTTTTTTTTTAGACCAAACAAGAGTACAAGACACCAAACTAACAAAGTTTTTACAGCAAGATGAGATAGCACAAACGAAAACCCTAAAGCTCAATTAGGCATTTACTAAATCAGTCAATTCTTAATTAAGATTTTGAAATTCGAGGGCCGAATATGAAGAGCCATGAAGGGAGATTGGTTGAAAAAATTATAAAATGGAGAGTAGAAAAGGGGCTGACTTTGATGAGAAGGATGAGGAGATCGGTCGATGGCTTGAAGCTCTCTAGCTGGCAAACATGGGAGCAGAGCAGCTTCCAATGCCGTGACGCAAGCCATTATGTCCTCAACCTCATGATTCTGATTGTTCGAGGGTGTCTCCGGTGATGTAATTCCCGGCGGACGGTAAGACGGCGACGGCGAAGGGTCAGAAGACAGCGGCGGTTGTTGCTGATAATCCATTGCGCCGATCTCGCTCTCTCTCTCTCTCTCTCTCTCTCTCTCTCTCTGCCTGTTAGTTTAGTGAAGTGAATTATGATCGAATGTTTCTCAAGTGGGCTTCCTATTGGGCTCTATTTTTCAAATTTTCAATTGTTAGGACAAGAACTCCGATGTTTTTTTATACCAAACCCGTGCTGGTTTTATTTTATTTTATGTTATAAAAAAAGGGAATATGTTTTAAGATTTTTAATTATACCACCAGTCTTTTTTTGAGATTTTTTTTACGAAAACTATATCTTTTTTTTTCATTTCATAATGGTTTAAGTAACTTCTTCCATCCATTTTTTTTAATATATAATTGTTTTCATATTTTATACCTTTTCAATATAGCGTTGAGTTTTTATTTTCACATCTCTTTCACTACGTCATTTCTCTTTTCTACGTCAACTGGAAAAGGCCGATGCAACATAGTTTTTATGGCTCCAAAATTGAAGAATTCCCTTCATCTTTTATACAGTAGATTTAGATGTTTTTAATTAACTTTGGTGTGCTTTCTTCTTTTTTTTTTTTCTAATCCAAGTTTTTGCTGTTTTGGTTTCATTTTGTCGGCTATAGCTTTCAGATTAAACGCTTTTTCTTCAAAAATCCAAAAGAAATGCGACTTATATGTTTTAAATTTTTAAGTCCACCAAATTTTCCTTTCTAAATTGATTCCCATGATATTTACTTCGACAAGCACGTCTAACGTTAACTATTTTATACGAGTTTGTTGCATGTTTTTATGATTTATCCCAAAATGGACTTTGATATCATTATTATGAATGAAAGTAAGCTTTTGCTTTTACACAAAACACATCTCATTCTTTTCCTTCTGCTTCACATCATCCAGGTGAAAAAAAAAAAAAAAACCAACAAAAACTTTAGATAGATGGAACTCACACGTTAATCAAGTCACAGAAAGATTACACGATTAACTACTAGGAACAAGGAAAACATATGATCATCAGACATCAAGCCTCCCGGTCGGAGACAATGTGCTGCTCCGGTGTCTAGGCGACAAGTTAACAAACTCCAAAGCCTGTGTTCTGAGCTGAACCGGGTAATCAGCTGCACAACCGATCCTCGGACCGGCTCCGGTCGACCACTTGAGCATCAACTGATGACCCAACTGTAAAGATTTCGACTGTTTCTTTGAGTTGATCCTTTGTAGCATTGCCTTCTGTGGAACGTCAGCTTTCGGGCTCTCAAGCCCACCTGAGAGCGTTCTCTGGTAACTACTCCGTTTCGTCTCCTCAAATGTTCCGTTACCGTTTTCATCCGATTCATCAGCCTCTGCCTTGGATGTTGCATCCTCTTTCTTTAGAGATTTTGATCCATCTCCATTGGATTTAAAGTAATCATCGTAGTTGTCGGAATCTTCACTAGCTTTGTGCACCTACACATACATAAAAAATAATGTAACTATACTATTAGCTCTCATGAAGTCTCCTCTTCACCAATAAGTTTCAGGTACACCTGATTAGAGTTCAATTATAAACCTTATTATGAATCAAGAAAACAATCAAGAAGATTTGATTGTGTAAGAATTTAATGTAGAACAAGAGTTTACCTCAACATCGTCTAGGCTCACTGCATTCTCTCTAAGAAACGAAAGAAATGTGTCGAGGCTATCATCTGACGGCCTGTAATGTCCACTGTATGCAGAGATTGTCTGAAAAAAAATCAATGGAGACATAACAAAGCCGGTATTAATACATGTGGCGATCTAGGGAAAATCTAGGCCTCAGTTATTTGTTTGGCGTTTGCATTTACACTATGCAGAATATTGACAAAGATCACATGTAAATTAAACGCAAAAGCAGAAATTGGCGTTTTGAAAAGAAAAAAAAAATGGCAGCCTTAGATTTAGTAGATTATACCTTGAGAACTCCATTGTCAACAACCACCCTCCCGGCGGCTAATGTTGCTCCTCCGGCCAAAAAGCTGGAGTGATGGAACCTTCCTTTCTTTTTCTGAAGTAATAAACATAAACCAAGAAAAGAAGAACCATTGAAAACTTCTTCAGGTAACAATATTCAAGTCTCATAACCTAACACAAAGATAAACCGGTTTTCAAGAAAACCTACCAGACCGGCATAGAGTTTCTTGAAAGTACTCATAACAAAGATCCACTTAGTTCCCTCAGACCCGTGCAGCGTGTGTAGTAACTTTCCACTTAACTTGTGAACTATTTTCCCTTCTATGATCACATACTCATACTCTTCCCTCTCTTGCTGATAACAGAACAGATTTCTATGAGAAATCACTAAAACATGTTAAAAAAGGAAAAATTGACATGAAAAAACAAAAAATGGTACATACAGGTCCAATATATCTGATGCATTGCTGCTTAAGCTTCGACCTTGGACATTGTGTTAGATCCAGATCTTTCCCTTCTCCAACATCCAACCTACATGAAACCGATTTTTTTACAAAGTTGAAGACAATTTTTATCACCAATCCATGTAAAAAAAGATTCCAAAATTTCTTCAACTACAAGTAACACAATAACAAAATGAAATCTTAGACAGTCATGCTCTGGGGTCTGGATTGACTGTAGATGGAAGAACTGGGAAAAATCAATAAACGGTTAAACATATTTACTAAAACAAATGTGACTAAGCAGTACCAGTAAAAAAATGGCTGGCCAGCATCAGCTTTACACCATTCTTCATAGTACACATGGAGGTTGTGTCCATACCGGTGCCTAGGATCAATCTGATTATAAATATCAATTTTTTAGTCTTCTTGTTATACCCCAAAAAAAATTAACAGTTAATCTAAATATTATTAACGCAAACAAACAAATATATGAAATGGAAAGGGGTAAAAAAAACGAATTACAGCTTCAATCCAATGTTGGAACGCCAATTTCTGGGCTTTGTCGACTATTGACAGGCCCTTCCCCACCTAATCACAACCGAACCACAAGATTACAAAACCTTTTAACCAAGTGGATAATTTAAAATAAAATAATATACTGAGAAATTTAACCTTGACATATTCTTTTCTTAGTTTTCAGATAAAATAACTCAACATTGAGCAGCTTTCAGATAACATTAGGAAGTAAAAATTTTGAGAAAAAAGGTAAAAATGGATCTTGATTTTAGGAAGTAAAAATCCCACTATTTTCTTCTTCTTTTTTTGTTTTTACATAATGGGAAAATAAAAAAAAGGCATACCTTAGAAGCATTCAAGCTCACACGATTCCATCTCGAAACAGCAGTTTCAGGTCTCGAATAATCGAAAAACGAAATCGTACTATGATTAAGCCTCGCATAATCCATCGCTTGCCACCTTCATTCATCATTTATTAACGTTAATCTCAAACATTAATTCATCCACCTAATTAAAAAAATTATTACTTGATTCTTAATTTAAATTACCAGAGCTCTTCGGCGACAACAACGGAGTCCGCTAATCTCCGGCGCGTGCGATAACTCCTATAAACCTTCTGCACTTTCACCGCCGCCAAGCTAGGAGGCGAGTCGTCACACGCGCCTTCAAGCGCGTCGGTGAAATCAACGAAAGATTCCTCCCGGTGGTCTACCGGAGAAATGAGGATCTCTCCGGCGGTGTGAGAGAACGGCGAAGACTGGAAATCGAAATTGGCGACGACCTGCATCTTCTCCTCACTTTGATCTTTACTGTCTAAATGAGAAACCGAACTCAGAAACCAAAAAAAATTATGTCGATTTGGGAGAGAAGATCCAAAGGAGAGAGACTTGTGTTTCTCTGCTCTCAGTGTTTTCTTGTATTTATTTATATAAACGATCCCGTCTATTACACGGAGGACCGTTTCTATTTATTTATTTCATTTACCATATTTGTCAATTTTTTTATTTCTGTTTTCCTTGTGGGAAATAGACAGGTGAGATTGTGAAATTTTTTTTGTAAATATATACGTCATTGATCTTTTATTTAGAATAAAAAATCGATAGTTTAGATGATAAGTACTATTAAAATTTTGTATTATCGTTATGGGCGTTTGGATCATGCATATTATAAGAGTTTTTATTTCCGTTTCAAATTTGTATTCTGGTTGTAGTGGTGTTATTAGAGCATCATTATCGTGGGTTATGTACGCGTTTCTTATCTAATTTTAGAAAGAAAAAAAAAAAACAAAAACACAGGAAAAAAGGAAAATCTGTTTCTTATTTGGGGTCAATAGAAAACGTCTTATTGCAACGTGGCATTGGCTTAAAAAAAGAATAAAATTTTCCTTTTTTCTCATTCTCATTCTTCGACAAAAACCAATTCTTCCTCCTTCGATGATTGTTCTCCTCCGATGAAGAACAAATTTGTTCCTCTCCGGCAAAGCTCCGTCACATGCATGTCTTCTCCATTCGTCTTTCTGGAGTCAAATGCTCGGTGGAGACCTCGGTGATTCCTCTCCACCTTCGACGATTCCTCTCCAACCGATTCGTCTCCGCCGCTTGCATCTGTCATCCGGACTCTTCACAGCGATGACTCATCGGTTGACATCGGGGTGATTCTCACCAGATCGGAGTCTCTCTTCTACACCATAGCCGACGCCGCCGTCGTTGGCGCTGATTCAGCTGCCGGAACAACTGATTCCGCCGTGCAGAAGAGTGGGGGTTGGTTCGGTTTCATCTCCAATTGTATGGAATTGGTGCTTAAGGTAAATTCAAGCAGCTGATTTTGATCTCTGTGTGTATAATTAGAGGTTTTTTTTTCTGGATTGTCTCGTGAGCGAGCTTAAACTTCGTCTTATTTGGATTATAGTTTTTGAAAGATGGACTTACGGCAGTTCATGTGCCTTACGCTTATGGGTTTGCGATTATCTTGCTTACGATTATCGTCAAAGCAGCGACCTACCCTTTGACAAAGCAACAGGTTTGTAGAATTTGCATTTTTTTGGCTCAATCTTTGAAAGTTTTGGCAATTTGAGAGCAGTTTGTTCAATTCCACTTCCACAAGGAGCAAAAGCACGTGCTTTTGCTCGACGTCAAGAGTCTGTCCGAAAAAATGTGGAACGTGCTTTCGGGGTTTTGCAAGCTCGATTTGCCATTGTTAAAAATCCTGCTCT